AAATGGTATAAAAATAATGTTTGAAATAAATTTTAAAAAGTAAAATAAAAAGTTGTTTGGATAGTATTAGGATTTGTGTTTGAGTGGTGTTTTAAGAGGTGAAATGAGCCAAATTGCAAATGGAACCCTTTGCCAAACAAGCCCTTAGTTATTAGATATTATTATTAATTCATTTGTACTAGTGTTATGCATTATTTGTACGTACTAATATTATTTTATGTAGTACATTAATATTAATACTAATTATATATTACTAGTACTAGTGTTACTTATTAATGCTAAATCTGTTAGTTATTAGATATTATCATTAATTCAGTATAATTCATCTGTATTAGTGTTATGTACTATTTGTACGTACTAGTATTATGTAGTACATTAATACTAATACTCATTATACATTAGTAGTATTACTGTTATTTATTATTGTTAAAATTTGTTAGTTATTAAATATTATCATTAATTCAGTATAATCTATCTGTACTACTGTTATGTACCTTTTAAGCAAATAATCACATTTTCAGAATCTGAGTCAAGCAAAAAATTAGATTTTCAAAATAAGGCCATAGGGTTTAACTTCGGATTTCCCAAATCCAAGTGTTGCTTATACTCGGATTACCAAACTCCGAGTGTAACCTATATACGGATTACCAAAATCCGAGTGCAACATATACTCAGATTACCAAAATCTGAGTGTAACATATACTCGGATTTAGGGTTTAGGGTTTAGGTTCGGATTTCTAGAATCCGAGTTTATCAGGAAAACATGGAAGATTCGGATTTCGAAAATTCGATTCATGTCCAAAAAATTACCAACACTTGTACAAAAAAAAATTTCCCCAAAAATTAATATTTTAATCATAAAGTTGGATTTCAGAAATCCGAATTCTGATTAATTATACCAGATTAAAAATTTACTTAGTTTTAGTTTTAATTAAAATGAATTCGGATTTTCAAAATCCGTTTTCTGTTGAATTCGAATTACCGAAATCCGAATTTACCCCGGATTCGGATTATGGAAATCCGGAGGATATAGGTTTTGTCCACACAAATTTCAAAAAAATTAATTTGGTCTAACTTTTTTTTAAGAAAATTTTTTAGGTCAAAAACTCTTAAATTTACATGTATCTTTTATTCTTCTCCTCTTTAAATTTTAAGATTTCATTAATGAGAATTAGAAAGATTATTCCATAATTTAGATATAATACTAAGAGTTTTGTACTTTAAATTTGTTTGTATATATAACTCTCAAAAATAAGAGTTTTATCACATCTATCTTTTTTTTCTTTTATTTGTCTGTTTTCTATGTTCGATGACCTTTTTATCCCAAGTTTATTGAAGGTAATCACTAACTCAATTATTTTTATTCATTTCTTGTGAAACTTCAAGTTTCGATTTCTTTTTCCTTCCTTTTTTTTTTTTTTTTGAGGGGAGGGTGGAGGGAGTGGGAAAGGCATTGTTATGGAAAAAATTAATTGTATTCTATTATTCACTTTGTGTATGTGTATTTTTTTTTATTAGAAGTACTATTTATATTTACACTAAATTATGTTGAATGTTTTTTACTATATAATAGTATGACCTACGTACGCAGGAAGCGCGTTCATTCCATGTGGTCTCATTAATTACTTGCTCCCAATGACATATTTATTGGATTATGTAACAAATATGAATTTGTTATGAATGGGGTTTCAGGAACACATATTTATGTCAATTGGATAGTTTAGTCCACATACTTTTTTGTATAACTTGGTACTGAATGGTGATCCATGAGCAGAGACTAATTTATGGATAATTAGTCAAAATCTAAATGAAGTATTTAACATCTAATTTCTGTCTATAACTTAAAAAATATGTAAGTATACTTAGTTTATAAATAATTTCCAGCCAGAAACTTAGTAGTTCTACTCTTAGATAGAGTTGTCTTTAGCGTGCATAGTTTCTCTTGTTTTGATGGTCGATACATCAGGTAAAGCGTGTAGAAAGGTTAAGACGAAGAGAAGCATGTTTTTGTTAACTTAAATAGTATTTAATCTGTTCCAAAATGATTATCTAATTTAAATTTGGGGGAATTACATTTTATTTTCCGAATTTTGGCTTGGTCTACTCTTGTCAAGTAACTGATCAGTAACTATGATACAACATTGTCAATTTTTTTAATTAATAATTTAACATATTTGGCTTTTATTTTTTTATTATACTTATAATTTTATTCTTAAAGAAACTAGTTTTTAATAATACCTCTTGAGTATTTATAAAACATATATTACTGGAGGATATATAACCTAAAAGGCAAAAATTCAGTATGTGATGAAGTATTGGAGGTAGGCCGTTGTCGTTTTCAAGAATCTGAACTGTGGATGATCAAAAATAGACGCACATATGAGTTAACTGAAGAAATAAAATACTTGCATTGTCATCATTTATTAGCTTACTTTTAATCCCCATTTGCCTCTTTTTAATCAGACAATTTATAATTGAATCTTTTGATGCCCAACTATGGCGCCAACCACTAATCTACTGCTTGATCGGTTGGGTGCCCAAAACAAAATCTAATTATACATTATTTTAATTCAATACATCGAATTTTTATTTCAAAACGAAATGGAGACATATGTTTTTACAACAATAACGTCATAGAAGTGAAAGCCTGTTTATGATTTGTTATACTTAAGTCTGAAAACTATTTTGGTTATCTAACAAGGGGAAATTCGTGTCACCTATTATTAGGTGGAAAATCAAACGCCAAAAAAAAAAAAAAAAGAAGAGAGAGAGAGAGAGAGATGAAGTTCCAACGGAGCTACAAACTTATGCAAGAGCAAAGATTTCAACTACTTAAATGGAAATGTTCATGGAATTATCTGAAGCTGCACATTTTTTGCCTATGGTGTTAAAGTATCGGTCAAATGTTATTGCCGCTTTTTCCTCAACTTGGACGAACAACTCCTGTAAGTTAGTACTTACTCCGTTTCAAAATAAGTGTCGTTTTAACAAAATAGAGAATAATCATATACAAATAATTTTATTATATTATTTAAGAGTTTTTCAAACTATGTGCAAAGTGTAGGATGCCACTTATTTTGGAATGGAAGAAGTACCATTTACTAATTATCGATTATCCCTTTCTTTAAATATTAACAAAAATTGGAATATCAAACCTTTTAACATATTTTACTAATAACAGAATAAGTCTGTTAATTAGATATCAAAGTGGCTGTCGCTGAATTTGTTTCCTCAATTTATCAACGCCATTAACACAAGCACTTGGCTGTATTAAACAAACTGAACTAGTTTAACCATAATATATAACAATATAACAATAATCAGGATTCGAACTCTGCGACTGCATATATAACAATATTTAAAATATTTACTTATCAAGATTTAGAAAAGAATCCGCTTGGTTTTAATTCAAATTTATTAAAACAATACATTCATATACTAAGTGTGACATACTAGATCAGAAAATATAGATAGTCATTGAATTCGATAGATGTAAAAACGAATATAATAGATAATATGCCAAGAAAGGTAAGTTCATTCCAACAAGACATCCCAAGAAAGAGTACCTGAGCCAAAAACAGAATGGGACATTTCTGTTGTTGCTTGGTCGCTTCTACAATCGAATTATAGAATTATTTTGAAACTTGAAAGCTTGTGTATGGATGATGGAATTATTTTATGAATTAAAATATTTCCAAGCTTTCATGACTTATATGGTTATTCTTATACTCATTATCAAACTAAGGCTTTGTTTGATAATTACTTATTTTAGTCACTTAATTTATTTAAATATTGAATAAATTAAGTGTGTTTGATAATTAATAAAAATTCTTAGCGAATTAAGCACGTAATTAATTAGGTACTTATAAATCATGTGCGTTTAATAGCTAAAATCACACCTTCTGGATTAATTAAGTAACTCTCGATATCTAGTTCAATTGTTAACCAAAAAATAAGTGATAAACTTACTACTTTCAGTATCACTTATTACTAAATACTTAACTTTCTGTTGTAATGCTTCATTTTTATTCTTCTTTTTTTCTTTTCATCTTTGCTCCTGAAATGATTTTTATGTTTATAATCTTTCAATACTTTGTTTTGTTAAGTTAAATTAAATAAAAGCGCTCAAATTTGACCTTAAATTATGAGTACAAAATATCAACAAAATTGCAAACTCAACTTGATATCATTTTTATATATGAATTACTTATAATTTTGATATTAATCATATTAAAAATTAAATAAATATTCAGATTAAGTACTTCGGTCTTCAATCACGTTTTTATCAAGCAGTGTGAATTTTAATCTTCAGATCTTAGTGATGGTCAAACGGCCTAAATTGAACTAGCTAGTAAAAATGTAATTACTCTTTTAAAATTGTTTTAAAAAATCCCAAGAAATATTTGATCAGAAATCCGAAATTCTCTACAATCACGACTCATTTTAAAATACGCTAATCGACATACTTGTCATTTAACAAACTTTGCAACGGAAATCAAAGTGCTATGAAACAAACTCATGTTAACTCCATATTTGTGTATAGCGTTTGTAATTCCGCCATCTCAATAGTTCATATACTCCCAATATCAAAAATATTTTTGATAGTTGGGGTGAAGGGAATATATAAAACGTAATTCACTAGTCTCTTCCATATGTGATGGGTCATAAACCCAAAATAGAAATCCCTATTCTTTTACAAAATAAAAAATAAAAGAAAGATGATAAGAAACTTACAGAAAACATATAATTTTAATTTTTCGTCTATGAAAACATATAAAAAAAATCACTTTGGAAGATTTTGAAGAAACTTGATTTTTTTTTTTATCTTTATTTTCGTAGTAAGCTTCTTTATTTACTCGATTTTTTAACACAAAGAAAGAAGGAAGCGAAAACGCATTTTCTAAATAAATACAAAAAAAAAGTGGAAAAAGAAAATTATAGGCGAAATTGAAAAGATAATAAAAACACCAAAACGACATCGCAGCAGGGGTAACATGATGCGAACGTTAGAACCGCCTTTCTCTCTCACATCTCTCTCCACTCGCCCCACAGGCCACAGCAACCCGCCCGCCCCCATATATAAAGCTTACATTCCCGGCCAATTTCACCCATATTTTCACGCACTCACACACACACACACACGCACCCCTTAAACCAACCATCACACCCCGTAAAGAAAACCTTTTTTCCGCTGGGAGTTTATCAGAGACCTGAAGGGAGAAAGAGGGATAAAGACTATCCATTTACACTGCGTGTCTGTGTGTTTTTTTTTTTCCTCATTTTTTTTCAAAATCTCTCTGCAATTAAATTGAATGGTGTATTCGGATGCCCGAATGGTACCAGTAGAGAAGAGTTGAAAGAAGAACAAGAAGAGACGAACGAATTCCAATTCCCCATCCTTTCTTCTTTGTATGGCCATGGGTTCTGAAAGATCGACACCGTCATCATCGACATCTCGGCCGCTCCACAATTTCAACTTGCCCGGTTTGCGGTGGGGAAGTCAGAGGTTTCTCCGGTGTAAGAACGTTAACTCCACCGATCAAGCTTCCTTCGCCGGTGGTCGCCGTTCTTCCCCTTCATCCCACTCCGATGTTTTCAATAATGGTAATGGTGATTCCAATGCTTCCGATTTTGGTCCTCTGATCGGGAAACGCAAGGAAAGGGAGAATTTTGATGAACCCTCTCGTCCGTCGGCGGATTACCGGCGTGGATCCGAATTTAGGAAATCGGGTTTGAGTTCCAAGTCCGGCTACCCTCCTCTGCCGCCGGCGTCTGTGAATACTGACTGTGGCCGTAGAATCAGGTTGCCGCCAGCCGGCGGGGATGATGGCGACGGGATCGCGGCGGTGAGGGAGAAGCTCATGATTGATCTCCAAACGGAGACTGATAAGATAAAAGTCGCAATTTTTAAAGATGGTCTTGACTCAGAGGTGGCCAACGACAACACATCCTCCCCGGCGCCGGTGGCCGTTTCTTCGTCGGCGGCGGTTACTGTAGCTGAAGCCGAGGCAGCCGCCGATGGTGCTCTCCGCCCGTGGAACTTGAGGACGAGAAGAGCGGCTTGCAAGGCGCCGACCGTGCCCAACGGGTTCTCCGCCGGTGCCGGAACGAGTAACGGAAATGGCGGTTCATCACCTGGGAGGGCTCCGAAGCTGGAATTGATGAAGCCGGTTCCTTCCTTATCTCCTTTGAGGCCGGGGACAGAGAATCTCAAGTCGCCAAGGTTAAGGAGTGTGGTCGCCGCCGGCACCAGCGCGGCCGTGCCCAGCAATGAGAAGGAGAGGGCAAAATTCTCGGTGGCGCTTTCACGGCATGACATCGACGAGGATTTTGTTGCTATGACTGGTCGGAAACCCCCACGCAGACCCCAGAAACGTTTGAAGCATATTCAGAAAACTTTGGATGTAAGTCAATTTCATCCATCTCTTGATTACTCCTTCTCCATTCAAATTTTGTATTTTTCTTAAAATGCTGTGCTTTAATTCAGGTTGTGATTGTTTGATTCATAACACAGTGATGTGTGTATGTAGAAATGTGAAATGTTTGTGCTTGAATGATTTTGAAAGGCTGATGCATTGTTTTTCTTTTCTTTGGGCAGACTTTGTTTCCAGGCTTATGGCTGAGTGAGATTACTGCAGACATGTATAAAGTTCCTGAAACGCAATAGATATAGAAAGGTGACGGCATCTTTCTGACACTAAATGCTCACAATTAGGAAACAAATCATGGAATGGTGATCTTTTGAGAAACTTTTCCTCTCTTTTTGGGAAGCGTAGTTTTTGTTGGTTGATTGTTCTTGCAGAGGGCGTGTGCCTTGATGAGTAGAGCAGCTGTAATTGTGAATGTGGCTACTGATCACCTACTAACGTAGGGGTACATGGCACATAGCTTACATCTTTGGAACATAGAATTTGACAGAAGTTATGAAATTGCCTCCAGGAACGGGTGGATGAGAAAGGGATCTCAGTTACTCAGGCAAATGCTAACTTTTGTTATCACCATTTTCTTTTGTTAATAGGTTTCCTTTTTTTAGTTGGAAGGAATAAATGTACGATTGTTGGACGCGTTGTTCAGTAGTATTTGCGCTCAATCCTTTCTAAAATGAGCTTTATTGTTTCTCTATAACACTCTCTCAGTATGTTTGATTAAGCATTTACTTTTGTGTCTTTATGTGTATTCTTGTACTTGCATTACCGAGCTGCTAATTTTTTAGTATTGAAGGGAAAAAATCTCTTGCTTTTCTTTGATTTGCTTCATTGTATAAAGACTGAGGTCAGGACAGAGTACATGCTGCATTGTTTGCTTAGGTTTTTGCTGTTTGGTAGATGGCAGGGTGCAAGTGCTAAGCATTCTGGTCTGGCTGCCGTACATTTGCTCTGTAACTTGAACACCGTGATTCGCTGATGCAACTTGATGTTTGCATTTAGGGTAGTTCTCTAATTTATACCGATGGTTAATCTATGCTTGGAGCATCCATAGTGTCTGCATCATGTTGTCCTGGATGTATTTTCTTGTCGTGTCTTGACTCTTTTCGTGGCACTGTTTCTATACTACGTGCGCATTCTACTCTTGAAAATTGTTGCACTTCTTCAAATTCTCTGACCTACGTCCGATTGCCTTCTAAGCTTATTACTGTTCTCCTGTGAGGCATGCTGTGCGAACCTTACTGTGTTGATTCCGCTATTTTTATTCCAGCAGATCTTTATTTTTTCTGATGACATGAAACATTCAATGTGGAAAGTTCCCTCAATCAGGTCAATTCTCCACTTTTTGAAGTGTTTGATGTTGAAATTTAGTGGGAAAAATTGCTTCCGTTGAAAGTCTTTTCCATCCGTAGGTTATCCCTTTTGTGATCCAGATTGAAGTCATTGATCTCTGAACTTTCCATCCACGGGGTCTCTTGGTAGATCGAGTGACTTTAAACTGCAGAAACTGCTGTCTGTTTATCTACCTGAACTGCTGTCTGGGTGCAACTTAGATGAGAAATTCATGCCTAGGAGGCTAATGAGTTGTATTAGGCTATTTAAGGGCAACGCCGCAACGGTGATGAGGTTCAAGTTATTGCTCGTTCAGGACTTCAGGTTTCCGACTTTTTGCACCTTTATTCTGTTCAAAGACTTTCGGGCCGTGCCCCTCGGACTGCTTATTGGACTTTAACTGATCCAATAAGACTGCAACTTGAACTTGAATTCGTCAGCCATCCAGTACTTAATTTGCTAACGCGTATCGTGGGGGCCCAAATAAGAAGAGCTTGACCTGTTGACCATAGAAAGTCAACAACTTCCCCCTATACAATTTCTAAACCGGTCCGTCACATTTTGATTTTTTTTATTAGATTGAAACCTCACAATAAAGAAAATTATGAAACTATTCATCAAATCCACATTTAATTACGGACCAAAATCCAAATATAAAAGATTCACATTCAAGGTGAACCAAAATAACAAATAAATAAAAACATGTTAAGGGACCAAAATGAGTAATTAGTTCACTAACAAATAAATAAAGATTCACACTAAGATAAGGTTATTCAGTTCATGTTTCGGACGTTTTTCTCCACGTTTTTTAGGGAAATGAACATCGAATGAGGCTAAAAGCCCACACCATGTAGTAACCACCAAGCAAAGCTTTCGAAGAACCTGTAAAGTGTCAAGCTTTGAGAAAAGAAGATCATCACGCCTTGGCTTTGGGATATATAGCCCGAGAAACATTGCAGCACAAGTTTAATTGCAAAGAAAAAATCACAGTGTCTTGTTTAGAACGTGGTGGCGGTGGAACTCCCGCAAAAATAAATAAATTAAAGATAGATACTTGACGTGTAACTATGGTTGTAAAGAAGTCCCAATCATTGAATAATTTTTTTTCTATACTTTGTTATAGATCCAAAATTTGTCCTGTTCTCCTTGGAATAAAAAAGAAAGCCAAAATTAACGAATTAAACAAATAGGTATGGTTTAAATTATTTGAATCAAGACCGATAGACTGTGACAGAGTGCCAAAAAAGAAAAGGAAAAAAAAAAAAAAGTTGAAAGCTCAAAAGTACTAAAGCGACAGCCAATCATGTTATTATCGCAGAAGACACGACGATATGAGGAAAAAGAAAAGTGTAATAACGAAGATTGGAACAGAATAGTAGGATGCCTTTGTAGTTTGTTCAATTACACTTTGAAAATTTTGACCCTTTTTTTCTTCTACCAAAAAATATAACTGTAAATTTTTTGGTATGGAAATTCGATATGAAATGTAAAATGGGTAGAAAAAGAAGAAGATGAGGAATTGAGGATGATATGTGAAAAATTGGAGTTGTATTATTTCTTCTTGTTCTTGGACTTACCATTGCAGAACAATGAGCCAAGACCAAACAAACTACTTACAGTGCCTTTGGAAATGCAGGCATGAGGGATGTTGAGAACAGGGCTAATCCTAACTCCATTCCCCTGATGATAATTCTTTCTTGATGGACTTCTATATAAACCACTTCCATTTGAGTAAAAGTAATGATTGCTTGATGATGATGATGATGATGAGGTTGATGATGACGATAAAGACGATTTCGTTCTTTTCGCTGATGATGGCTGATGATCTTTCTGTGAATTCTGTTTTCGCATAACCTTCGATGATGATGATGACTTTGGATTTGGAGCAGAACCAGTTGAATTACTTCGAGACAGAAAATGCAATGATCGAATCAATGTATTACTTCTGCAAGAATCGAAATTTAAACTGCTGCTTCTTCTGAACTGCCAAAATGTTTTTGTTGCGGAAGCTGGTGATGGCTTCTTTTCTTCCCCTTCTTCTTCTTCTTCTACCTCTGTATCAGATTCAAGATTGAGTGATAGAAACTCCTTCAAGCTCTTTTTCTTCGTAATAGAATTCTGGGGTGCCTCTGTTTTCTCTGCTTTTTGAGATTTCACTGATGTATCTCTCCGAAGATGCGATGAAATCGGCTTAGATCGAAAGTTTTGTTCAAGGGTTGCTTCTTTCTTAGGCTTGGGAATGGCGGATTTCTTCTTGACTTCAGCAGGGCGGATCTTGCCATTGGCGAATAATTCATCCGCTGTTGATAGGACTTCCTGTGAGAAGCTCTGACTACTGATGCAGAAGTTGAAATCAATGGATTCCAGAAGCAATGCATCTGATCTGATAATGTTGTTGTGCCGGCATTCTGCAGGATCTGAGTCTCTTAGATCATGAGAAAATGAGATTCTTGGACTTACCACAAGGCTTGAAACTTCTGAGCAAACATCAACTGCCATAGCTAATCCCTTCTTCTGTCAGAAATCTCAAATTATTCTCTTCAACAATGACAAAATATGACAGGAAAGAAGATTTACATATATATACAAATAGGCACAAGGTTCAAGGGGAAAGAAGAAGAAGAAGGTTAAGATCAGTTAGTCAGATTTGGTAGTCAAAAGAGAGGAAAAGAGAAAGGGGAAAAAAAGAACAGAAATGGGTGGGAATAATATCACTAAATCAGTCAGCTTTTGCTTTTGTTTTGATGTTTTAAGATTTTTAGAGCACTTGAAAGATTCCAATTTAATACAGGTAGGAAGGACATGGCCTTAAAATTTTCCTGTCATGGTGGAGGTAACAGTGAATATTGCATTATGCCTCATGATAACAAAAAGATTAAATGGGAAGGGATAAAAATGAAAAAAGAAAAGAGAGGGTGAAAGTAAAAGCAATTTGTCCACCGAAAGGCTATAATGGAAGTTATTCCTCTCTCTTTAAAGAGGGAATGGTGAAACAGGGGACTTCACCCTGAAGATTTTCTCATTTTCTGGGTTCAAGACTTGAAGTCACACTTACATGTATGGGAGTGAAACGGACAGCGTATAAACATAGAATTTGGATTCTGGAGGCAGCCAATCTGAAAATACGGATGGAGTTGGGCCACTTTTAATTAACTTTGGTTTTATGGTCAAGACGGCAGGAGGAAAAAAGAATTTGGTATGTTGCTTGATTTTGGTTACCCTTTTTTATTAAGCATGGCATTGTAGGTTGGTCTTTTTCTACAACCTAGTTTGACAACAATGTTATAATGTCTCTCATGGAGCCTAGAGCTCGTGCTCTAATTTTGAGAATCAATCATGCATCTCTTTAGTAACTATCAACAAGTCGAGAGTTCAATTTTTACCGTTACAATTGTTAAAAATAAGACCAATCAAATTGTTAAAGTAGCGTGACGCGAGCATTTAAAATACCGAAACTTTGAACAAGATAAACATAATTTCTGTTGGCCTAAAGGGTCACGGCCGGTACCCAATTAATAAATAACTCATGTGATCTCTCGCGGGTTAATTATTAGGAAATGAACACCAAATGCTAGATATGGCGATGAAGTGATTGTGTTGTATTCACCGAGACCAAAAGTTTGATCTTTGATCATATCGTCGAATGGGTGAAGAAGCTTTTGATCTTGTTGTAGTATTATTAGGGAGTCCTCTGTTTGAAGCAAAAAAACATGATTAAATACAACATAATCACCTAATTACGTGTCTATAAGGTAGTAGTCAATCGGCAACTAAGAAATCTTAGCGTTGAAATAATCGAACACCCTGCTTTGTTTCTCTTACAAATTAACCTATTTGTCTGATAAAGAGATGCCAACTTTTTTACTTACTCTATTCCTTCATGCGGCAAGAAGACAGATGATTATAAGGTTAGGAAGCAATGTGGCATAAGCTGAGGAGAGAATTGAGAGTGACGCTGTTCAGGCTTTAAAAGGCAGAAATCGAACATTTTTGGAAATTCAAGATAAGGGGCTGTCAATGTGTCGCATTTTGTTAGATAAGATGATATTGATCAGAAATGTCAGCTCACGCCTTTCTTTGGAATGTTGCTGGTGCAGATATTTCATATGAATAAATTGATAAGAACCATTCAAGAAAATAAGTACTCTGTATGTTAAAGAAAAAGGTCCGAGTTTCCACATTGAAATAAACATAATTTGTCTTGCTAATCTTCCACTCAGTTTTTCAACGTAATTGGATGTTCCAGGGAAAAAGATAAAATGTGATTAGTCTGGGTACTCCTTAATAGCCTTAATTTTATGGTGATTCCATATCTATATTGAATTTCAAACCTCCAACTCATTATTAATTAAAGATGGTTATAATTTTACCACTCAATTATAATTGTGTTATTAGATACTTCTCTTGTTCCAGAAAAATTGATTAAGGATAACAAAAAAAAAAGAAAAGAATAAAAATATGTCTGTGTTTATATTTATAAATTTGCGTCCCATGTGGACTGGTCAGAAGGAGTTAAAGGGAGCATAGGTTTGGATTCATATTCGCTGGCCCTTTTATATCATTATTATCATTAGGCTAATAAGTTCTGTATGACACATTGTCCTTTCGGACATAATTGGCATCTCCTAAACACAAGAATTTTACTACTTTGACACTGGTACCGTACATATGCTTTGAGAGCAAGCTAGTGGCATTCTCTCTAAATACCAGCTTTTCTCAAAAGAAATCAAGCAAGAGCGTGGTGATTGTGCAGTACTTCATGCGCGTATTTGAGGTTAATTTGTTAGGAGTAAAAATGTAACATTCCCTTCATAGGAAGTTCAAACACAGTCACATTAGTTTAAGACAAACTTATTAATGTTAGAGCTACTATGTAATTAGGGCCTCATATTGGCTATTTTTTTAAAAATTATTATTTTTATTTTTAAATGTCTTCGCTAATACTATTATTGCTGGGATTTTTACAAAATGCTCACGTCTGACATGATCCTCTAAATACAACACATAACTGTAGTTTGGTTGGTTTTTTTATGGTAATTTTAAATTAATTAAATAATAATTGTTCCATCCTAATATACCTTTTTACATTTTCAATACATTTTTTACATTTATAATACAAAAAACATCTAAAAAACATATATTAAAAAAACGATCCAAACATAAATGTAGGCTCACATAAGCTTGTCCTCACCTTATAATAATTATTATTCTTTTTTTTTTTTAAAAAAAATTGGATGGTCCAACTAGACGCTCAATCTTCTAGTAATAATTATCTAGCTATCCCTCATCTTAATCCCCTAACCATTCCACCCAACCTTTCCATTCATGATAATTATTATTGTACTAATATCTTTTGGCCCCCAAAAAAAAATTAAAAAGAAAGTAAAAATCTAAATAAGACCACCATTTTAAGACGTAAGGAATTTGTAGACCCTTCCTCTTCTCAATTTCCAAATATATTTGTTTTTTCCATGTTACAAGAAATATACGAAGTGTAGAAAATAAATACGATAAATTGTGTTAACTAATTTTTTTTTATTAACTCATGGGCTTATCTGGTTTTTCTAAAAAAGGGGCTTATCTGCATACATGGCTTATTATTGTTTTTATTTTAATGTTTTGGTGTACAAACTTGTGACTTGGTGCGGTTGAGTTACGTCCACCGATGCGCGCAAATAAATTTAGTCTTTGTACCAAAAAAAAAAGAAAAGTCTAATTAATCCGATTGTTAGCCAGCTGGTGACCAAATAATTTATTATTTTTCCTTCAAAATAATTATATAATTTCAATTTTTATTTTTAGTTTAAAAAATTAAAATTAAAATTCAAACTATATAATCTTTTTGGGTATGAGAGAATAATAAAATACATTCACCACACAATGAAAACTTGTCGAGGCAAGATCATCTGGGAGGAAATACAATGGCCGGACCAATGACAACATAGGCAAACCACAAGCCACCTTCTATCATCTATGTTGTGCTCTGCGGGAGTGTGTAGTGGCGAAGCCAGGGTTTGTACAGGGAAAATGTATAAAAAACTATTTTTTATATATATATAAAAACTATTTAACATGGGTGAAAATATAAAAATGTAGAAATTTAGATTAAATTTTAAAGGGATCTTTTTTAAAAAAATTCGGGCCGAGGGAGTGACCGCCCCTACTGATTCTGTAGCTGCTAGTGTGTGTATGTGTTTTTTTTAGCTAAAATGTTTCATATTAAACTTGGAACTCAAGTTTTCTTGGTGCTTACTGCACTTGTTGGAACCTTCCCTCGGAAATTCATTCCATGTGCCAAATATCATTTGCATTCCGTCTAATAATAAAAATCTATGTACTAGTACTACTACCAAATTAAGCAGCGGCGCACAAAATATATAATCTTTAATTTTTGTATATAGATTATCCACAAAAATCTTATTAAGTTTGTTTACAACTCAACACAATGGTATTTTTATTTTAGTTATATGAGGAAATTTTAGTCAATTTATTCAAATTATTTTCAACTGTTTATAAAGTTAGAAGATTGTATATTTGTATTCGAGACATTTTTTTTAATGAAACTGAACTATTTTCCATTTTCATTGGAATGTTTAATTTTAAATTTGATAGACGAATTAGTTTATCCAATTTATATCAACTTAAAGATCTTATTGAGATTTTTAAATAATATCAATATTAACTAGAATATGAAAACTTTTTTTAAAAATAATTCTTCATAGTTGTTATTCTTAAAATTTTATAAATATTCATTAATAAAATATTATAAAAATTATTATATGATGTTCAAAATAAAAGTGAAAATGAACTACAATTATCATGAAAAATATATTCACAATGGAAGCAATAGTTGCAAAATATTTTATTTTTTTTTATACTTTTACATTGGGTAGCATGATGGTTGGGATGGTAAATAAAATGGCCAAAAAGATACTGAAAGTATTCTCTTCTTTGCAGTAAACTTGGTAATAATAATTTTTTTTTTTAAAATAGATTATCATTATTACCCAAAAAATTTAAAAATAAGGATTGGACCAGTCTACTCTTCGATAAATTCATAGTTTCTTCTTCAAACTGTGGGCTACAAAAATCTTATTGGGCAATCCAAAATTTCTACGACCCAAAATATCTTCAAAGTTCAAACTTCAAAGTCAATTCCGGAACGAGTGAAATCTGGATGGAAAAAGGACAAGCTTGCGTGGCCTCTTAAATTGAAAGGATTCCTTGTCCAGAACAGAATCTCCGGTTAAAGAATCTCTCCGCGTGACCTCTTAAATTGGGGAAGTGATTAAAACATTTCCTCACTCCGCCGCCGTCGTCGGACGCTTTTAGGGTTTTTCATTGGCTCACTTGAGTGAGTCCGTCCAACTCACTGCTAAACCGGATATACAGAGGAAGGATACCGGAAGGGTTGAGTGGAATTGCAAGAATGGGGGAGAACCTTGACAAGGAGAAGCTTGTGGAGCTATTTTTGAAGATTGGATTGGAGGAACGGACCGCGAAGAATACTGTAGCTAACAACAAAGTCACCGCCAGTCTCACCTCCGTCATTCGCGAGGTGAATCTCTAAATTCGTTCTTCTTCTCCTTTATTCAGTAATTTTTCTGCTTTTCAAGTTGCATGTCGATTTTGCTGCCGAATTAGCAGTTTAATGTGTTTTTTTGAATCCTAATCATTTTTTCGAATCCAAATCAATTGAGCTTGTAATTAGAAGAAATGAAGTCTGAGTTCTTAGTTGGGACTGAATCAGACGATTGTTCTCTTTTTCTGCGAGATTTTTCTGTGCCTCCTACTAAGTAATGTGAGGTTACGATCTCACGAGAAGCTTTTGGGCACAGGCGACCGATGGAACTACTGTTCAAGAATTGGTGTTCGTTCAAGAAATTGAATTGCAGTTTTAAATATTGGAACATTTTTGTTAAGAAGATTCATTATTATTGCTCTTAATGTTAGAGATGATAATTTTATGTAATGCATTAGTGAAGTTGCTTTTTAGTAACTTTGATGGAAACAAGAGATGCTCGTCTGTTTCTTGGCTTTGCACTAAGTTTCTAATCCAGCCAAACGAACTAAAATGGACGCATGTTGCAATTTTTTATTATTTGTGATGAGTTGGTGGAAATGAAACTATTATATATGTACAGTAATGAGGGAACCAAAATAACTTAATACTTCCCTATCTGTACATGATTCAGGTAGCGAAAAGATTTGGAGTTTGTTCTTAGATTAGGAAACTGGCTTTTTAATTGCGTCATTTTTGGCCTTGACCTCCAAATCTAATGTATTGCCACCTTTTTATCTCCCAGGCACAAGTAACTGATGGCTGTGATCGCACTGTTGGAAATTTGATTTATACGGTGAGATTCATAAAAAAAACAAAGTTTTCTTTGAGAAAGATTCTAATGCCATTTCCCTGTTAGAAATGCTGACTGAGAACTTCTGCTTATTTATTGCAGGTTGCTACCAAATTTCCTGCAAATGCCCTTGTACACCGACCTACATTGCTTAAATATATAGTCTTATCAAAGGTATGTATGAGCATGTGTGAAAGAGAGATTAAGGACGTGTTGATAATTTACTTTGAGCAACCCCACATTGCCCAAAATTAACATGAAAGATTTGTTGGTCGCATAAAGTTTTCGTAAAACATTTTCATCATTTCATGAGCTCGGCAGATAATTAAATGTGTAAAAGGTGGCATCGGTCTGTTTGCAGTTTTCATTCTCATTGCAGGATTTTGATCTTGATTCAGTTAAATCTTGCTATTGGGGTTGCATTAATAGATTCATTGACACGCACATTACTGTGCTTAATTATTTACTGCAGATTAAAACCCCTGCACAGTTGGAAGCTGCATTTACATTTCTGGCTTCCATTGCTTCTGAACCATTGGAAGTTGATAAATTTGAGCAGGCTTGTGGTGTCGGTATGATATATGAAACTCTCAAATGCTAGATGGTTGATTATTTTATTTGGATTTGGCTTCGGGTTGGTTGACATTTTTTTTGAACAGGAGTGGAGGTCTCTGCAGAAGATATAAAAGATGCGGTTAATGAAGTTTTTGAAGAGAATAAGTCTACAATCTTGGAGCAGCGTTATCGAACTAATGGTGCGATTTTTGTTGTTTTATTATTCTTGCATCTCTCCAGGAATGTACAAAGTTTTCTTCTGTACACGGAACTTCTTTGGTTATTATTTGACTGCGTTTAGACAAATTGTCATGTTCACTTTTAGTTTGTTTATTGTTCAGAGTCTTTGTTAGGCCCTCCTTCAAAGACAACTTTTGCAGATATATAACGGCATAGTTTGAATTTCTCTTCTTTATTTGTGATCTCATCTTTCCGTGTCCACTGTTGTTTTGTAGTTGGTGAACTATTTGGTCATATCAGAAAGAAGCAGCCTTGGGCAGATCCAAAGATTGTGAAGGTAACTAGACTACCTTTCATTTTGGTTCCATTCTTGAAGTGTTCATGAAAATAGAAAGAAGGGTTCCCAGTTAATCAACTATTTAAGCTCTTCTATCTAAACAAAAACAAAAAAAAAATAAAAATTTTAAGCTCTTCCTGAACTACTCTTTGGTTCTGATCTTTTAAATTTTGTGTGCAGCAACTAGTTGATGCAAAGTTGTATGAGCTACTTGGTGAGAAAACTGCGGATGATGAGAAGCCTATCAAAAAGAAGAAAGAGAAACCTGTGAAGGTTGAGATTAGTCTGCCTGATCTCCTTGAATTTCTTTGGATGTCGTTACAGAGTTGGTTAGTTTATTGATTCGTTGTTCTGCAGGAGAAAGTTTCTGCCGAGGCAACACCAACCAAACCACCAGAAGAAGAAATAAATCCATATGCCATATTCCCTTCACCAGAGGAAAACCTTAAGGTAATTACACGACTTGATCCCTTACTATCCTACTATTTCTAGATAGCCTTTTTACAGAGCAACTACTCAATTACGCGTGCATTTAAGATTTTAAATTGTCAAGGCCCAAGGGGTCTAGTTTGACCTCAGTTGAAGATTCCGGTTTCCCTTTTTGTTTATCATAGTTATGCTCCATGTCTAGCAGTGGCATACTCAGCCCTGGAGCTGCTTTTATTTTTAGTATCGGCTCACTATTAGTTTTTTTAAGTATTTTCTTATTCTTCTAATTCAAAGCTCGTATTGTACGTTTTAATGTATCTATTCTACTGGTGTCTGTCTCCGTCTCTTAATTGAATCTTAGGTTGACAAATCATCAATATTGTTGACTAGTGATTTTTGCATGAGTTACAGGTGCACACTGAAATTTATTTTAGTGATGGAAGTGTGCGCAGACCTTGCAATTCAAAGAGCATCCTCGAGCGGCATTTGCAGGTTACAGAAGGAAAAGTTATGACTCGTTTTCCTCCAGAGCCAAATGGATATTTGCATATAGGTCATGCCAAGGTAGGCTCGTTTTAGTATTGATTTTGATGGTCTTTTATTGGGAGAAAATATACTAATGCCTTTATCCACTAAATTACTTTTTTAGGCTATGTTTGTTGATTTTGGATTGGCTAAAGATAGAGGGGGAAACTGTTATTTGAGGTGCGGTTCGTTTTGTCTGCTTCATTTTTTTTTTGTTTTTAAATTTTTATCTAATTGCCTTGTTTAGATGTTTCTTTTGCTGTTTGAATATAAACAGCAGCATTCTTACTCTGTCTCAGTATAGTGTTTCAGGGATAAATTTGTCTCTTTCTTTTCCTTCTTTTTTCAGAAAAAAGTATTAGATATGTATATTTAGGTACTGTGATTTCCATGAATTATGGACATGCTCAACTTTTCTTCTAAGCAGTAGAATTGAGAAATTGGATTGCAGATAATCTAAGATTGGCTACTCATTAACATTTGCATTAAGCTTTGTAAGATTTTATTTTGATTTGACTGCATATATGGAGATGGTTTCTGTCATATAAGAAGGTTGTCTTTCCTTCTCCTTTCCTTTAGGATTTTCAGCTTTTACAGTCAAGATCATTGTGATCTTGGAATGCCTACAAATCTTTGTTGTCCACTGAAACTGTAGCTCCCTGTTGATACCATTATTGGCTTACAGATTTGATGATACCAACCCAGAAGCTGAAAAGGAGGAGTACATTGATCATATTAAAGAAATTGTAAACTGGATGGGATGGGAACCTTTCAAGGTAAGTCTGTTATGCAAGATGATGTATCTTTATATGCTATTCGCATCATGCATAATCTCATTGTTTACTATACTTTTGTACTTTGCAGATCACCTACACCAGTGATTATTTCCAAGAACTGTATGAGCTCGCAGTGGAGCTGATCAGAAGAGGTCATGCTTACGTTGATCACCAGGTAACTTAATCTTGAAAAGATATGAAAATTCTTTAAATCCTTATTCGCAGTGCTTGGTTCCATGTATATTTTATTTAATTCACTCAGTGTGCTGTGAGTAGGGGGAGGTTAGGTCTGGGGTGCTTTAGTTCCATATTTTAACATTCGCGATCTTTCTTATTGGTACTTATTAGAAAATTATATATTTCATTTTTCTGCATAGACACCTGAAGAAGTAAAGGAGTATAGAGAGAAGAAGATGGACAGTCCCTGGAGAGATAGACCAATTGAAGAATCATTGAAATTATTTGATGAAATGAAACAAGGAAGGATTGAAGAAGGAAAAGCTACATTGAGAATGAAACAGGATACAAAGAGTGATAATGGCAATATGTTCGATCTTATTGCTTATCGTATAAAGGCAAGTATTTTCGGTTTAAACTTCCTCTATATAATTAATGTTTGTGGCGAGTTCAACTTGATTGCGTCAAGGATGCTTCATTTGATGGAAATACAAACTTTTCAAATCTGAATTTGTTGATTGAGGTTCCTTTCAATTTTTTCCAGTTTACTCCTCATCCGCACGCAGGGGACAAGTGGGTCATATACCCAAGTTATGATTATGCGCATTGCATTGTTGATTCTCTTGAAAATATCACTCACTCGGTAAGTAAGCTTATGTCTTGTTGCGACCATTTTTGGTGGGACACTTTCGTCGTTGAGGAATTCCGTAGTTTGTTTGGACGCTAATTAGTATATCTTCCTGTCCTATACTATTGACAGATAGTGCACTTTGATTTTCAGTTAGTTTAATTTGCCCTTTAAATTGTCCTATCATTGATTTATTCGCGAGTCATCATCTCGTTATCCTACATATTAATTGACCATTATAATATCCATGGCTATCACAAGTTTAGAATCATTTTATTAGAAACCTGTGACTTAATTGTGGGCTAGTTGCGGACAAAGGATCCAATACCCGTCCTTGGACATTGGTCAATTTTCTTATTTTTGCACCACGAGCAATTGAATTCACTCTATGAAAGGCAAGCTTAAGATGAGCATAAGATGATTTACCTTCTACTTCTCTTTTTTGAAAGTGAAACTGGTTTTTCGTTTTTTTTCATCCTTTAAAAAAAACTTCATCTTCTCTCTTTCCATCTTCTCCTTGTTCTAGAGTGTGATACCTTCTGTTTCTTGTTTAAACTGAACTAGCTCAGAGATGGATTCTTTCTTTTCCATGTTTTATTTTTCCGTTCAGAGATGGATTTCATATCCGCTAGATATATGAAATGATGCCTGTCTTGATTTCCGCAGCTTTGTACGCTTGAATTTGAGACACGTCGAGCTTCATATTATTGGTTGCTGGATGTGCTGGGTCTTTACCTCCCTTATGTCTGGGAGTATTCGCGGTTAAATGTAACCAATACAGTAATGTCTAAACGCAAGGTGAGCTTAAGTTAAATACTGCCAAAGATCAAATCTTTTTGGCTTTGACGATAACAGTGATCCCTATTCAAACCTGAACTTCGAGAGATTGTGGTTGCCATTTCATTGACTGCATTTTGTGCTTGGTACAGTTAAATCGTCTTGTAACTGAAAAATGGGTTGATGGTTGGGATGATCCCCGGCTGATGACTCTGGCTGGCCTACGACGTAGAGGAGTGACATCAACTGCTATCAATGCTTTTGTTCGAGGAATTGGTATTACCAGAAGGTAGTTTTGCAGGTCTTACTATCAGGGATTGCTTCACGCCCCCAAAACAGAAGAAAAGCTCGTAGGGTGATTGGTCTAACTACTGTTATTTTATTGTTTCAGTGACTCTAGTCTCATACGCTTGGACCGCCTTGAGTATCATGTCCGTGAAGAATTAAATAGAACAGCACCCAGGACAATGGTCGTGCTGAATCCACTTAAGGTCCTTCATATTTACGCCTTTTTTTTTTGCCAGAGAAGGCCACCTCTGTTTCTTATTTACGCATTAAAATGGCAGTTGGCATATTTGATTTAAATTTCAGGTAATTATCACAAATCTGGATTCAGTAATTGATCTTGATGCGAAGAAGTGGCCCGATGCTCAAACACATGACTCCTCTTCTAGTTACAAGGTGGGTAAGCAATTGTAGTTTGCATGACTAGATGGAAATCATTAACTGGGTTTTTTTGGTATTAAATAAGAATCTGAATTGCTATATGCTTGTTGCGAAATGCCGAACTGTGTACCAGAGTTATCCTTCTCTTAATTTTTCCTTTTGTATTCTTCTGGCAGGTTCCATTTTCAAACGTTGTGTATATTGAACGTTCAGATTTCAGAATGCAAGATTCCAAAGATTACTATGGACTGGCACCTAATAAAACTGTGCTACTTAGGTCAGTACCCGTTTTCTTGGCTTATCTGTATGTCTTGTCCAGATCTTTAGTCTTAGTTAATTTTAAATTGATTTTTCTTTGGTTGATATTGCTCTAGGTATGCTTTTCCCATTAAATGTACTGAAGTGATCAAGGGTGATGATAATGAGTCTATTCTTGAGATTCGAGCTGAATATGATCCTTCCAAGACAACCAAGCCAAAGGTGCTCTTCAGTAATTGTTGGTTTCCTGAGTGCAAAACTTCGTTTCAACTTACAGTTTGACGTTTTTCTTTGCAGGGAGTTCTTCATTGGGTTTCGGAATCTTCTCCTGGCGTTGAGCCATTGAAGGTGGAGATCAGACTGTTTGAGAAATTATTCCTTTCTGAGGTAACTTCTTTCAAATTTGAAGTTTGCTTTCAGTATGTGTATAGCTTTAGCAGTTTTTGTATGACTTGTTCTTGACAATTTGATCTTTGGTATTGGTGTTGTCAGAATCCTGCTGAATTGGATGATTGGCTTGGTGATTTAAATCCTCATTCTAAAGTTGTAATCTCGGATGCATTTGCTGTTAGTGCGGTCCGGACGGCTAAGGTTGGAGATAGTTTTCAGTTTGAAAGACTAGGTGAGTTTAACATTTTATATGCTTATAGTCCAATTTGCATGGGAATGGTAAAACTGAATTTGTCCTTCATTGTATTTGTGTGAATCATAGAGGTTTCGGGACAATCACGCAATATTTGTCCCACTCAATAATTTTTTTATTTTTCATCTGTTTCTCACTTCTCGATTTTGGACTGCACTAGGCTGTTAGCTAATTTATTTCTGAACTTTTAGTCGCAGTCAATTAACTGCATACATGGGATATCTGATAATTCAATATCTCAACGGAATTCATGCTTCGATAAATATAAACAAAGAGTAAGGATTGTCTGATAACCAATTGTCTTGATAAGTTAGGTTATGTTCGAGAATCATCTTTACAGTGAATTCAATTAGAACATATGAGCTAAGAATGCATTAACAAGTGGAATTAGGTTTGGGGAAATATAGGAAGGTTTTAAGCTAAGTTGGAATTTGTTTATAGTTTATTTCTGTATTAAGCTTGTTGGAATGTGACTTTGTTGCTTCAAAGTTTATATCTGGCAATTCAATATCTCTACAGAATTCATGCTTCGATAGATATAAACAAAGAGTAAGGATTGTCTGATAATTAGAACCAATTGTATTGATAATTAGAACCAATTGTCTTGATAAGTTAGGCTATGTTCGAGAATCATCTTCACAGTGAATTTAATTAGAACATATGAGCCAAAAATGCATTAACAAGTGGAATTAGGTTTGGGGAAATATAGGAAGGTTTTAAGCTAAGTTGTAATTTGTTTATAGTTTATTTCTGTATCAATCTTGTTGGAATATGACTTTGTTGCTTTAAAGCTTGGTCTGATGAACGCGGTTCTTGTCTAATCTCTCATTTTTCATCCAGGCTACTTCACAGTTGACAAGGATTCAACTTCCGACAAGTTAGTCTTTAACAGGACTGTTACATTACGAGACACCTACAGTAAAAGTGGGAAGTAGGTTTCGATATGCCTTTTGAATATGTTCTTTTTTTTAAAAAAAATATATACTTTGATGTGTGGAAGACTTGCAACGTTCATTCACCAATCTGATGGTGAGGGAAATGAAAGATTTTGACAGCATGATTGCTATATATTAGAATCTGTTGATCGTAAGACAAGGCAGCTTAGTTGTACTTCTACTATGTTTTTCTATGGGTGTCTTTGACTCTGCTTTATTTTCCCTTTTCGATGCCGTGTATTCATGGATGAGGTAAATGCTGGTTGCTTAAGCTCGAGACCTTTGGCTTTTAATGAGGAACGAAAAGGAGATGTTGCACAAGTTTACAAAATATCCGTAAAAGGAAGTTTACTGTTGAGAGTCAGAGAGTGATAAATTTGGCAATTTATTATTGGTTGAAGTTGACTTATTGAACCTGCTTCCAGTTACCTTCCTATTTGTCTTTTGATGCGGAGTTGAACTGTGGGAGGTGGGTGTATGTGAACAATGAGTAAAATCTGTACAATAAGAGTCGTTTTCTCACTTTAAGAAAGAGGTGACTGCCATGAAAGCACATTTTGGTGCGTCCTTATGTGTGTTGGGTCTAACTCCCCGAACACATCAACTAAAAGCAGTACAAGCTATTGTCAATATGGATATGGATTATCTTGGCCTTTGAATTGTCGTAGGGATGGCGTTTAAACTTCTGCTTCACTTCGTCCACGTGATAGGGTAGTGCATTGGAGGAATGAACTTTGGTTTAGTCACTACGTTATAGGATGAGGCATATCAACATTGAAAGAATGAACTGTGGTTTAGTCACTGCGTTATAGGGTGAGGCATATTAACATTGAAAGAATGAACTTTGGTTTAGTCATTACTCCCTTCATTCCAAAATAAGTGTCGTTTTAGCAAAATGGAGAAATTCTAAAATAAGTGTTGTTCTCACATTTCAATGTACTTTTTGTCAAAAGTTTTCAAAATTACCCTCAAAAGAGTTGATGCTATTGGTGGACAATTTTATAATGGGGTTGATTGAAGATATTCAAGTAATTTTATTACTCTATTTAAGAGTTTCTTAAACTATGTGTAAAGTGTAGGATGACACTTATTTTGGAATGGAAGGAGTACGTCATAGGGTGAGGCATATCAACACTGAACTGTTTCGTCACTACATCATGGAGAAGTGCTTTCCAGGAATGTAGTGCTTAAGTTCTATACGGTAAACTTCCTTCTGTTCTGTGTACTAAGAAGCCGCTCAGAAAAGGGGAACGTAACAAAGTGTTCTCTTTGCAGTTCAAAGGACTGATCTCCATGGAAAGCAGGCATTTCTCTGGGGACCACAAGGAGTCCACAAGATCTTAGAATTATAAGTATTGAACTTGAGATTTTCGACAGAACTCCAGTCTTAGAAGGAAAGTAAATTAGTATAAAGAAGCCAATTGAGATAGAAATCCCTCGACTTGTTTCTTTCTGATTTGTGAGAGTTTTGTCATCTCACGTTAAATCGTGAAGGAGACAACTCATGGTAGTGAAAATGAATCATGATTGATGAAAAATCCTTCAGGGGGGAGGTATCCAAAAGTAATCAAAGACTTCGCAATTTTTTTTCTTTGGGTTGATGATGTAGAGCCACTCCTATTTATACATCAAAGGAGCTATTTGTTTTAGTAAGTTTTAGTGCTTTTACTTTGGAGACAAGTGACAACTTACAATTTTTTCTAATAATATTACATTTTTCGATGTGATTTTCCACATTCTTAAGAAGATCTTGGTTGAAGATGTAAAACAAAACAATAATAGGGCCCTCATTATTGTGGATATGACTAGTAATAATTATGCAGCAGAAAGCAGAATTTAAAGTAATAATCTCTCAAATGTAGCAATCAGAGCTTTAGGACCTTGGATGTTGCTCTCCGGAATTTTTAATGTAGAGGTCATTCACTGACAAGTGACAATCACGCTCTTGTGGCATTTAATTCTTCCATCAAACGCGAGCTTTAACAGTAATATCAAGTGACTTTTACATAAGCACACAAACCAGGGGCTGCTATTAGCAAGTGTTTCAAAAAATTAATCCATACCAAAATTTGTAAATAATACTAAAAGTACTACAAATTATAAACTGTAATGTCGATTATTTTTTTAAGACAGGAGAATACTTACACAATGCTGTTTGGTAATAATAAATATAACTAATTTTGAATTTGGCACTTAACTGAATGTCTCAAATGGATTTCCTACTTTGAATATTATATTACTTCCCGTCTCTGAAGTTATTGTGTAGTTTAGATTTTCACCTTTAGTACATTGTCCAGTTTGTGCTAAAGGTGATAATCCAAACTAAAGAATAGGTAATTAAGTGCAAGGATTGTCTGATAACTTCAAACTGAATGTCTTGATGAATAACTTTGTTTTTGGAATCCGGCCAGCCGGTGGACGGTGGTCCAACTTTTCCAGTCTCAGTTCAGCAAGCTTTGGCTGGCCTTAAGAGGGGAGTCAATGGGCGGATGATAAGGTTGAATTTGTGTGGGTCCCCGGCGGCTATTTTAATTAAGCTGCCGCCAGTTTTCCATTTCTTAGTTGGATAACTTAAACACCGTTTCCTTTATATAAAACTTTTCCCATAAAGAGGTTGGGATGACTTATCGTCATCAAAACACTAATTAATCATTCAGGCAACTTTGATTAATCAAAGCTAAAAGTACAAATATAATTGGATCTCTCCCATTTCCAATCCAAACGTGCGGAATCAGAACTCTCCTCCGCTTTGAAATCAAATCCAGATTCAAGAACTGCGTCATGTGGGTCTTTGATAAATTGATAAACAAAAGGAAGAGGTTTGTGGTAATCAAGTCACCCACAACAGTTCATCAATACACCATGAAAGAGAGGACATTTTAATATTTTATCAGGGCCCCCTTTTTCTCTGCAAAAGGAAAAAAAATGTTTGTTTTTTTTACATATATAGTGTATTACATGTGGGTGTGGTCTATGAGGAAGGGGATAGTATTATTAGGGGAGAAACTCTAGTATTATTAAGAGAGAAACTCCACCCACGCACGCCTCAATCTGATACTCGAAAAGCCTCCTAGCAATTACTAGTAAACTTGCACAAACTCAACATTGAAAGTGTTGTTAGCAGGGTTCGAACCTGGGTCTCTTAGGTTGTATGCTAAATCCAAACCACGGGCCACTCCTTTGTTAGGGGAAAAAAAAATCAGTTCAAGCTTTTCTTTCACATGACCATAAAACACGATGAATAGTGAAACTCCTTCCTAGGAATAGTTGAGCTGAGCGTGACAACCAAACTGTGGAAAGTGACGATACCTGGAATTGTACCGCCGGTGTAGGCTGGAACTTCGGTTAGAGTTTCCTGCAAAACAGAGTCTCGGGCGTCTCCCGAGGGTAGACATTCCGAAGCTTAAGTCAGAAAATAGGGTTGCGACTGTATTAATTTGATAGTCAAGATTCTGTACCTCTCTTATGGAATAACGATCCCTATTTATAGATCTCCCCAACATCCGATTCCCACTAGGGTTAGTAATAACAGGCCGCCATACCAGATGCGGTTAACCCCTGGGATCGAGTAATGGGCTGAGTAATTGGTCGGTTACTGGGGGTGACGGATATGGACTCACCAAGTGCCCCTGTCAAGTGTTAATTATGCAGAATAAATAAGGCTTGACATTAAATAAAACTGACCTGGCCCGGCCCGCATAGAATAAAATAAGACTGGGCCTATGTGGAATGAATAAGCTTTGGCCCAACCCGAATGCTATTACCCGCGGGCGAGGATCCGAGATGAGAAGGCGACCCGACTCCCATTTTTTTTTCTTTTTTTATCCCGCCTAAACGAAAGTTTCGCCCCTTTAACACGCACGATTTCCAAACGGCGGCTAGGCACTCATAATTGCGCCTTGAAATTCACCTCTGGTGTCGGGCCGTGGGAGAGAGAAAACATTTTGTATTCTCTTTTAACCGGTGGGAGAACAAAAGCTTTAACCATTCACCCACAATCATAAAACTCCAAACCCAGGAAACTCTACATCTTTTGCCCCGGCGTACCAGAATCTTCTATCAACTGAATACTGCCGTCCAGGAGAGTCCACAGATTCTGGAAATCCGTTCAGTAATTGCTGCCAGCGAAGCGTTACTCCATAAGTAAGTCTTCTGGCCTTCGGGTATTCTTGTCACTGTTTATTGATATATATGCTTTGCTTTATCTGAACCCTACTAGATTTGCATATATTAGGATAGATATGGCGTCGCAAACAGTTTCTGATTTTTCATCCACCATAGATTCCTTTGAAAAGGCTGAAGCCATTGTCGAAAAGTATGACTTACCCATAGATCTAGAATATCGAGCACCCTTAGGTACTGAGAGAGCTAATACTCCACCAGAGGGAAAAATCACTGTATATGATAGGTCCATGTTCCTGGGACTAAGATTCCCCATTCACCCTCTGTTTGGTAGGATAGTGCAGTATTATAAGACCCCGCTTGCTCGATTTACCCCCAATTTAGTAACCGTAGTTCTCGGATTCCTGAGACTCTGTGAGATAAAGAAGGTAGCTCCTCGATTATTAGTATGGAGATACTTTTTTAAGGTCTGCGTGCCCTCGACCAAATACAAGGACTGGTATAACGTTAAGACGAATGTCTCCTCGAAGGCGAACCGCATAATGGGACTCTTCGACGGTTCCCCATCGTGGAAGCCGAATTATTTGTTTGTTTCGGCTCCTGAGGATTTTTGTATGGCTTCGGACTATCGGGAAGCTCATGAAATGGGCGGGGTGGCAGATGCCTGGTCCAAGCATGATAAGGCCAGTATTGAGAGGTATAGGGCTGACATCGACGCCTTGGAATCGGTCGAGAACATCCTCGGCTACACGGAAGTGCAACATTACATTCCTCCGGTTCGCGTCGAGAAGAAAAAAGGTACTAACTTGTTATGTGCATTGTTTTTGTTTTAGGTCATGTCATCGAGCAAAGATACCGTTGGATTGTTTGGTGACGCCTAATTTTTTGAAATCAAAAATTCAGATGATGAGGGGTCGTCCAACAAGGTCACTAAGAAGAGAAAGCTTAGAAAGCTTGTGAAGGCGTCCGATACGGGTGCCAAGGCCAAGAAGAAGAAGACTCCCACTCTTGAGGGAGTAGAGAAGCCGGTCGAGGAGCAAGTCTCGATCGAGGTGGAGGGGAGGGAGGATGACATTACGGATCCATCGAAGACTGTCCCTCCTATTATTGAAGAAGTAGAGGTCCCAATGCCCGAGGACCCAGTACCCGAGGCGGGTCCGGCAACGGAACGGCATCCGGAGTGGTTCAGGCTGCTCGAGGCCTCTCTAGAAAAGAGAAACGTCGAGGACACCGACGGGTCGTCGACATATACTGCTGCTGCTGCCATATATCATTTCGGGAACAACAGGATCGAGGAGGTAGTGGCGACTTTGACAGAGGAGGAATCACTGAAAATGGTAATACTCTCCTCATCAGGAGTTATGTCTACTCGGAGGCCTCACGATGCCCCTGTTAACATTGTCTATTTGTTGCAGTTGACTACTGCCATGGCTAGCATCCTTATGCGCGAGAAGACATTGAAGCAGGACATTGCTAGCTTGCAGGCTGAGAAGAGGCTTCTCGAACAAGAGAGGCAGTGGAGCGAGGCCTCGAGGAAGGAGGAGGAAGCCCTGAGACTTGCTAGGGAACAAGAGCTGGCCAGTGTTCAGACCATGTATAGGGAGCTCGAGGCCAAGTTGTCCGAATATAGGGAGACTCATGTTTCCCGATCGGAGTTACAGGCCTGGATAACCAGTTTTTTGGCAAGAATGGTGTCCACTGGTGGGTTGCCGAGCATCCTGGTTGGCATTAGCAATGATGCCAAGGCTCTAGGGGGACATGGTGTAGTGGTGGCTGCCCTCGAGAGGATGGAGAGTGGGAGGACCATTAATGCTGGGTGGCTCCAATAGTTTATAAGGCCACACCCTAAGAAGACACTCCGCGAAGCCCTTAAGAAAGGATTGCAACAACTTTCTGACGGCCAGCTCTCGCTGTTTGGACCACTGTGTGGCGCTGTTTCTCAGATGGGATCCTCGGCAGAGATCTCGTCCTTCGAGGGGGATGCACTCACGGTGCTCCCTGATGATGCCGGGGAGGAGGTGCGCGTGCCGGAGTTGTCCCCGGACTTCATTGGCGTCGAGGTGGAATGGGAAGAGGATTACTCGGAGCAGGCCGAGGACGATGGACAGAGCAACCCGGAGCCAGAGGGGACGTCGGCTCCTCCACCCGTCGAGGAAACCAACGAGAGCCAGCCAGGCTAGCCGCAGGGTCAGAAGGAAGTATGAGTCTTCCCTTTGTAATAGGGTTTTTGTTGCTAAGGTTGTAGACCTTAGAAAGTTTGTAGGGATCCTTGAACCTTTTTGCTAATTAAATTGGCTTACCTTTAATATTTGACATATTTCTGTCCCTTATTCCAGGATTTGTACTTTGTTCATCATTTACATCTACTGATTCTTGAAGAAGATGAGGTTGCCCGGTTTCCCTTGTATGCGATGATTTCTTCAATTCTGAGGAAATTTGGGGACGTCCATAATACTGATAAAGTGAAGTCTCTCGAGAAAGAGCTTTCTGATGCTTTTAACGCGCTTAACCTATGGGCGCACTCCCGCTTGGTACAGCGCTTCAGGCAGCAAGAGGAAGAGTGGAAGCGCCGACCTTCACCAATACGACTTGGACTTCCATGCTTCCTTATCCCTCGAGGCTAACATTTACGAGGAGATAGAAAAACTGAAGTCGGAAAACTCTCAACTAAGGAGGCGCGAGAAGATTGTTATATCTCCGTGGTTCCTCAAGCAGCTCGATACGCTTGCCTTGGTCGAGTCGCAGATAAAGATTCGCACCGAACGTTTTATTGCCGCCATCGACCTCCTGAAGAAGAGGACCAAGGAGGTGGAGTTCTATTCGAAGCAAGCTGCCGTTTTGCAGAATATATTGGTGGACAACGAGATTTCCTTGCCCATTCTCGACGACCTCGATCCGGAGGACGAAGCTAGAGAGCGAGCAGCTGCTGAGGAATATCTTCTCAGAATCGACGACCAAGATTGGGAGATTCTAGATTTGAAGGACAAACTCGGGCATTGTGTTCATAAGCTTAGGTCGATGGGATGGTCCGGCCTGATTAAGCCTTCTCGTTTTAACCCTAAGAAGACGGACCTCAGGATTTAGGTAGATATCATGTATGTCGATATACCCCCTTTTTTTTTTCTACCCCGCATTCGGTGTGAGGGAATTGTACTTGGACTGAGCTGTGTTAGCGTCAGTTATTTATATTCGAGAATGTTTGTATAGCGCTTTGTTTAGCCGGATGTTAATTACACGGCCTCGTCGAGGAATCGGATACGGATTCTTCGGTCTACTGATACCGCGATCTACGGTGGGTGCGAGGGGAAGTCCTCGACTTAGGGGTCCGGATGTTGAATACACGGCTCCAATCGAGGATGGCCCTATAGGGGGCGTCCATCTCGATGACTAGTCATAAGGCAGTGTCGACATGCGCAAATATATAGGATAAATGACTTTTTATTTGAAAAAATATGCAATGACTCTTATTGATAATTACCCGAGGACCCGGGTTAGCATTACATTCAAACAAATGAAAGCAATTAAATCACTTAGCAAACAAAGTCACAAGTAGCATGCAAGGAATCTAGATATAAAACCTGCGGAGATTCTGAATGTTCCACCATCGTGGGAGGATGGTTCCCGAGTCGTCCGTCATCTGCAATCGGTAACTGTCCGAAGGAGAAACTTGAATGACTCGATAGGGTCCTTCCCAGTTGGCCGCTAACTTCCCGGGGGTCTCTGCTCGAATGGCATCATTCTTTCTAAGCACCAGGTCCCCGACTACGAAGTCAGCGGTCTTGACTCGCTTGTTATAATTTCTTCTGAGGATCTCCTTGTACTTAGCTTCCCGGAATTTTACGGCATCTCGCCGTTCCTCGAGCAGGTCGAGGTTAGACAGGATATCTTCATTGTAGGTGTCCTCGATGAAGTTGATCGTTCAAGGACTTGCTAGACCGATTTCAACTGGGAGAACGACCTCCATTCCATAGACTAAGCTGTATGGCGTTTCGTCTGTCGAGGAATGAGCCGTGGTGCGGTATGCCCATAAAACATGAGAAAGTTCTTCGACCCAAGCTCCTTTTGCATTATGCAGCCTTGTCTTAATTCCGTGTAAGATGGTCCTGTTAATTGACTCAGCTTGTCCATTTGCCTGCAGATGGGCGACAGCAGAGAATTGGCGCTCGATCTGCATCTCAGCGCACCATGATTTGAAGGGGTCGCTCTCGAACTGGGTTTTGTTATCTGACACAATCACCCCGGGCACTCCAAATCGGCAAACCACATTCTGCCATAAGAAATTCAACACTTTTCTTCCCGATATCGAAGCCAATGGTTTCGCTTCCACCCACTTGGTAAAGTAATCAACGGCTACTATGACCTATCGCAGTCCTCTTGCTCCTTTCGGAAAGGGGCCGATGATGTCAGTCCCCCATTGGTAAAATGACCAAGGACTTTGTATGGTTACCATCTCATGCTGTGGCTGTCGGGTTATTGGTGAAAACCTTTGACATCTGTTGCACTTTTGGACGAAGTGGTAAGCGTCCTTAAAGAATGTGGGCCAGAAATATCCTGCTCGAAGGACCTTTTTTGCCAAGCTCCTTGCCCCCATGTGGGCTCCGCACGACCCCTCGTGGACTTCTTCGAGGATGTATGCTGCTTGATTTAGTCCGACGCACCGTAACATTGGTAACAAGTACCCGTGTTTGTAGAGGATTCCGTCCCTCAGGGTATATTTACTGCTTTTAGTTTCAACGCCCGAGCTTCCTGTTTGTCATCGGGGAGTGTTCCATTCTCGAGGAATCGGATGAATGGGGTCATCTATGTTTTCCCATCTTCGGTGATAGCTAGGGAAACTTTAGGGTGGATGCTGGGTTCAGGGAGCATCTCGACCCAAACTTTATGACTGAGATTAGCAAAATTGGATGAAGCGAGCTTACTCAATGCGTCGACTCTCTTGTTGCTGGTTCTGGGAACGTGAGAGATGGAGCATTTTTCGAACTTGTCTTTGATTTCCAGCACCTTCTCGAGATATGGCCGAAGGTATTCCTCACGGACTGTGTATTTACCTTTGATTTGTTTAATCACTACTTGAGAGTCGCTAAATATTTGCAAGTTTTGAACCCCTAATTTGAAGGTCATATTTAACCCTGTGATCATTGCCTCGTATTCAGTGATATTATTGGTAACCGGGAAACCGAACCTCAGAGCGTAGGAATATTCTGCATCGTATTCTTTTACTTCCTCGATTTCTCGAGGTGCTACCGGCTTCGCTAGGATGATCCCCGCTCCTCCCCCGTCTTTGCAGGAAGAGCCATCGACGTACAGGGTCCAGGCTCGAGGATCTGTGGAGGGATGTTCGTGTAGTTGCTTCTTCGGTATTGATTCTTGCGTGGTTCCCGGAGCTCTGGGCATTTCCACTAGGAAATCTGGGAATGCCTGCCCTTTTATGGCCGTACAGGGCTTGTACTCGATATGATGTTCCCCAACTCGACCGCCCATTTCATCATTCGGCCTGAAGCTTCTGGTTTGAGGAGGACTTGTTGGATGGGCTGCTCGGTCAAGACTTGTATAGGATGGGCCTGAAAGTAGGGATGCAACCGGCGGGCAACGAGTACGAGGCTTAGGATGAGTTTTTCCATGGGGGTATATCGGGATTCTGCCCCTTGTAAGACTTTGCTGACAAAGTAGACTGGGAGCTCCTTGTTGTCTCTTTTCTGAATCAGCACTGCGGATATGGCAGTTTCTCGAGCAGCTAAATAGATATATAGGACTTCCCCTGGTTGCGTTTTCGCTAGCATAGGGAGCTGTTTGAGATGTTCCTTTAGCTCCTGGAAGGCTTTCTGACATTCTTCGGTCTATTGGAAACCCCTCCCTTTTCTTAAAGTCTTGAAAAAGGGGAGGCTTCTCTCTGCTGCTCGAGACAAAAACCTGTTAAGGGCTGCTAGAGATCCTGTGAGTTTCTGTACATCCTTGACGGTTTTCGGGGCTTCCATCGAAAGAATTGCTTCGACTTTTGAAGGATCCATGCTTATTTCATCCTTTGACACTTGAAATCCGAGGAATTTCCTAGAACCTACACAGAAGGCGCATTTCTTTGGATTGAGTTTCATGTTAATTCTGCGCAGGATTGTGAAGATCTCCTTTATGTCTTCGACCACCCTGTCGTCCAAATTGCTCTTGATAACCATGTCATCCACATATATCTCGATGTTCCTTCCGATTTGACTGTGGAAAGCCCTATTAACCAAACGCTGGTAGGTGGCCCCCACGGTTTTCAACCCAAACGGCATTTTGTCGTAACAGTATATTCCGATCTCTGTAATGTAAGCCGTTTTCTCAGCATCCTCCCCGGCCATATGAATCTAATGGTATCCTTTATACGCGTCGAGGAAGCTAAGGGTCCTGTAACCGGTAATACCTTCCACCATTTGGTCAATTACGGACAAGGGGTAGCAATCTTTCGGGCAGTGTTTGTTTAGATCAGTGTAATCTTGGCACATGCGCCAGGAATTGTCTGGTTTGCGAACAAGGACCGGGTTGGCCAGCCAGGTGAGCCAGAGCACTTCTTTCAAGATATTGGCTCGAACCAGCTTAAGGGTTTCCTCGTTAATTACATCATTGTGATCTCGAGCGAAAACCCTCTTGTTTTGCTTGACGGGTCTGACATTTGGATCAACATTCAGCTTGTGCTCGATAATGTGCCGAGGAACTCCGGTCATATCGGATGGAGACCATGCAAAAATGTCCCGAAAGTCACGTAACAAGGCGATTATTTCGGTCCGCAATGCTCCCTCAACGGATGTCCCCAGTTTGATGGTTTTTTCTGGCTCCTTTTCATCTAGGATCAACTCTTCCATCTTGCTACTGAGCGGGGGGTTTTTATCGAGATCCATGTCTGGGATCTCTTGTTTCCTATGATTACACTCGGTCCTCGACACGCCTTGCCGAATCGAGTAGCACACCGATGCTGTAACGGCTAGCTCCGGCTTTACTGTTTTCTTCCAAATTCTTACTGTCGTGGGAAGACATTCTCGAGAGCTCCGTTGGCACCCTTGAACTATTCCTATCCCATATTCCGTTGGGAACTTCATGACCAAGTGATAAGGTGACCAGACAGCGCGAGCTTGGCACATCCATGGCCGTCCTAGAATCACATTAAATGGCGAGGGAGCATCGATTATGGCGAAATTCATTGTTAGATTTACCGTTCGAGGATACGTCCCTACCGTGATTGGAAGCCTGTCGATCCCACTTGGGATTATCGTGTGCCCAGAGAAGCCCATCAATGGTAAGGTAGCTGGGCGCCAATCTGGATTCTGTATATTCATTCTCTTGAAACAATCATTGTAGATGATGTCGACCACGCTGCCATTGTCGACGTACACGCGACTTACCCCCACATTACCTATGATGGCATCGATAACCATGGCATCGCTGTGGGGACATACATCGGGGACGACGTCACTATCAGTGAAGACAATTGCCTCGGTTCCTTTAAACCGCTTGTGACTTGGCTCCTGCAGTGGGGTTTTTGTTACCTGTCGAACAGAGGCTTTCATTGCCGTGGTCGAGAGGACCTCGAGAGGTGCTCCATAAATTGCTCCGACATTGTGGGTAATCTGCTTGGTAGGGTCGAGGGGAGGTATTTGTTGTATTGGCTGCGGTTTGTTATTGAGAGCTGGCTAGGCCAGTTGTTGTGAGTTATCCCTCGGTTGCCAATTATTTCCTCAGTTGGCTCTGCGAGAACCACGATTGTTGTTTCGCCTGGGGAAGTTGCGAGGGGCACCGGGTTTTTCTCGGGAACTGCGGGTATCTCCTCGAGTGGTGCCTTGCGTGTTCTGCACATATTGTTGGAATTTACCGAACTTCACTCCTGCTTCAATTTCCCGCTTGAGCTCTCGACAATCCTCCGTATCATGTCCATGATCCTTGTGGTACCCACAATACCGATCCGTGGACCTATTCGGATTATGAGTCAACGGCTTTGGGGTTGGGAACTCGTCCTTATGGATTTGGAGTATCTCCCGTCGAGGCTTTATCAATGGAGTGAGTAATCTGTCGAGCCTGAGCAGTGAAGGTTTGCTTTCAGCCAGGGATTTATATCTATCTTTCCCCCCTCGTTCCCCTGCAAGTGAGAAAGACTCTTGGGAGTTCTTCAGTGTCTGTTCCCGTTGGATATAACTTTCCACCGTGGCCCACATCTCTTGGGTGTTCCGTGGAGGTTTAGTGGTTAATTTTACTCACAGGGGGGCGGACTTCCCCCAGGGGTTGAGTCCTTGGATGAAGCCATTCCTCACGTCTCTGTCATCGAGATTGTCAATTTGGAGAGATTCACCGGGTAAAGCGGCGATGGAAATCTGTGAGGCTCTCGTTATGTCCTTGTCTTATGGAGGATAGGTCAATAGACATTTTTGTGACTTGCTTGCTGAGGAAAAACCTGGTGGCTAGCTTTACCGTGAGATCCTCAAAGCTGTCAATGCTTTCCTCCGGCAACTGTCCAAACCAACGTTATGCCTGCCCGTCGAGGAACGATGGTAGAGCTTTTGCCATGAAGTCTAGAGATGCGTTACGGATTCTCATGACTTGTACATATTTGTTGAGAAATTGCTGCAGATCAGAATCTCCTGTATAATAGGTGAAGTCTTTGGGGAAGTCGAAGTCTTTAGGTTTCGGACAGTCTCGAATCCTAGGGATGAAAGGACTTCGGTCCACGATCATCCCTATCATCCTTCGCATTGAGTCTCGAATCGAAGGGTCCTGGTTACCTCTATTATCCTGATTTCGAGGTAGAGGGTCTTCTCCTCGGCGATAGTCATGACGGGATTTTTCCTGCGTCCCTTTTGGTCCCAGTCGAGAGTGGACTTTGTTTTTCGGGGGTTCCCACTCTCTTTTTGACAATTCCTCGACGCTAGGTGATCGTCGTCGATCTTGTCTGCGAAATTGTTTCTTCTGTTCGTGCTCCAGTGCAAACTGCTGAATCGCCTGATAAACCACCGGGTTTGTCCTCTCGAGTGTTTCCCAGAAAGTATCGCCGGGGGCCTCGGAAGGTTCAGCACGAGAAACTTCTCGATAGGGGGTTTCTTTGCGATTTCTTTCCTCCCCTTTGTTTGGGGCTGGACGTTTGCCTCTTCTGATCTTGAGGAGATCCAGGGTCCTTCTTGCCTCTTTTTCCTCGACCAACTCCTCCATTTCTTGTTCCGTTGGGTCTAGAAGACCTAACAAACAGCCGCGTTTATATTCCTCGAGGATATAGTTCTTTTTTCTTTGGTTGAGGGAGTTATCATCCTTCAACTTTTTCAGTTCCGCTTTGATCTCGGCCAACCTTTGTTTCTGGAGTGGATCGGGGGTTTCACGGTGACGATTTCGGTTGGTTTGACAGGGGTAGTCTCTTTCTTGGTTCGTCGATCGTTCCTTTTCCGTTTCTGCCTCCATCGGAAGTGTGCCAGAGTTTCGCCGTCCTTAGGGTTTGTCTGTCTTCCAGTTGATGCAGCACTGGATTAGGGACTATCAACTACCACCATCTTTCCTTCCACCGATTCTGTTCTGGAAGCTAATGGAAAGGTTTCGAAAAGCTTGAAAAAACTTGGTGACACAAACCCTAGTTTTCGGGTCCCACTGGCGTGCCACTTGACGATACCTGGAATTGTACCGCCGGTGTAGGGTGAAACTCCGGTTAGGGTTTCCTGCAAAACAGAGCCTCGGGCGTCTCCCGAGGGTAGACACTCCGAAACTTAAGTTAGAAAATAGGGTTGCGATTGTATTAATTTGATAGTCAAGATTGCGTACCTCTCTTGTGGAATAACAGTTCCTATTTATAGATCTCCCCAACATCCGATTCCAACTAAGGTTAGTAATAACAGGCCGCCATACCAGAGGCAGTTAACTCCTGGGATCGAGTAATGGGCCGGTTAGTAATAACAGACCGCCATAACAGAGGCGGTTAACCCTGGGATCGAGTAATGGGTCGGTCACTGGGGTGACGGATATGAACTCACCAGGAAGGATATGTTTTGCTGTCATTTTTCACTCTGCCTTTCTTTTTGTGTCAAATAGTTTATAATAGCTCTTTGATTTGACAAAACCTTGGATGTCTTTTGTTTTACTCATGCACTATGATTCAGTTAGCTCACCATAGTTTTAATTTTAAACGCTAACTTAATGTTTATCTTTGGCACAAAACCATGCCACGTTCTCGTGATTACAATTCTTAAAAACAACATTTCAATTATCCGTAGCTTTGTATGGTGAAAACAATATTAACATTTTGGTGCAGAAATTGTCGCATCTACTCAAAGGCTATGGTAATTGATCTTTTTGCCACTTTGCCGCTGAAGCCCTTTATAAGTTTCTAAGCTAATTGTAGTCTACAGAAAGCTTTCATAAAACAAGCGAGAGGTAAAAGCAAAGATGGAAAATGATGAACTTACTAGTCTTCTACTGTATTTGCTAGAAAACATATTAACAAAAAAAGGTCGGGCCAATTTTGCAACACATCCTACTCTTTTGACACATAAATGAGTTGTAGTGATTTTGGCCTTTCGATTCCAGCAGTAAACCTAGACCGGTCTATGATATTGAATCTAACAGTAGCTCTAGATTCCTACCTCTGGTTTTCTGAAATGCCATAATTCATCCATGTTCCAAAATGTAGTAATTTCTGGCATCTCATCATCAAACCAATTCGCCTCTGAAATGATCTGCTGGCATCCTGAGAAATTCAAGTCCTCCTGAGATTCCATTGCTGATGATGATAAGAACTCGGGATTTGCAAAAAGTGGAGCCTCCCCTGCATCACCATAGCTAGTCATGTCCACTTGATAACACTCATCCTTAATCATCAGGCTCTTGTTCCCACAGGATTCAACAACAGGCCCACCATGACGATGATCATGATGATTCTCCATCTGGGTTGCTGGGAAATGCATCTGTTTCAACGAATCTGATGAGCTTTTCAGTGATTCCGGTGATGTTGATGATGATGATGATGGAGGCAGGGGAATGGCATCATTTGTGAGCAGGGGAGAAGGTGCAGAACAATGGTGATTGTCACTGGATGAGGATGAGGATGAGATTGATGAATTCTGTTCCACTTTCTCAAGCAATCTAGGCATCCAGTAACTCTTGATTGCTTCAAGGAATTTCTTGCTGTTGGAATCAACGTTTAATTGGCGTGCCTGTTTCTGCACCCTTGTTCTCCAGTAGTTCTTGATTTCATTATCTGTTCTTCCTGGTAGATGCTGCGCAATTTTTGACCACCTGGGAAATTTAACCACAAACATTGTTGTTATTATAAGTTGATAGAAAGAATCCCATAAAATTGAAGAATTCGACTTTCCTAAGACACGTTTCCAACATGCATGGCCCTAAAAACCGCCAAAATTAAGAAATTTGGACACCTGTTTCCCCACTTAGAATGGAGTTCAAGTATGAGAAGCTGTTCTTGTGGGGTGAGATTTCCTCGTTTGATGTCTGGTTTTAAGTAATTCAGCCACCTCAATCTGCAACTTTTCCCTGTTCTCTTCAACCCTGCAGTAATTCACCAATAATTTTGTCAAGAAAAAATTAGAGAAAATCCTTCCAATGTCGCATTTTTCTGAAATTCATCATTGCATGTAACCTGAAAGTTCAGATTTAGTGAAAACAAACCGGAAAGATGCAAACTTTATCATGTTTTTTTTTTTTTTTTTTTATACCTGCACATTTGGCTAAAGTATTCCATCTGCCTTCACCATTGCATGTGATGTAATGGATGAGGAGATTATCTTCTTCAAGTGTCCATGGCCCTCTTCTTAGATCATCAAATGCTGCTGCTGATTCTTCTTCCTCATTTGCACTTGTACTACAACTCCTCTTCCCTTTGCTCATCCTAGAAATGTTTTTTAAGTTCCTTTTCAGCTAAAAGGTTGAACAAGAAGGAGAAAAAGAAGTAAACCACAAACACAACAAAATAGTGTTTTTGGGTTGCGTAAGCTATAAAGCCAAAACTCCAAGCTACCGAATTTATATATAGGAATGAATGCCAACAAAGATAAAAATGTAGGACCCCACTAACAGTTGTTTCCTTACACGATTATGCTATCAATTTTATTCAAGTATTTTTTTTTTCTCTTGGGGGAAGAATTTTTGTTCATATGAGGTGATGGCCATGGTGATTATAATGGTCACTATAATTGGTCCGTGAATTTAATGGGTTGTACTATTATATATGTATATATATCATAAGGGGAAGAGAAAAAAAATTGGAATACTCTTTGGATGAGAGGAGAGGAGGAGGAGGAGCATGCGGATGAGTGCGTCAAAAGTATGCGGAAAGAAACGGACATGTGAAATTTGGACCCCATTATTTTAAGGTTTTCTTACTCTTCCATATGGAACTAAATGTCACTGCACACACTCTTGGACTTGCGCCACAGATTGTGACAAACTCAATTTTACATACATAAAGAGCACATCACATATATTTGGGGTACAATGGGATTTTTGGGTTTTTTTTTTTTTTTTAATTGTCTAGGTTGGATGTCAAAATATCACCTTTCTAGAAAGGAAGATGCAAAATGTGCCTATAGACTACGATCACTACTTAAGGTTCTTATTTCTTAGACTCCAATTTAAGGGATCAGATTTCCGAAAGTTGTTTTGTTCCAATGCCGATGACACCAATGCAAGTTTTGATATAGACAAAGTTTTGATTTTTACCGAAGACACGTGACATGAATTTCTGTAAAAATTGTGAGCCACACAAAATAATAGAACCAAGTACAAATTTCTTTGGTCTTGGTTCGAAACTCATTAGTGATTTGATTAGTTGAGTCAAATTTTGAGCTAAGTTGATGTTACCTTAAATTTGAAGGTAGATAATTAAGATCGCAAAACAATTTGAAAAAGCAAAGAGTATACATGTTACAATATATCAACGTTTATTTAGGAGGGTATTTTTCAATTCATATTCTACTTAATACGAATATTTGAATTGATTTCTGGAATAACGTACCAAAACAGCAGATAAAAAAAAAAAAAAAAAAAAGGAAAAGTGAAGGGAAAACATGATAAATTCAAGTACTACTATCTCATAGGGAAGGATACCTCTCATTTGTCTCAGAGTTCATAAATTTTTTTTTATGCAAGAAACGTGTTCGCTGAGACTGTGTACACATGAATCAGTTGTTTATGAAACCCGTAATAAACGTGGGGTTATATGATTTGCTCAACTGGGGTGGCAATGCATGTTGTTTGAAAGAAAGAAGGCAATATATGTATATATGAGCATTTGTTTGAATAATTGCATGGCCTTGGAATTCCAATATCAATCAATTCTTTGCAAGAAAAATTATGTCCGCAGGAAGTAGAAGACAACATTCATGTCCCCTTCAAAACCCTCGTTTTCTGCTACGCAACTTTTTCTCAAGTCTCAACCCACACCACAACAACTCAAGTGGTGGTATTCATAATTTTTTAAGCAGGGAAAAAAAAGAAAAAAAAGAAGAGAAAAACATCCAATTTGAGGCCATGCAAAAAGTTCCGGTTGAGTCCACGTTTCAAACGCTATCAATAAGATTCAAAGGCACATTATTGTTATTAGTTATTAGTACTATAGTCATTCCGTGTCCAAAAAATATATAGTTAACTTTATTATATTATTTTAATTTAAAAAATAATTTTTCTAAGATAAAAGGAGTATAAAATATCGTAGAATTCGCCAAACATAAAAAAAAACCGTAAGATTTACTAACACGGTAACTGCAATTTTTCATAAAACAATATAACAATATTGTTATATTGAAAGTGATCGGTGAGGATGAGGATGCAGCGTGATGAAAGCATATTATGAGTTTGAGATTATGACGGTCGATCCATTATTCTCGAAAGGGAGAACGTGAACGATGTAGATAGAATTTAAAGGTTGTATATAGAATGAGAATCAATTATTGGTGTCTGAAAGAGTACTTAGATGTCAATCATCAGTCGATACATGCAAATTGCAATATGCAATCGTATGTATGAAGGGTTTATTCTAAAGTAAAGAGGAAAATATTTCCATATTTTGCACTACAAGAGTAATAAAATAGAGAGGATGTAGATGCTTTACTATAATTTCTACTTTGGGATACAAGAAAAGTAGAGAATTTCCATCATTTCATGTGATTTAAAGCAAAGATAAACTAAAGCATATGCCTATATTCATTATCTTCTTCTTTTTCTCCCCCCTATATGTTTTCTAAGGTGATTACAAACATTCTTCCAATAATAATGTGAAATGTGACACTTGAGTTAACGTTGTAGCGATATATATACTGGCAAGGTCCTATGCTTTAAAGACATGAAAATGTGCAAATATGCGGCCTTCAAGTGGGTGGGGGGTGTGGGGGACTGGTTATTGTAAAGAGGCCTTTTAGCCATTGAGCAACAGTTGTCCAACAATTTTGTGTACTATACACACATAACACACAGAGATGATAACTACGTGCATGGATGAATACAATGAATGTGCTTAAAGTTGTTGAGCATTCCACTTTTGTTTGATGTTACCACAATAATGAGTGTTTAATTTTTTTTACATGTAAAAAGTGTTTCAAAATGGTGATTGATTATACTATCGTCCAAAAAAAATTCACATTAAAATTAATACAAATTTCAAAATTCAATACAAATTATTGTTTTAAGATGGAGGGAAAATTTTTGACTCGAATTCTACGTGGAAGTCAATTGGTAATGAAGAAATCTAATCTTACGTTACCAAAACTGACACAGTTAGTTAGACTTTCTCTTCAATTCCAACGATTTCATACACCGCTATCACGTCTCAATTCTACTCACTACATTATATAGGAATGGTTTTCTAAGGTGATGAGGTTTTGGGTTTAATTCTTGGGAATATTATGATATACATCTCAACGTTTACACCCAACTAGCGAATTCATCTCAAAAATTTTAAAATTGGTTAATTATGTCCCAAAGATATCAAAATTGAGCAGATTCATTTCATGACCTGCAAACCAATTAAAACGACCTGCGATAACGGGTAAAAATAATTTGGATTCAATATTTAACATTTTTACTAATTTTTTTAAAAATGTTTTGGTATATTGAAAGACAAATAACATTAATAAAACAAAGAAATTTAAATTATTTAATTAGTTTTTAATGAATCTAATATTTGTCTTAGTCTAATTCATCTTAATTTGTTGTTAAAGTTAAGATACATCCCAAATATTTTTGTTTTTATTCTAAGTGAAAAAAAGAATGATTAAAATTTTACATCTGTATATGTTTATTCAATAACTAATCAATTTTGAGTTCATTTAACTTTGTAAGTTTAAGTTTGTGATGAATTAATTCTTTTTAGTAATTAATTAAGTTTTTATGAGCTTTTTCCTTTTGAATTTTTGTTTATTTTTTTAATGAACTAAAAATAACGAATTAAAATAATGAATGAGGAAAAAAAAGAATAAACAAGAGACGTAATAGATTTTTATCTGTTATTACAAGTCACTTTTGTTATTTTGCGGGTCATGGAATAAATTTGTCTAATTTTAATAACCTTGGGACGTAATTAATCAATTTTAAAACGTTGGGATAAATTAACTAGTCGGGTCACTTACACTTCATAGAGTTATAACTATCTTTTCCTACTATCAACGTGGTTTATTTTTTTCGTATAATAATGAAAGAAGTAATAACCTGTTTAAAATATTCATAAAATCGCACCTCATTTTAATGGGTTGCGATCAATCCGATTTATTATTATTTTCTGACATAACAAAATATTTACTGATCGTAACATTGATTTATCCCTTCGTCGATAACAATGTCTTTCTCTACCATTGATGGTGCAACAATGAGTGAGCTTGCCTGCATTTCAATTTTCTAGTGGAAGCCAGGCTCTTTTGGGCTAAATTTTGGGTAAAGCCTACTAATTTGTTTGGGCCAATTAGATGTCCTCTTGAAGGCCAGAAAGTGCATCGGGTTTATATTAGTTCATACGCACGGTGCACACTTCCACCAAAACTAACCGGTTCTTTTAGTACAAATTTTAATTAAAAATGAAAGTTCAAATTTGGACAATTTTATTTTAAGAAAGAGAGAGTCTAAGTGTTATCTAAAGCATAATGATGTTTACCTAGTTCCAAATTACATTGTTTCTGGACTCCATTTTGTGCTTCATTTTCGCCAATTGAAATCTTATCACCGAAGAAGTTAAAACTAGAGTAGATTTAAGTTGAGCGATTATACAAAATGACAGAGAATTGGAAAGGAAACAAGATGATTCTATTATTCAATTAGTTAGATGTAACAATTTTCGAATTAGTTTGGACCAATTATCGAGTCAACCATTTTCTTAATATCTCACAACAAGTGTCCATACATTCACTTATCAATTCCGACTGAGATTCGGTCCATTCGGATATTTATTGTCATAATTTCTCATTCTTACCTTAAGTTTTCCACTTGTGTCATTTTCTCATTTAAACTTTTTAACTCAGTTTTACGAGTCGCTAATGTGGTATGGTTTTTGCTTTCCAATGCTTCAATAGTGAATGAGAAATGGTGAAATTTTTATATTTACGTACCAGATATTTTCCTAGAAGCCAATCTCTACCAATATAATTGATTAGCTAGGACCAACTCTCATCAAATACAAAGCTCCGTATATAATTAATTTTTCAAGGTTAATGGCCTAAATTGAAGTAGACAGTATAAGACAACGTGTATGAATAAGGATATTTGTGAACCCATCTTGTTTAGGGTAGTTCACCAAAGAAAAAATCGCACACAGGTAGGCATGGATTGACAATATTTAGATATAGATGCATGTATATATAGACAAATAGCACACATATAGACGAATGGCATAGGAGGCAAGAGTACACTGACATCTTTAATGATGTTGAATATTTCTTCCACAAAGATTAATAACAATACGCTTCTATTCTAAGGTTTAAGGTACATTTTCTATCCCATAATGTCCAAACAAGACCTTATGTAAGAATGAATACCAGTATTTAAAGAACCTCATGGAGGAAATTTAAGTCCTAAAATTGGGAGCTTTCAGTCAGAGTTTCTTTTCAGCTTGCAGACACCCAAAATATGAAATAATGGAATAAAGAGTCTATATATACTTTTTGCTTTTTTGCTAGCCGGAAGCTACAAATTTGGATTTTGTTTGGAATGATCGAAAATGGACACAACTTAGAGGCCATGGTAAGGAAGAAACTGCAATTCCAATTTCATGTATATATGCATGGCTTAGTTACGTCTATGATGAAGCAATGTGTATGATAAAAACCCTAAATTTTATTACTACCTTTCGACTCACCCAATCCCAAACTTTATTAGGTCGCAAAAGAAACTTGAATTTGTATCCTGGACGGAATTTTTTTAACAATTTTTTTTTGGGACACTTTTCGTTATAATCAAATATATACGCACACTCTAACAAGATGATTCTAGGACTTGATTTGTGTATATATTAATTGAGTTTAAGTATTATGACTAATGCATGGTTTCTACTTTCTAGCAAGGCTAGCTCTTTCACTTTCCGGGCTACAAAACTTTCACTCAAAAATTGGTTGCGCTATCAGCTCATATCATATTACACTTTTAACAGTAGGTAGAATTTTCTTGGTGATGATTGAATTATGATTTTGATCTTTTCAAAGGTTAGAAGATTAGATAAGTACATTGCTAGGTTCCCATGTCTTTTTATCACAATCTTGTACCCATATTTTATGGTCTCTAATTGAAGTATGGTCCACCATGCTTTAGGGGGGGCATGAATTGGTAACATATCAATCAACAATTCTAGGTACAAAACTGTCCTGAGCAATATACACACACCTTATACATATATCCATGTAAGTATTTAATATGAACTGATTAGAGATTTATTGAAGTTGGATTCTCTCTTCTTTCTGGAAAATTTTTACTGATAATGTCTCTCGTGGGTTTTAAGGATTGATGATTTTACATATTTGTGGAAAAGTTATTGTAAGAAAAACAATTAGTTGATGTGTTAGAAAGAATATACTTCAGTGGAAAGGATTGATCAAATGAACGGATTGGATGTGCTCAAAACAGTACAAGGTGAAGATTTTCATGCAGATTGGTGACAATTATTGCTTTGATATATGTGCATACTTTTTGAACAAATTTAGTTTGGATTCTCTTAATGATAAAACCAGTCACAGGAATCAGTTCAATAGTACTTGATGTTCTAACTTGTCTGGAAAAGTGATTTAAAAACAAATAAAAATCTCGCAATTAAGTGATAAAAAAGATGTACTGTAATTATTTTTTTGTGGTAATTTTATGTGACGTTATCAAGATATATAAGCCGGGCACATAGTTATCAAATCGTGATACGTATCGTGTATCGAAAATCTAAATTTATGATACGCGTATCGTATCGTGTATCGTATCGTAAGATACGTTTTAATATAATAATATGTATAAAATAAATAATAAATATCATAAAATCCATATGTCATTGATATATTTATACTTTTTTTATTTTTCAGCTATAAACAAATAAATTGATTAAGTTAAATTCAAGATTATTTGAAAGTTACACAAATTACTCATTCATTACAAGAATAATGGTCGTACAACCTATGTACTAAATATCATTTTTCATGATAATTGTCATTATAGCCATAAATTTAATAGTGAGAAAATTAATATAAACATGTATTACATTTATTCAACATGGTATTAGTTATACTTGATTTGGAAAATGATATTATGAATAAAATAATATTTTTAAATATATTATTTTTAGACTATGATAATTTATTAAGCGCTTCTGTCTTCAATTGAGAAAGATTATATTTGTGAAAGAAATAAATCAATAATATCTATTTAAAAAAAATTGTAAATGAAATTTGCTCTTAATTTAAAATTTAAACGGTTATTATAAAACAAAAGTTTAAATTTTTTTTGTCTATGTTTTTGTATCATGCGATACGCAATCGTATCGTGTATCGTATGTATCGTACCATACGTATCGATAATTGACCGATACACAAACGATTGTGATACATAACATGATACATATCGAAATTCTTAATTTTGACACGTATCGTGCGATGCGTAGTACGATACACAATACGTATCGCGTATCGTACGATATTTACTGCCATGGCGGGGGCTTTATTTACGTGTCTCCTAGATTGAATATTCATGCAAAGGACACCAATATTTCAAGTTCACTCGGTTCTTATATAAACCATCCATTCAATAAGAGGTTTCCTAATATATATAAATGGTTCACAAATAATAATATAAACCTAACAAAATCCATGCAAACAAAGATGTCAAAAATAAAATCTTTTCCGTTGAAAAATGTCAAATATATCTTGCCAAGAACAAGCTCAAGATTCTAGTGTCGAGGAAAGCTTTTGATTGAATTGGGTGTTGGGCAGAATTATATATCAAGAACTAATTAACACCCTGTCATTACTAATCTGTTCTCAACTCATTAGGGCAACTCTCGAACCAGTCAATTCTTCCTTTATTTGCACTGTACATGATCAAAGTTCCATGGTGGTCCGTCTTACTAGATATGAAATTCTGGGGGAAAATATGGCCCCTACTTCTGCGGCCGAGGCATTTCCATTGTTTGTTTAATCAATCGTACGTTTTTTTTTTTCACTAATCATTTAGAAAACGACAAACTATATAATCCGTGACACAGTAATAATATTACCATATTCCGAGTAAAAGAAAACAAGGCCTAATGAACTGCTTACTAATTAGGTTATTACTACCCTTCACTTGCTGCTGCTGAAAACCCCACAAATATTGTTCTTGATTTCCTAGTTCAAAAATGCACAATCATTAAGCAATTTTGGAGAAAATGTGCAATTAAACAAAATACAGAAATGAGAATATTGCCTTCTAATGTAATTGACTTTTTAAGAGGAATTATGAGAAGATTTTTACCTTCTAAAAAAGGCCCCGTGTTGTAAAACCCGGATTGGACCGACCGGTCGGACCGGTTGATCTTGAACCGGGATGATGACCGGTCCGTTTATACTGTGAAACCGGGCAAGAATTAACCCGGTTAAATTCCAGTCAAATCCTCGGTCCAACCTAGAACCGGACTGACCCGGTTGACCCGGGTTTTTGTCTTTTTCTCTCTTTTTTGACTTTTCTCCAACATTTAGCCCCCCCCCTTTTTTGTTTTCTTGATGAATTAACCCCTAATTTTTTTTTAGCTCTTAAAGACACTAAATTTAATATTTTATCAATAATCTTGAAATTTTGATTTTTAAAATACGTCATTTCAAGTTATAAAAATTTCATTCTTGTTTAATTAATTAAGTGGTATGACTAAGATCATTTATTTAGATTGAATTTATCTTTTTTTATTCATAAATTATTATATAATGTTAAAATCTAACATAATTTCTTTTAATACTTTTAATGATTTAAGATGTTACATTATTTATTTATTTAAAATTTAAAAATACTTATGACGTCATCCGGTTTTATCCGGTTTTTGTTTCAGGCTAACGGGGTTGATCCAGTGACCCACTGACTCCTTAATTTTAACGGTCCGGTTCTTAAGTCCGATTTAACAACACAGTGGTTTACTCTTTATTAATAAATTATGACGAATTCTTAAGGTTTAAATCAATATTAGTTTGTTATATCCCTCGTTTTTTACATTTTTAAGGCAAGAAATGTTTTCTAACCTATCCGCGCAGACATTATTTGCAATCACTAAATATCTTCGTAGTTCTTACTGTGTACATGGCCCAAACTTTATAAAGTTATTATATCGCTTTTTTTTTCACTAAGTAGGACATTAATATTCTTCATTTGCTTTATTGCATCTTTTAATGACTTGAAGCTTTCTAGCCTTATTAAATTGTATTTTTTTATTCCAAAATGATGATCCGATTTGAGAATGAAAATTTAGGTTGGACAATTATTTCAGGACGTATGAAGTGGTATAATTTGTAGTAATGTGTCATGAAATGAATAAAAAAGATGGGGACAAGTGAGATAACCTAGGATCAAGCTCAAACCTAACTGTTGACGAGGTACAGCCAAGAGTTAATTAAGGGTTAAACTCTCACGTAAACCTAGTAACATCTAGTAGTATAAATGGCAAAATTTATGACAAAAAATCACTGTCGAATTTTGGGACAACAAATCTGAGCCATATGATATGATGATGAACACAAACAATATGGATGTGGTCAACAACCTCTCATCAGAACTCGAAAGCTTCAATCCTAGCAGTGTTCATGATTTCTTGCTATCTTTATCATCAGCTAATAATGATGATGATGATCATCAAGGGTTTTCTGATCATCATCAAAGATCTCAAATCCCGTTTTCTTTCAGCCATGATATTATCACTGATATTCCTCCTTCAAATGTTATTCCTAATTATAGTTGTAGCAGCAGCCAGCTTCATCATGTTCAAGTACCCACACTCAATTATTTCGATACATTTTCGAGCTATTTTCCGCAAGAAGGAGGTCCACCAACTATCCATGGATTCGATGATACTGCTGCTAAAATCATTAATCCATCCTCTCAATCTGATAATTTGGCGAATTCGTCTCCGGGTTCTCTTCTAGCAAACAAGGCCAATGGGAATTATGTAAGTACTATTTTCCATGTCTTCCTATACTTAATTTAGGGTATTTTTATTCAAGGGGATGGATGATAATTCAGTGAACTCGAAATTGCTTTTCGTTTGGGTACATATATGTTGACAGAATTATGTTGGGAAGAAGAGAAGAAGAAGTAATGATAAAGAAGCGCAGAAGCCTAAAGAAGTTGTTCATGTTAGAGCTAAGAGAGGCCAAGCTACCGATAGTCACAGTTTAGCTGAAAGGGTTAGTTGTATTTTCTTCTTCCCTTTATATGTGCTAATAAAATTTCTTCATTTTCTCAAAAAAATTTCATGAGTTTTTTTCTTTTTTTTTTTTTTTTTTGGGTTGATCCCATAAGATTTCATTTATTTGCATGAGATAAAATGAAATTAACGGTGTTATTTTTGACAATCTATTTGGTATTAGCTCCGAAGAGAGAAAATAAACGAGAAGCTAAGATGCTTACAGGATCTCGTTCCCGGATGTTACAAGGTATATATAATTCTTGTTACACCTATGCTTTCATCCTTTCTTCATCCTTTTTCCCAAATTTTTATGTGAAAATTAACATTTCTTCAGCACCCTTTTTTGACCTTCCTGTTTAGAATTATTTATCTCTGGATGTAGTCTTCTTTTTCAGTTTCCTTGATCTATAATTGTGTTAATTATCAAGAACCTCCATATATATATATATATATATATATATATATATATATATATATATATATATGATATCATGTACAAATGACTTTTTGCAGACGATGGGCATGGCGGTTATGCTGGATGTAATAATCAATTATGTGCGCTCTTTACAAAATCAGATCGATGTGAGTTTTTAATTTACTCCTTCATGAAATCCATTTGAAAATGAATTGACGTATATACATATACATTTTTCACACTTAATCTGTTTTATTAGTACTTTCTCGTCCTTCTTTCAGTTCCTCTCCATGAAATTGTCCACAGCGAGTTTATACTATGACTTCAACAACTCAGACATGGATACCTTGGGAACAATGCAAGTATGTAAAGTTTAATTGACAACTTTTGTTTTTTATTCTTGGTGATCATTTCGACATCATGATCAATATGAAATAAAGAATAAAAACAAAAATTTATTTTCTCTGTTCCAAAAATGGTCCACATCGGAATTGCATAATTTACAAATTACGTAGTAGATTATTTTTTTGGAACAGAATGAGTACTTAGTAAGATTAGGATTCTCATTTACTGAATAGCATTTATGTCTAAATTAATGGTTTGTTGCAAAGGGTATGTATGGAGATGAAGCACAAGGAATGGAGAAAATGATGGGAGAAGCTGGATATGGTGTACTTCGTCCTCAATCACATACTGCAAATTGGCCCCTTTGACTTTGGTTAGTTGGAAAAATGTGTCGACGGACATCAATATCAGATAGCTAGCTAGTAGAATGTGGTTGTGTAATTGTGTGATCTTTGATTTCTTTCCCTTATACAAAATCTGTGTTTTCATCACTGATCTCTTACAAATTCAATACTGAAAACCCTATGGCACGTTTATTTTGATTAGGGTTCACTTGAAATGTAATGTTTACATATACACTTTGATATTGATAATAAACTTCTACAACTGAAAGAATACGTTTGCTTCTCTGTTTTTTTTTATTTTTTGGGTCAAAGTATATTTGCACCCATTTCTTACTATTACACATTGTTATTTATGAAGTTATTGATTTAAAAAAAATGTGGATTTGAACCGGATAACTAGGTTATTTTATGGAAACAAAACTACTCAAAATAAATATTTTTATTATACCCATGCCTAGATTTTAACCATTTCTAACAATATATATACAATTCAAGAGCACTTTGCAAAGCCATCTCCCCTTTTAGTTCCAATGTGCTTCACGCACAAATCTGTAACGAAGAACTTCAGTTACATTGCTGAAACCTAATTGTTAGGATCTCCTCTCTCAAAATTAGAATCATACTTTAATATTCATATTTTCTAAAATTTTGCCGCCCACTTCTAAACAATTTCATTACCAAACACTCATAAAACCATGAAAAAGGATAACGCAGAAAAATTAGAACCCAAAAAAAAAGGAGGGAAAAAAAAAAGAGTTCCCCCCAAAAACATGAATCTTTCTTTGAACAAAGAAAGTTAGAGAATAAGGGGTCGATCGAGCTTTATATTTCATTTTATCTTTACCACGTTATGAGGAAAGTTTTTAATCAATAATAACGTACATGCGAGATGATTATATCAGGAAGATTGCAATAATTCAGCCAAATTAACTTTGTTAATGCCAGTCAAATTAATGGGATTGGATTTGGATATGGCATTGGCGTTATGGATAAATAATATAATAGGACACATAGAATCTCTGACGGATATGAATTGTCCAAAGACTAACATCAATCTGGAGTCCAGACACAGTTTGGTAAAGTTTAAGGATATGATTACCTTAGTGTGCTACATCAAATCAAACATAATATTACAGTGACTTTCATCCTAAGATAGTCAGCAATTTCAAGGCAATGACAATGAAGCATCAGGAATGAGAAAACTCCTTGTTGATCTTTTAGTAAAAAAGGTGTTCAAGAGCCACAGTAGCCATTTGATAATTGAACAAAGAATTATTCATGGGATGGTCACATTTGTTTGTTTTTGTCTCCCCCCCAAAACAAACTCATCTATCTAATGGTGGATTCACAGAAGCTCCTGAGATGAATAGTACACCAAAATAAACTATTTTTCTAATTAGGAAGAAATAATTAAGTAAAATTTACTAAAAACCGATTATATATAATTTACGATTCGACACAGAACTCTTTTGGATATATTCATGAAAATGAAGGTTTGTGAACCCTTACTGTTTGATTTGGATGGGAAATATGTCTTAATCCAGTATTTTCCATCAAAAGGGGAAAGGGGTGACACAATGAGAGTGATAGTCCAACCCAATTAAAATTTCAGGTAAAGGACGAGTAGCTTATCAATCACTTACGAAATGAACAAATGGAAATAGGCACCCACCAATACCTTAAAAGTCTTTTCATATGTCATTCCTCTGGTTTTGACATTAAGTTGATTTTTCCACAGCATTTCAATGATTTTTTAAACAAGCTAGTGATGATTGATTTGATTCACGTATTGTTCGTCAAACAAAAGGACCAATGTTGTGGAAGAACAAAATTTTTTAATGAACTATATATGCATATACTCGGAAAACAAAAATTGTTGAAACTATAACCTGTGTTAGATCAATAGTTGTCAAAGTCCAACATAGAGTTCTAAAATCCAAATGCAGTTTTCATTTCTCCCAAAATAGGTACTCTCCCGTTCCAAAATTATTGTTCAGTATAAATTTGTATTTCTAGTTTAAATTGTGTTAAAAGTGAAGTTTCAAACCGAACAATAATTTTGGGAAAGAAGGAGTAGTTTTTTTTTTTTTTTTTTTGGTTTTGGATAGCTCTATAGTAAATGTCATATTGTTAATACCTTTGTTAGATATACTTTCGTTTATATCAATTAGCCTTGTTCCGTCGCGCGTTGCACAACCAGTGCATATATTAATTTGATTGCTATTTTTCTTTAAAATAATTTGTAATATATTGTTAATGCTCTACATAATTTGAGTAGTGTATCAAGCAAATCACCTAGCATTTAAAAAATTTTAAAAATGTTTAAAATTTCTTTACTTTGAATATTCTTCTTATGCATGGACCCTTCAAGAAATTCGATTGATCCATTTGATATTACGGCCTTGAAAGTAAACCCAATGCTTCAAATCACACCCTAAAGCTCACGCTTCTGAACATCGAACTTTAGAAAGCCAATATTCAATCAACCACAATGCTTTGAATTTCTTACAACTACATAAAATCTACAACCAATTTAAACGAAATTGATTCAACTTCCAAAACCAAAAATAGAAATATCAAAACTTATAAATTAAGAACGGGACTAAACCAGTGAACAACGAGGGATAAACGAAATGAGTGGAAACGACTTTGAATCTGAAGAATTCTTCAGCGCTGAAGAAGAGATGATTTATTTAATATTCTGCAGGCGACTGTCATACGAAAGTGAAAGCTCTTAAACCTAAATAAAATTCCAATGACTTACTTAAGCGTACATTCTCTTCATATATAGTCCTGCACATGTTTCAAAAAGGTATCACGACCCAGGGTAAAGGCAGAAGGTGAAAGAGTAACAAATACAGCAAACTACTGTTACTTCTGTTAATCCTACAATAGGAAATATGATTTATATAAGCATTCAAATATTAGTTTTCAGAACTGAATTTAGGATAAAATTCCTTTCTATGCCTTTTATCGCTGATCTACCTGCTATTAATTGCCTTAAATTTATTGTGCTTCTCAATCAGATGAAAAAACCTGGCATCAACAGGAAAATTAAGCCAGATAGGACCATTTTGCTACCAAATTTGATGAGCTTATCCTAATAAGAATGCTTCAAACCATCTTCCCTAACTACGAACACAACCAACATTAGAATTATAAAGCCGCCATGACTCAAAGCAATTTACTTGTAATCATATACACATAAAAATCAAATCTACGCACAGCATCTTCCTTTCATGTATTTGAACTACATTCATCAGTGAAGGAAAAATATACAGCAAAAGTAATTGCTCAAACCTCAATCATGAAGATCGCTCAAACCTGAATTTAACCCCTTGAGCTGCTGAAACGTGTAGCTCAAAAATCAGAACCGTTCGCTTCTAAAAATCAAATTTGAGGAAGCCAATATTCAAAACAAAATAAAATTCAAATAGGGTAATCTGGACCTTTTTAGCTAGTGTTTGAAAAGGATGGATGGAAAACAAGAAGACTTTAAAGGACGGCGAAGGAGCTGATGCTTAGAATTCGTCAAGTCCGAATCAACCGATTCGTTGAATAGGTATTACAAACAAGGAAGAGGTTTTCTCCAGGACAAAACATGCTTCTAATACCGCCTCGATTTCCTCAACTTGGACTTCAACCTCACTCATCTCTACTTATGAGTTCTCCTCCTCCTCAGATTCACTTTTACCATTCTGTACAAACCCCAAAAGTTAAACTACAACTAACTTATCCACGTTAGGATTCGAGAACCAAAACAGATAAAACCTCCGCCACATACTTTCACAATAGTAAGAGCATTCATAAGGAAAACGAAACAAAAAAAAAAAAAAAACGCAAAAGCGGAGCCGTGAAACGTTCAACAGATAATATAATATTAGAACACAAATCTAGAGACCACACAGCGGTTTCAATCCTTGAAAGGAAACAGTACGATGAAGCAGAAAAAGAACTAACTTGAGTCCAAAATTTTGATGCCATGGTTGTTTCTTCACTGGCTTACAGATTTAAGTGTTCGCAGAAACTGCAATAAAGTAAAAAAAAAATCAGAAAATCGGAACAAAATCGAAAATCAGAATCTCACGACAGATGCATAAGAACCTGGACTCATTAAAAAAAATGGTAAAAATCGTTCACCAATTCAATTCCAATTAACAATTCAATTAAGTAGGCAAAGAAATAGCACATCGAAACAAACTTGATTTTAGGATTGAGAATCAAACTCTCTGAAGGCGCCAAGCAATTGGCTCCGAATCTTGTTCGATGGTGCTTCTGGATCGAAGATAAGAGTAAGTAGAATCAACTGGAAGACGAATTCAAGAGAAGAGAGTAAAAGAGAGCAGATAGAAGCATCGACCATCTGCTTAAATTTGCAGAGGTTGAGAACAACGGGGGGAGGGATTTTTACCTTATGTAGGAGTTTCAGTTTGGGAAGGAAAACGGAGAAAAGGACATCGTTATTACTTCTTATTTTTATTTTTGATAGCTGGGGTTTTTTTTCCAAATTCGAATTTCATATTAATTATTAGTGGAAAACTGAAATTATGAATTCTCGTTTTTACCCCTAATAAGTCGCTGATGTCATATCAACCCTATCCGACTAACGAGATCGCTTTGACGGTGGTCCTTAATATTTCTTGGGCATTTAATTTCTCGCTGGCAATTAGGAAATTGTTTTTCTATAACCCTAATACAAATCAGGATGGAATTCTAACTCGCCGACAACCATCACCACCAACACCTCAGCCGCACGATCAAATTCGAATCCAAAGTCTGGATTTTGATTTGGATGCCATGGGAAGCCGTGGAGCTGATTGGGTCGTGGCGGATGGGGGAGGGCGATGACGGTGGTAATAATGATTGTAAAAATTTAGTTTATTTTTATAAGTTCTTTTAAAGCTTAAAACCCAAAATGACATTTTTTTGGAAGGTTAGGGTTTTTTCCAAAAGCTTTACGGATTTTATGCCCAAAAAATGACATTATCCAAAACGACGTCGTTTTGTAGGTTGGGGTTTTTTCCCCAAAATGAAACGGAATTTTTAAATTGAGATTTATGAAGTCCTGTTTATACCCCTAATAAGTCGCTGACGTCATATCAACCCCATCTGACGGATGAGATTGTTTTGAAGGTGGCCCTGAATATTTCTTGGGCATTTAATTTCTTGCCTACTGCGCCTTTATATTAAGTATAAGGATAAGGATAAGACATACTTTTAGACTGAATTCGGGATTGAAAAGATTAATAAAATAAGACACAACCAAAAAAAATTAAAAAAAAATTAATCGTTATGATCAGTGGACAACTAAAATAGAACGTTGTTAAGCACAGGTGAACCAATTTGATGAACACATTTGGAGGCTGTTCGATGACATTTACGAGGCGGAAAAAAGGAATAAAAAAGAACGAGGACCAATAGAAGAATTTTGAAAGAGTAAAGCAACGAAATTTGCAATTTACGTAATTTAGACCGGAAAAGGGTTGGAAAAAATTGGCGTTCATACCCAAAACTTTGGGCTCCTCGTCAATTCTATCCTATTAATTTTTTATTAGTTAATTTTATCCTTACTATTTAAAATTTTGTCAATTCTGCCCAATTGGCCCAATTTCCGTTAAGTTTAACGGATTTCCGTTAGTTTTTAACCAAAAATACCTTGATAGTTTCAGAAAATTATAAAAATAACTCCAAAAAAATAAAAATAACAAAATAGTCCCTTTTATTCTTTTTTTTTTTCTATTTCATTTTATTAATTTTCATAACCAACAAAATATATTATATGATCTTTTAAAAAATAATTATTTATTTTCAAACTCTATTTTTCATGTGCAACACATGTGATTTGGTCCAGGGGTAATTATGTTATTTTAAATTTTTTAATTTTTTAATTTTATTTTTTATTCGTTATTTTTTGAGATTCTTTTTCTTATATTTCCTGACTTGTATATATTGATACTAGTATAATTATTAAATTCCAATAATTAATTTATCTTTTTATTTCGTAGATTATAAAAAAATTAAGATAAAGAAAATGAGGAAGGAAAAATCAAGTTGAAATAAACATGAAAATTAATAGTTTATCATTCTAAACAAAAAGTTAAAAAATCTAAAAAAAATCTACAAAAACAAATCTTTCCTCCTTGACTTCCTCTAATTCATGTGTGAGTTATGAAACATAAATTTTACTTGATCTAGTCTAAAATGATTATTTTGTTCGTTGTAATAAAAATAATATAAAAATTAAAAAATCATTTGAAAGATGAAAATGTGCTAATTTAATTAGTCCACAACGATGAATTTCTGTAAATTTGGTTAACACTATTTTTATTCTTTTTTAATAATTACTTTTTTTTTACCGATTGGCGATTGCTAAACAATATAAGCAATCATTGAATTTCATAACAAAGATAAATACATGTATTTTTTAGCAAAATAATTACTAATTTATACTATCTGACTTGTATTATTTTTATTACAATGAACAAAATAATCATTTTAAGCTAGATCGAGTAAAATTTATGTTTCGTAACTCGACTATGAATTAGAGGAAGTTAAGGAGGAAATACTTGTCTTTGCAGATTTTTTTAATAGAATTTTTTTGCTTTTTGTTTAGAATTATATACTTTTAATTTTTATGTTTATGTCAACTTGATTTTTTCTTTCTCATTTTCTTTATCTTAATTTTTTTTATAATCCATAAAATAAAAAGGTAAATTAATTATTTAAATTTAATAATTATACTAGTATCAATATGTACAATTCAGGAAATATAAGAAAAAGAATCTCAAAAGATAACGAATAAAAAAATAATATTTAAATTTAAAAATTTAAAAATAACAAAATTACCCCTAGACCCAAATCACATGTGTTGCACATGAAAAATAGAGTTTGAAAGAAATAATTATTTTTAAAAAATTATATAGTATATTTTGATGGTTATGAAAAGTAGTAAAGAGAAATAAAATGAAATAGAAAAAATGAATAAAAATGGACTACTTTGTTATTTATTTAAATTTTTTGGGGTTATTTTTATAATGTTCTGAAACTATCAGGATATTTTTGGTTAAAATCTAACGGAAATCCGTTAAGTTTAATGGAATTGGGCCAATTGAGTGGAATTGACAAAAATTTCAAACAGTAAGGACAAAATTGGCTAATTAAAAATTAATAAGGTAGAATTGACGATGAGGTCAAAGGTTTGGGTATGAACGCCAATTTTTCCAAAAGGGTGTGATGCACGTGACAAGAAAACAGCGGCAAATTATCCGTTTGGGCGGAGGGGCCATGGAAGAACCGCCGAACTCCTAAAACGTAACGCCTTATGAAATTAAGATCAAGAAGCCAACAATATCTCAATTCTCTGCTCAATTTCTTTTTGCAACCAAAATCCCAAATGTCTCATTCTTTGGTCAGAGCTTCTTCTTTGCCGGTGAACTCGTCCGCCACCTTCCGGACCAATGCTCCTTGCTCCGGTGTCAACCAGCCATCACCGAATTCTCTATGGATCTCCGGGCAGAGCATTCGGCTGCCACCTATGAGCTTAACGTCTTTACCATACAAAAGGGGCTGTGTTACTGCTGCAGCTTTGGAGTTCAAAGGTGGACACGGGTATTTGAAATTTATTGGCACTTGAGTTCAAAACTTCAAATTGTGTGTGTGTGCAAGAGAGCGAATTGTGGAGTGATTGCCTTAGGGTTTTTTTTTTTTTTTTTGGTTACAGTTTCTGAGGTGGGATTTGAATTTAGATGCATTTGAGTATTTCGCTTAAATTAGAGAAAGAAAAAGAGGGAATTCAAGATGGGATTTTTTGGATACAATATAAAGTTTGGAGCTTTTATATTGCTTGCTGAGTATGAGGTGGAATTTTCCGTCTCTCACATTATTGAATGTAGTTATGATTTTCTTTTCGAGTTGAATTCGATTTTTTCACCGTACCATGGAAATATACAGAGTCTTTAAGTGAATTTTGAGTAAAGAGTGTCTTTCTTGTCGTTGGTTTTGTTGCTATTTTCACTCATAAAGAAAAGAGCACATTGGTGGATGCTGAATTTTGGCAAATGCATATGAAGCTGGATATGAAACAATAATCTGATAAAAGAAGATATCTTCATAATGATGGGATGAAAACTGATTGCCATTCATTCTTGTTGGCAGAATGGGTGGATTCCATGAAGTTGAGCTTAAAGTTCGAGATTATGAATTGGATCAATATGGTGTGGTGAATAATGCAGTTTATGCAAGCTATTGCCAGCATGGTAAGATTTATTCATCAATGATCCATGGTAATAAGAGTGTACCATATTGACCTTAAATATGTTAGTATTTGAGAAAGAACTTCTGCTGATTTGTCTCTAGGATGGTGGTGTGTGTTAGAGATTGTAATGTTTGTTTCGGAAGATGTTCCGGGAGGGGGCTTCTTATGTTTAGCATCATTACCTTCTGGAAGCAGACACTCATGCTTTAAAGTCAATGTTATTCATTTGGACAAATGCCTACGGTGTAGAAATTCCTTTTCTCTTGTGAAAGGGAAACCAGCTCCTACATGATTTTCCCTTTTGACGTTGCATAAAAGGTTTTGTTCCCACTTCTGGACTCTGTCTTATGAATTAGGCACCAGAGCTTAAAGTTTCTCAATCTGAATGGCTGAATTAAATAAATTTAAGCTGTACAATAATATTTATTATGAGTTCTATCTGAGGGTGATTTGACTGCATGGATAGCTTAGGCTTGTTTTGGGACAATGATTATATGGGTTTCATTGACTCTCACTTCTTAAGACCCAAAATTAGCTTTAATTTAGAGGGAACTGAAGTTCCAGATTGCTGTCGATTCTTCAACTTGGAGCCTGGGAAGTTATTCCACTTGGCTAGTATAGGTGAGAATTGTAAGCTCTGAAATAATAATGAAGAGATAGCACGCATTATCGTGGCTATGTGAACATTATTGAAAGCTTGCTTTACTAACTTGCTGTAGTAACAGAAGTTCCTACTTGGGAAGCTTTTTTGCTATATCTAAACTGATGGTTCGAGCCATTTTTGTCACTACTTTGGCCTGAGTAATGGGCACTAAATAGATTTGATCCCAACTGTAAGTGGCTTTTCCTCTATTATTCAAAATAACCTTTTTCATGATTTCGACAGCCCGTCATGAACTTCTGGAAAGAATTGGTGTAAATGCTGATGAAATTGCACGCAAAGGTGATTCATTGGCCCTGTCAGAACTGTCCTTGAAGTTTCTTGCTCCTCTACGGGTATGTATCTTTCCACAATCCACAACAGCAACCTTCTCCTCTCCATATATATAGCTCATTGGATGTGCCAGATGAACAAAGAAGACTCTCTAATGCCATCCTATTCCTTATTTTTGCATCTTTGGGAATTCCTTGGATCGAAAAAATTGTTGATTAACAAAAGTGTTGCAAGTCTCACTTCTCACAAAGTGTGTCCATTTTGTTCAGAGTGGAGATAAATTCATTGTCAAGGTTAGGGTATCTGACTCTTCTGCAGCTCGGTTATTCTTTGAACACTTCATTCTAAAACTACCCAATAAAGAGGTATTGAGATTCAATGAGTGATTCCGGATTCCAGCAAATTTATTTTGCAGCAAAGGTTTATCCTTCTTTCTACCCTCTTTACTTGGTTTTGTAGCCTATATTGGAGGCCAGAGGGACAGCAGTATGGCTTGACAAAAGCTACCGGCCCGTCAGGATACCTGCAGATGTGAGGTCAAAATTCAATCTATTCCTTCGCCATGGAGACTCCAACTGATATTCATTCAACATATATTCACTTCCATTGTTTCGAAATGTATATTAGCATTGGGCTATGGAAACAGGAAGCTACATAATGCAAGATTTGACCTTAGAGTAAGCTGTTGCTCTACGTTATACATTTACATTTCTGTAAAATCATGCGATTTCTCTGCCACAAACCACGCCGTTTACATCTTCTTGATGCACGGAGATGGGAAATTTGCAGAGTGATGTTCTAGAATAGACGAGAAAAATGGTAACTTTATGCTTCAAAGGGTATACAAACCTAGTTGGGGATACATGTTCATTAGTTACATACTAACGAAATAGATACATGCAGTGTTTTAATTATTATTGTTTTTTTTCTAGTAAAGGGTAAACGTTGTATATCAGCATCATAACTGTTGTACATACACGTCAGTATTGCAAAAACTGAAGAGAAAGGAACCGATACGCGTTTGGTTAGTTTGACTTGTTTTTACCCTGGTCACGTCTGTTTCCGGAAATAGTTTGATGTAAGATTGGTTGTGGTTTTCTTTGTGGTAAAGACGTGCTTCCTACCTGCATAATATTAAAAATTGCTAAGGCTCTTTATCAAAACAAATCAAAGTTACAACTTTGTCAATCCGAGTCCTTTTTGTTTTCTTTTTTATATATAAAAGACCGAACTGCATTTTACCTTCGAGTTTTGGTTGGTGCATTTTTGGGAGCCAAGAAGGATGTATGAGTTTATCTTAAGAACCAGTCAAAAGTTATCAAGGCAAAATGTGCTTTTAACACCGTTGAATGTTAGCTGTTTACACTGCCCCAAAAACCATCAATAATAATGACTTCAGCGGTTTGAGAGCACACGGATTGTTTTTTAATTGGTTTTTGACATAAGTTGCTGTCTCGTCAGCTTTGTCTGATCCAGAACATTTCTTATCTTCTAGTATCTCTCACATAGCACATCATATATTAGTTATATATTAATCCATTGAAAACATAAGGTAAGATCTGAAGGTTTTGGACCGAAGGAAAGAAGTTTTAAACCAAAAACTGTGAGGAGACCTTTTTTGATCAAGAAGAATGGCAGAAGAAGAAGGAAGCAACTCAAAAAAGAAGGTGATGGTGGCAATTGATGAGAGTGAATGCAGCTACTATGCATTAGAATGGGCACTCAAGAACCTTCATGAATCTCTTGTCAATTCAGAGGTGATTGTTTTTACTGCACAGCCCATTGCTGATTACAGCTATCTCTATGCATCTTCCATGGGAATGGCCCGTGAGTTTTGTTATCCTTCTTCTCCATATCAAGTTGTTTCCATCTTCTGATGTTTGTTTGTGTCCCTATGATCCGATGATGTTTTTCTTGTTAGTTTTCTGAGTCTCTCCAATGTATCTGTGTCCTTGCTTCCTCTCCTCTACTGTAGAAATTCATTCCATTTTCAGAATTGAAATTCCTCCTCAATCTGTATGCAGCATTGATTGGTTACTAGGGTGGATGAATTGTGACCAAGTTCATTTTTTGGCACTGTGGTCTGGCTTAATTTTCTTCAGGCAGCGTATCTGTATTGGATATGGGCAAATTTGCCTTAAGACTCCTTTACAGCCTTGTCTTTTAGTGAGAGGAAGATGTAAAAAGCAGTTGTTGGATACTTGGATGAAGATTGCACTCCTTTTCGTCCCATTTTAATAATCCACTTTGTTGCCATTTGGTTTGCAGCCCCGGAACTCATCAAAACTTTTCAAGAACAACACCAGAAATTAGCTGAGGCCCTGCTGGCCAAAGCAAAGGACATTTGTAACAAGCATGGGGTACGAAAAATCAAAATTTTCTTGACTGTTACTCGGATTTCGCTGTCATCTTATTTCTCCTTCACTTCAGAAAGTGGCTGCATATTTGGTTTCCATGTAGTCTTGCAGAATCATGAACTCAAGCTGACACAAGTGGTTATAGAATTGCTCTTACTCCTAGAACCTAAATGCATGTTAGATATAATGTCTAGTGAAACTCCAATTCATATGTAGCATCTGGACATGTTCATGTTATGTTTAAAGTCGACATCTTTGCACAGATTACTGCTCAGACAGTGACTGAAGTAGGGGATCCTAAGGAAATCATATGCCAAGCCGTGGAGAAATTTAAGGTCGAAATGCTTGTCATGGGCACCCATGGCAGAGGAGCTTTGCAGAGGTCAGCCCTTTAAACCACGCATAAACGCCTATATATTGATTGATCTGCTTCTCTTTTCTTGTCTGACTTTAGCTTAAGAATCGATCTGATTCATCAAACATAAAACACATAAATTCTTTTTTATTTTTCTTCAAAGGATAACAAAAGTGCATTCTAAGCTATGACAATCAGATCAGCAATTTACTCAAAAAGCAAACTCTGCTGGAATATTTGTGATGCAGGGCCTTCTTAGGGAGTGTGAGCAACTTCTGTGTTCATAACGCCAAGTGCCCTGTTCTGGTTGTGAGGAAGACAGACTGAAAGCTTCAGACTTTGCTGCTGCTATGTTAGCTTTATTCTGTGCACAGTGACAGATTGTGATTTTATATGATGTTGTAAATTCTGCTTTGATACACAAACTTAGTTAGTTCTACCTTCTGGGTCAGTATCAAACTAATATATATATTTGTATATTTGTGGAGCTGTAAAAAAGCTGTGTCACTCAAGCATGAAGAACAGACCAAAAATCATCAGTAAAACAATCATTTCTAAACGGAAAAAGAAAGATGGAACGCATACATTCATCTAGAACATACGTGTCATCTAACCTCTTTAATGCACAAGGGTTGGAAATTTCCAGGGAGTGCTATTCTAGAAGAAACGAGTTGATAGATATAGACACCTCGACATTTACAGGTGAACTAAACAAAAAGAAAGAGAAACTTAAAAGCTGTGGGGAGATGGCGTGTGTCATTGCTAAGGATAACTGGATAAGCAACCATCGTATCAAAAGCCATTTTTCTTCTTCTTCTTCTTCTTTTTTTTTAATAATGCAACTCCTAAGTCCTAACTTCTATATCCAATGTAAAAAAACTGGTTTCCAGGAACAACAATAATAGTAAAAGACGTGCCCTACCATGTTAACAAGTTCATAGAAGTTACTGCCAATGAAAGAAGAACGGAATCGCCAATAATTTACTGTGAGAATGATCTTTCACACGAATTGTGTATTTATTTTTGGATGATACTGCTGTCCACATCAACTTGTCTGATTCCAGACATTTCTATGATGCCGTATATAATTAAGTATAACCCAGTGAGAATTAAAGGAAGATCAGGAATTTCTTACTACTAAGGAAAATAAAGAGAGAAAAAAAAAAGGATGGAAGAAGAAGGAAGCAAGTCAAAGAAGAAGGTGATGGTGGCGATTGATGAGAGTGAATGCAGCCATGACGCATTAGAATGGGCACTCAGGAACCTTCAGGAATCTCTTGTCAATTCGGAGTTGATTGTTTTTACAGCACAACCCATTTCTGATTATAGCTATCTCTACGCATCTTCCGTGGGAAATGCTCGTGAGTACTTCCATTTCCATGTCCTTTCTTCCTCCCTGTTAATTCACTGCTCAGTTTCTTTCCATTTTGAAATAACTCAACTTTGTGGTTCAGCTTGCAGTTCGTATGGTGGTATTCCATTTGCAGCTCCAGAACTAATCAAGAATTTTCAAGAACAGCGTCAGAAATTCGCCGAGGATCTGCTAGCTAAAGCCAAGGAAATATGTGACAAACTTGGGGTAAGAATGAAGAATCATAACTTTATACTGTATTTCCGATGTTTATTTATTTATTTTTTGGAGCTTTCGGCCAACTTTATAATCATGTGTATCAACTTGTTTCAACAGATCAGTGCAAAAACAATGACTGAAGTAGGGGAACCCAAACAGACCATATGCGAAGCCGTGGAAAAACACAATGTTCAATTGCTTGTTTTGGGCACCCATGGGAAAGGAGTCCTGGAAAGGTCAGGTTTCTAAACACCATTGTGGACATCTTTTTTGTTATCAGACTTGTATAGCTAGACTGCTCATTTGAGACTTGCATAAAATCTCTCTCTCTTTTTTTTAATAGCACTAGAAACAAATTATTTTGAGCTTGTGACAATCAAGAGTGCAATTTATTCAAAATTGAAGCGAGAAATATTTGTGATGCAGGACTTTCTTAGGGAGTGTGAGCAACTACTGTGTTCACAACGCTAAGTGCCCTGTTCTGGTCGTCAGGAAAACAGACTGAAAGTTTCAGCCTTTTGCTACTTTGCTTGCTCTGTTCTTCTTGTCCAGTGATTGATTGTGTGTATGAAATATGAATGTTGTTGTTAATTGAATTCTGCTTTATTTGTATATTTGATGTAAAAGCTCTGTCAAGATATGGACTGTTAATTAACACAGCAGATCAATATATGGAAAAAAGGTTGGAAATTTGTACATTGAATTACTCTGCTTTCCTTTTTATGGGGTGAAATTGGAAGTCAAACAACCAATATCATTCCCCGACAAAATTCCATAATCTTATCACAACATTAGCTCCAGCTAAAACTCAGCACAAAAAAATTTGAAATCTATCACCCGCAACGACATCGATAAGGACTGAGCTGCTTTCGACACGACTTTGGCAGATGGCATTTTCGTTGCCTCGCAGGTTTTGTTTGTTTGTTTGCTTGTTCCAAGGTTCAAACCCATCATCAAACTTGCGGGATTAGTGTCATTAATGCGTACGGCCTGCCAAAATCAGCCGTAATTGTGCTTTGTCCCCCTGTGGCACACCTTTAGCTCATCAGCTTTATAATTCCCTCACTGATAATTAATTACAAGTTCTTAAATAGACGACCCATTGTTCTACCTGGGATCAAAGTTTCTTTTTGCATTACTTTAACAGTAATAACAATGGAGCGAGAAAGGGTTGTGAGTGAGGACAGGAGGGTGATGGTTGCCATTGATGAACACGAAGGCAGCTTCTATGCTTTAGAATGGGCTCTCAAGAATCTTCATGAATCCATTGCCAATTCCCACCTCGTTGTTTTCACCGCCCAGCCCACTTCGGAATTCAGCTATATTCGTGCACTTGAGCGTAATCTACTCTTTTAATTACTTGCTAGTGTATTATTTTGGTTCTTCTTTAACGTTGTCCATTTTGGTTAAAAATGGATCCATGATTATTATTATCTTAATATGCATGTTGCAGCTAGAGAATTGAAGAGAGAAATCCAGGAAGATCAGAAGAAGGCTGCCACTGCTTTATTGGAAAATGCCAGAGAAGTTTGCAACAGATATGGGGTAGAAGAAGAAACTGATCAATTGCTTTTTTTCCTCCTGCTTAATTTGTTCTAGTTTTTGAAGTAACCTATTTGTGTTTCTTTTTCCTTCCAAAAATATGTATAGGTAACACCTGAGTTGATTACAGAAGTTGGGAACCCAAAAGATGCTATAAAAGCAGCAGTGGACAGGCTTCATATTAACCTGCTCATCGTTGGGAGTCATGGTGAAGGCGCTTTTAAGAGGTTGGTTGTCTTGGAAACCAGTTCCAAGCAAATTTTACTTACATGTACTTCTTCTTCTTCTTCTTCTAGGCTTATCCAATCTTGGAGGTCCATCTTGGTAATTAGATTAATTTGGTATCTTTCTCTCTTTTTTTTTTTTTTTTGGACAGGGCTTTTCTTGGGAGTGTGACCAATTACCTAGTCCACAATGTGCATTGCCAGGTTCTTGTTGTGAAGACTAAACCAACTTGATGAGTCTGCTGCAAACTGGGTTGATCCTGTGTGACTTTGTGTCTATACTTGTATGGATAAATAAAGTGGTGTTGTAAATATTGTGCAATGGCAGAACTTAATGTAATAAACGCAAATCTTGCCCTACATTTTCTTATGGTTTCTGTAAATTTTTTTTTTGGGGTTTTTGCACTTAGTTTCTCTCTCATCTTTTTTTGTATAAACTAGTGATTTTCTGCCCACATTCACCCACTCGACAATGCACATATTATATCTTTGTCTATTTTGATAATTTAATTTTAAAAAAATTAATAAGACATAATGGCGCTGTTTATAAAATGATTGAATTTGAAGTATCAATCAACATAGTTAGAAAAATACTTGTGACAATAGAATTGAAGGTATATGTGTAAAATGGTAAGTTAAAATAAATAAATTTGAAATCAATTACTTCTTACGGATCGAAATGATTATTCATCATATTAAAAGTGAAAATTTAAATTAAAAAATTATTTTAAGAGAAAAAAAGAGTATTACTTATAATAGGTGCTTTGAATATTTATTCTGGAGTTCATAGAGGTTTGTATCTCATATTTATAAGTGAAGTCTAACGGATGTAAATAATTTTTATATCAGAATTTGATGAATTAAATAGCATATATAACCATGATCAAGTATTGATATGTGTAATCTTTTTCCTTTTAATAGCTTAATAAACAATTCATAATAAAAATAGACGAACATAGTAAATGAGGACACATTTCCTATAAAAATGTAATAAAGAAACACTAACTGAATGTTCTTATTACGGTTATTATTACCATTGTTATTAATTTAGTCAGCCATGAAAATCATCTCCTGAAGTCAGTTAAAGTTGTGGTTCTTGTGGAGTTTAATCAGGCAACCAACCTTTTAAATTGATATATGTCCTTGGTTTTCGTAAGTGAAAAAAGGGAGATGACGACGAAACTACTGTAGAATGCCCCCTCTCGCTTTTATAATAGTAGTAGATACATAAATGAAAAAGGCCTTATATTGTGGTAAATGATTCATACAACAACTTGGACTATTCAGCTGACTATGCTACTTGATTTTTCTAAAACAAGGTATATCCACAAACAAAATGAGCTGCACACTTTGTAACAATGCCAACAAGAAGAATGCCAACAAGTAGAAGATAAGAATGTAGTAATTCAGAAGAGACTAAAATGTCCAAATGGTTCTTTACATTTGGGCTTATTTGAATGTACGTCCCTAACATTAACATTTCAATGTTGTAATCCCAAACATTATATTTTCACACTTATTTGGTCACATTTCACTATTTCGACCACTTTTCCGCCCAGCTTGATGTTGACCGGCAGTTGACATGCCGGAATCATGGGCATTTTCGTCTGTTCATATAATTTTTAACTTTCATTAAAATTTAAATTATTAAAAATATTATAAAAATTCACATTTATTATTTAATTGTTAAAATATTATTTATTAATTTAAAATATTATTTTAAAAATTTGGGAATTGGCCTGAAAAAAAAAACTCTAGTACAATTTCAGGCCAGAATTATTAGTTCATTAACTTTCTGAGCCATGCAATAATAGACAAAAAATTCCAGTCCAAAACGGGACAAACGCCGGGAGAGAATTTCACCTGTTTTCGGGCGGCGGAGTAGAATTGGTCTGATAACGAAATCTTTCGATTTGCGTCTTCCAATTCAACAACCTGATCTTAAGGTACCTGGCTTCATCTGTTCCGGTTATTTTGTTTAGTTTAAGAAAATGCAGTCCCAAAAGTGAGATTCAATTTGTCACTGAATTTTTATATCTTTACCCTATTCATAGAGTAGCTTGCTATATCGCTGATATCCATGATTTTCTTCCAATACCCTTAATTTTTCATTTGGATTAAGTTTTTCTTACCTTGGTAATGAATGCGCTCATTTTTTTGATTTGCTTGTTTTGATGGAATGCTAAATTGGGACCGGGAGGAGTAGGAAGTATAAGCATGCGATCGCAAGATTGCTGTTCTTTTATTAGCAAAAGTTCCTAACTTTATAGTACTTTCGATCTCTGTTCAACTTTAGATGAATGTGTTCTTATGGTTTAGTTGAGGGTGGTCGAGGAAATGCTTCAGTTGGAACTAAGGAAGTTTATCTGGACGAAAAGTTGTGGTTTTTGGTTTATTAATTTTTCTGTGAGGTTTATTTTGAGTCCTTAAAATTTTTCTTCTTATTTGAGGCTGTGATTTACTGTTGTGGATGGAAGAATCTGTGAAAACTGCTCTTATTTGTCTTGCATTTTCACAGGAAACCTAGTCGTGCTTTGTGAGGATGGGTGGCTCTAGTGTCACAGTGATGTGCTATTGGAATGGAAAGGTTACTAATAATTCCCGTGGTATATCTTACGAAGGTTCCATTCCCAAGGCCATTCTTGTCAACTCACGGATAAAATATACCGAACTGTTAGACAAGATTTATGCCCTTACGGGTTTCAACAAAAGCCAATTCGAGTTGAAAATCATTTGTAGATATCCAGGAAATAATGGCGATTACATTCCGTTCTTGGTTGAAGATGACAACTCAGTTAGTGTTGTTGTTGCTGTGACAGGACAACCTGGGGTCAATTGTTTGGAATTTTATTTAGAAGCAATACCTGTGAGCACAGAGGCACAAGCAGACGCACCATCACGTAATGGAAATGACCATCCAACACAGTTGCCAGGAGAAGAATTAGGATCGTTAAATTGGGACTATGAATCAGCTTCTGGCATTTGTGTTATTGAGGATCAAGGTTCACATGAAGCTAGACGTGAAGATCTCCTGGTAACAGGTGAGACTCGTAGGTAGAATATGGTAAATACTTGCATTTGTAGCATGATGAATGTGACTGTTGCAAGTCCTTGAACTTTGTTTCCAGTTGACGCCTACTTTAATTTTCCAGGTGTAGCCAATTCGGAGGAACTTGAACACTTGTGGCATCAAGATGCTGATATTTCCCAAGGCGATCCCCCAGCTTCCAAATATGCTGGTGTTGGGGAGGCAAATGAGGTTGTAGCTGCTGAGTGTGAGATAGGCAGAGAAACTGATGCACCCTGCTACCCTGGGGACCTTTATGTTGGTCAAAGATTCCCTACTAAAGAAGATTTGCAGAATGCTGTAAAGGCATATTCTGTAAGGGTCAATCAAGAGTACGTTGTGGCATACTCTACAGAAAATTTGTGGGTTTTAAAGTGTAAACAAGCACCTGAATGTCCTTGGAGGTTACGTGCTACTACCCCGAAAGAAGGTTCTTTCTTTGAGATAAAGAAGTATACCGCACCTCATGTTTGTAAAAAGTCTAATAATCAAGGTCATGCACAGATGGATTCTGCCTTTGTTGCTAGACATATTAAAGCTTTAGTTAAAGCCCAGAATTCAATATCTTCATCTTCGATACAAGCCGAGATTTTGGAAAAGTTTAATTATAGTATTTCCACGAAAAAGGCATGGACAGCTAAGCAGAAAGCAATCATTGAACTTTTTGGAGATCGTGTAAAAAGATCCAAAAGGGGTCGTCCAAAATCAGGATTCAGAGCAATGTCTGAGAGTATAAGATGTAGTTCATGCAAGAAATCTGGACATAACAAACGCAAATGCCCCCGTGCAAAGGACATTGAGGTACCTTGCTGTCACCTTTAAGCTAGAATCTTGCCAATATTATTATGTTCAAAATAATTTCATTTCACATTGTGGTGTCATCGGATATGATCTTCACTGTAAATTCTTATTCCGTTCATCTTTGAAGTTGGTGGATTCCGGGTGTTAAGAAGTCAGTCAGAAGATGAAGCGTGTCATTTCATGTTAGTTTGTGCATAGATATGCGTTTCTGGTAAGTCATCTGTTTGCTTTTGAAGTTGATGCCCATTATTTGATGTTTGTTATTAATTATCTTGTTATTGGAAGGCATCACGATGAGCATTTTGTTACATTCTAGAACTCGAGATAGTCAATGAAACCTAATATCTCTTTGTTTTTAAAATCTATCTTTTCAGCAGATCATGAAACTATCACGTTGTTGTGCAGACATGGATGTGGTCTCTTTGATTCAAACAAATTTCTCAAGTTGGTTATTTCTTCATTTGAACTTATTGAAGTGCAGTAATCTGTTATACTGGCTTCATATTTGAGCTTAGTAGCTCAGAAACAAATGCAAAGAAGCATGGTTGCCTCCTGTATAGATATTGTGGTCTATGTCTTCATTTCATAGACATTGGGATACATTCATTGCACGTGATATTCAACAATTGGAATAAACGTGACAACTCATCGCCAGTGGCAGAAACGCGAGAGTTTTGGTTCAAAAGAGAGCATGGATTAGTTCAACTCTTCGATGGGTAGGGTGGCTCTTGCAACTGTTGTTTAGGGAGTCGTCCAGTAAGGGTTGCAAATAAAATTGCTGAAGTTGGTGGATATTTATCCGGTCAGAGGGAAGATAGACAGCAGGACGTAACTGGAAGACCAACTCCAGTGTGTCACCTGTGGTACTGAATACTGATGCATTGATGTTTAAAACTTGCGTCATCATTCCAGTGTCATCTCAATAGGAATGAAGTTTCAGTCATCGCAATACTCTAGCAGCAATCCCCATTATACTCGTGAAAGTGCAAGTTTTTCTATTAACCAAGTCAAAAACTGGCGGTTAGCCAACACAATAAGAAAATCAGTGTGGGAGTTCCTCATGGTAGTGCTAGGCTGCTAGCTGGTCAACAAGTTTCTTGATCAAGTTCTGAAGTTGATATCTTGTACTGCGTAATAAGACACAATTTTTTTTTTTTTTTTCTAAAGTTAGCACTCATTCCATCTGGTATCGCCACACATGCACACTGGTGGCTTATGTAGATTCACAAATATCCAATTAGCCCTTGACAACTGGGTTGCATTCAATCAGTTGACACTGTTTCATTACTTTATTGTTACAATTAGTTTACATTTGATGGGGGAACTCAATCAAAGTTCAATCATGAAGTGATACCAACTGTTTACGTGGTTATCCTTTATTTGATTACTTATAAAAATTAGGCTTTTTGTCCATTTCTAAAGTCATCTATATCTGCAAGATTCTAACTGACGAAATGGGCATCAGCTCCATGGAGTTAGCTGTTAACGATAATGGTTCAGGCAAGAAAATGATGGTTGCAATCGATGAGAGTGAAACGAGTTACTACGCTCTGATATGGGTTCTTGAAAATCTCCAGGAATCCATCGCCAAATCTTCAAATCCCTTGGTTCTTTTCATGGCTCAGCCACCTGCTAAAAGCGGCAATCTTTTTGGTTCCTCACCCGGTTCTGCTCGTATCTTCTTTAATGCTTCTCCAGGTTAAGTACCACTAATTGTGCTTGTGAATTTTCTGTTTAGTTTTGCTTGTGACAATGGGATTCCTTCTTGCTTATTTCTCTGGAGCTTGCTCTCCCTTGCCTTTGTATTTGTTTCTTGCCGGGAAAAAGTTGGGGCTTTGGTAGATGGCACACACACGGTTCAGGTGGAGAGAGTTGCAGGCCCTTGACAAATTTTTTTCTTTGTTTTTGGGTACTAAAAGCCTGTTCACTATCACATGATATATCAGGTTTTTCACCGTTTGTCTGTGCTGAGGTGGGGGGTCATGATGAATTATAACGGTTTGTGTAGGATTTAATCTCTAAGAAATGTAGAGCATGGTGAGCAATTTTCTGACTTGTTTGAAATTTCTTGTATCAGATCCAGAATTCAGTAATGCAGTCCAAGAGCGAGATCGAATGATCTCAGTTGGTATTTTGGAGAAAGCAAAGAGCATCTGCAACAGCTATGGGATATGTCTAATCCTCTCTCCAACTTGAGTTTGAAGTATGCTTTGAGTAATTTCCTTGTTTGACATATTTTCACAATGACACAAAAGTAAACAGTTTGCACTATCAAAATGATCCATTTTTCCCTCTGCTACAACTATATGTTCTAAGTTGGTTTCATTGAATGTTTCCCTCTTTCTTCACTTCCAGATGACTGAGACAATGATTTTTCCATTTTCAGATAAATGCAGAAACAATCATGGTGATCGGGGATGCAAAACAGGCCATTTGTGATGCTGTGCAGAAGTTCGCCATTGATTTACTTGTTTTAGGTGATGATGGTGAAGGGAAAATCAAAAGGTAGATTATCTCATTAGAAAATCTTTCTGCTACTTTAAGCAATCAATTTTCCTACTATTTTGCCATTCCCTTATGATTAATTTATTTGAAAATTGTTCTTTTTTAAAGCCATAAACAGTACATATTCTCAAAAGCTTGCTACTAAGTAAAGTTCAGCATCACTGCAGGGTATTATTAGGCAGTGTGAGCAGCTATTGTGCTTTAAATGCCAAATGCTCTGTGCTAATCGTAAAGAAACCGGAATGGAGATAGCTCCAAAACCAGCTTGCATGTAAATATGGTTGGGGTGAAGTTCTCTGAATTCCTTCTACTTTATCGAATGGTGGTTAGTTGTAAGATTTAAGATGTGCAAGTCTACATAATTTGAGCGCTAAACAGTTCAAGCTGGACTTAGTTGTGATATATATTTTGGGTGGTATACAGAATCCTTCTCTAAGCTCTAGTGTCTAGACAATAGTTTCAGCATCATGAATTCTGTACTTTTTGGAAGTAAAACCTGCTTCACAATTTGTCATCATCCAAATATACTGTTCAGTGTAGCTGCAAGACGAACTCCACCTTGAGCTAGCCGCAAATAGACTATCGGTACACGAGTCAGAAAATAGGGATCTGCAAAATTTAATTTGAAAGTTTAGCTATGATTTCGATGAAACAAATAACATGGATTTGGGAGAGAAGGTGAGCAGAAAACACCTACCTTCCAGTACTGATTCCTCAGTGACACCTTTATAGGCAAAATTACATGCAGCTTTAATACTTTCAGTCGCATATCTGCAGAAAATGAACTGCTTTTAAGGTGGGAGATAACATATTCATAATCATAGTTTATCATCTGGGCATGTGCTGAACTAATGAACGTTGGGAATGTGAAAACGTACACATCTGGGCATGGAGGATTGCCAGTGGTGCAGCCTTCCCATGTCTTTACTCTATCTGCCCATACAGTCTTAACAAACAGGAAAGACAATTGTAGAATCAGAACTGTATACTTACAGTTGCCTTTCAGCTAAATCTGTGTTCATGCATAAAGCTGTAACCAGCTTACTGTTATGTTGGTTTGGATTGCATCAATTAGCTCGGTCACATCAGAGTCATCGTATCTTTCTTCAGCAGTATCGATGATGTTATTGTCCCAAACCTATAGATAATTAGAGCTCTAGAATGATGAGTTCAACCCTGAACACATAATGTTGGTCGAAAGAATTTAGCTGTGTGTTTGCGATAGCTTACATGATGAAGAACTGATTTTCTGGTGTACCAATGGACATCGATTGTATTCCCTCCCTATCAGAAGTGAATCCTACATGCAGGGGCTGATGAATGTCACCCATAAAATGAGACAGAAACAGCAATGCCTCAGTAAGATTATATTGAGAAGCAGATTCTTGTCCGTAAGTCAGGAGCTGGGTGGTGTAATTGTTGATTGCCCCTACAACACATCTGTCTTTTATTCCATCTGCATCCTTGCAGTCCCCTGTTCACATTTTTTAAACTCTGTATTAGTGGGTTTTTTTTCGAAAGGATTTTTGAAGACATTTGTGAATGAGATTCAGCGGCTTCGAAAGAAATTGATGTACTGGTGTACTGATAAGTGCAGAGATCATCAGGGGTATCAATGTAGTGAAGTGGGGATGACCATGGCCTCCGAAACTTGACTCTATCAGCCCATGAACACAAACTCCCTAAATCATCTTCTGCATATGCTGGCAAAAGATCCTTCACAGCATTCGCAGCCGCCTCGCTCAATCGCGGCTGCCAAAACCAGTTAACCCAAGTTACCAAAGAAAAAAAAAACACACACACACACACACACCAGAGAACATTTGGTAAATAGAACAGAAAGTGAATAAATTTCGGAACAGTATAGCCTGCTTTGGAAAGGGAAAAGAAAAGAACCTGAGCAAGTCGACAAACTGAGAGATGTCCATCATTTCCCCAACCATGAACTAACGCCACTGAACACACAAACAAAAACCCCACAAGAAGTGGACTAATCCGAAGTTTTGTGAACTCCATTCTTGCAATGAAAAGGGCTGTCAGGCTATCAGCTCTTAAGGTTACATCAATTTGTGTTTGTGTGTGAATATGAGTAGTGTGAAATGTTTGAAAACCTACCACGAGCAATATTGGGTTGTTTCTTTAATGTTGTCTCAAATTATTAATGATGTGATTTTTTTTTTAAAGAAAGATCGTATTATTATGAAAGGCATCACAATTATTTTTTTTGTCATTACTTAAATACTTTTAATATTTTTTTACTTCTCACAAGACAATTATATCATGTCCTCAATCTTCATCTTCTCACCATTCCCCATAATGACATGTCGAAAATCACCATCAACCTTCAAAGAATCAAAAGAAGATCTCTCTCTACATATGTGCACTGATGATGCACAATCAAACACTAACTTTAAGCTATATCCAGGAGTGTCCTTCATCACTAATAGCTCGATATCGTATGCTACATTTGTATCCGAATCACTATACTTTTCAATTTTGTTTTTGCCTCTCGACTTCTTCAAACTCTTCAAATCCTCTCTCATAACGGGACATCTAGTCTAGATGTGACCCTTTTCATGACAGTAAAAGCATTCAAGATCACTGTAGTCTCTTGGTTGAGATCTCTCACGCGAGTCGCTTCTACCTCTACCTCTTGAATGACTTCTTCCTTAATTTGGACCTATAACAACAGCTACAGTATCTATATTTTCAAGCACACTCTTCTTTCCCATCATTTTTTCACTCTCCCTCAATTGAGTTAACACCTTATCATAACCCAAAGTGATTTTTCCAACAAGCATGCTCTTCACTTATGGCTTATAGGATGGCGACAAAGAAGACAACAACAACAACAAACCTATTCTTCATCATCGATTTCTTCTCCTGTATGTTGAATTCAATACACAAGTTGTCCAAATGCAGTGATGAGATCATGAAAACTACCTGCTTCCTCTATCTTCAAACTATAGAGGTCAATCTTCATCAACAACCTGTTTGCTAGTGAGTTTGATGCATAAATACTCTGCAATCTGTCTCAAATACCTTTCGTTGTTGTCTCTTTCATGACTTCATGCTTAATACTAGGAGCAAGTGCAAGCTGAATGTTATTGACCGCATGCTTTTGCATATCCGCCAACCTTTTATCATTCATATCATCAGGCTTCTTTGCTTCTAGAGCTAAATCAATATCATCTCTCACAAGCAAATCTTTCATTGTACATTGCCACATAGTAAATTATATCTTCTCATCAAAGATAGGATACTCAAACTTCTTTCCCCACATCATTTTATCCATTCTAGAGTCCCTCAACCACTTAAATCGGCCAAAACAACAATAAAAAAAAAATTGAATTTGGTAAAACAAAAGTGAAAAACAAACTCAACATGTCGAAATTAAGGGGAAAAGACAATGTCAAAAATTTGCTGACGTAGTAGTCAACGGTCAACACTGATGTAAAGGTCAATAGTAAACGGTCAATGCTGGTGTGGCGGTCGACGTCAATGTTGATGTGGCAGTCTAGTCAGTAGTCAACTCAGTGCCAAATGGAAGTACAGACAGCAACACATGAACCAATCAGGAAGCGACACGTGGTGACGCAAAACTGTAATCTTCTTCAGCAGCCGCTGCACAGACGGTCCAAAATGCTCGGATTTTGACTGACAATATCTCCTTAACCGTTAGTGAAAAAATTCTTAAACTTTACGGATAATACAACTCAAGCGTGTAGATTCTAGATCTGTAGTCTAATCGGCCTAAATCTTTTCCGGTGATCGAAAATTGGAACAATGGACCGGAATCTTTCTCAGATGATTTCTCCCTCTCTGGTGGTCCGATGTTTATGAAACTTGGGCCTCCAATGGTTTTTGACGTGAGGAATTCAATGGTGTACTCTGATCAGTGAGAAACTTTCTCCTTTTATTTGAACCTATGAACAACCTTGCTCAAATTATAAAACATACTCCCAAATTGAACCTTCAACTTTTGATACCATTTGTTGAGAATTTTTATCCCGTCTATTTTCTAATTACTGAATTTTTATACATTAATTAAACACAACACTCAATAGAATTAAACGGAAAGCAACCAAGCAAACACAACATACAATTTATGTGGTTTAGTCTCTCAATATACCTACATCCACGGACATGTAACACTTCACTATAGGAATATAAGAATCTTTACAAATGTGTTCTTTCTCCTGACACAATTGTCTCTCACTCAATTATACACCTACACACATTCCACTGTGTGTTTCTCACTTTTACACTAATAAACGTTATTTATACTAAAGAGTAATAGGCCATGTTGGCTCCTTCTTCACCCACTTTAAACTGAACTTGGACTTGAGTTTTGACGAGTTAATACATCAATAAGCTCCAATTTTCTTGGATCAGATTTATGGGGCGTTTATTTTTGCCCTTGTTGGATGACTAATAATTATTGAAATGCATCGTCTATGTCTCAATTAACTCCATAATAAAATGATAAAAGGAAAAAAATATGGCTTACTTTCCCTACTCTATTAGGAGTTCACATCCAACACGCTTTACGGGGAAGAAACAAATGTGCTTTATATGCTTTGTTGCTTTCGCTTTGAACCTCTATTTATAGTATTGCTCGGAACATCTAGTAATATCGTATATTTTGTTTTATTTTATAATTAGATCAAAATAACTTGTAGCTTTCTCTTGATGTCCATTTGGTTACATTTTTCTCTTGTCAAATTATCTTTGTTTATGTTTTTCTCCCTGTGAAGTGTCTACAACTTGTAACAATGACTAACTCTGTTACTAGGCAACAATGATTTTCATCGACAATTCTGAATAGTTACAGAACATATATTATAGTATTAATTGTGCTATTAATGTTACACTATGTTTTTATCAAAATTATCTTTGCAACTTTTTTTTACATGAATTCTTTCATATGTTTCGGCTAATGATTTGTCTAACTTTTTGATCATCCAATCAATGGCAATTGTGTTTTGAAGTTTTTTTTTTTAAAAAAAAAACAAATTGTATTTTGAAGGTTTAAGATTTAAAACCCGTTTTGTGCTTCATATGACTCATTTAAATATGTGGATGGTGGCTAAGTCATCAAATTAAGCTTTTAAACCAAAGAAACATAACTCTTTGCTACTACCATTGAAGAGAATGGAATGCTAGGAGTGTGCTAGGGTTCTAGATTATTACTGTGATGGCCCCGAATGGAAGCTAGCATGTCAACCATGCAGCTCAAAGTGTCCCACATTGATGGTTGGCAATGAAGGCGATTAGTATATAAGCTCAAGCTGTTGGTTCTACTGGTAACTTGGGTTAACCATTTTGGGTCTAGTGAGTACGATCATCTAAATAGTTATTGGGATAGACCTGATAGCTGGGGCGTCACAATTGGTATCAGAGCCGACCTAGTCCGGGTGCGGACCCATCTCTGAGCTCACATGTGAGAGACAAGTGATGTGTGACACCTCTGAGCTCATAGGAGTTGTGAGACAAGTGAAACGCATCTGTTCTAGGGGAGCTCGGGCCAACAACGTCACAATTGGTATTAGAGCCGACCTAGTCCGCGTGCGGACCCACCTCTGAGCTCACATGTAGGAGACAAGTGATGGGTGACACCTCTGAGACAAGTGAAACGGATCTGTTCTAGGGGAGCTTGGGCCAACAGCGTCACAATTGGTATCAGAGCCGACCTAGTCCGGGTGCGGACCTACCTCTGAGCTCACATGTAGGAGACAAGTGATGTATGACACCTCTGAGCTCATAGGAGTTGTGAGACAAGTGAAACACATCTCCGAGTACGGACCCACCTCTGAGCTCACATGTAAGAGACAAGTGATGTGTGACACCTCTGAGCTCATAGAAGTTGTGAGACAAGTGAAACGCATCTGTTCTGGGAGGGCCTGGGCCAACTGTATGTGTTGTGTGTTGCTGTGTGTCTTGGGCCTTGCGAGGATGCAAGGATCCGAAGGGAGTCGAGTGTGATGGCCCCGAATGGAAGCTAGCATGTCAACCATGCAGCTCAAAGTGTCCCACATTGATGGTTGGCAATGAAGGTGATCAGTTAAACTCAAACTGCTGGTTCTACTGGTAACTTGAGTTTACCATTTTGGGTCTATCGAGGACGATCACCCAAATAGTTACTGGAACAGACCTGACAGCTGGGGCGTTACAATTACCTTTGTACTAAACTTTGTAATGAATTCTAATTAGTTACTTATTTTGAAATTGATTGTCCAAAAAGAATAAATCGACAACTAAATGCACAATTTCTATTTTTGTTTGTTTTGGGTACCATGAAATATTTGTTCAATGATCTCAAAATATCCTCGCACGCAGTAAAAAGCTCTTCATTTTTTTTTTTAGATTTTAATAAATCTTTATATGAAGATTTGAGTTCAAAGTGTAGTCTTGACTTTTTTATTTTTTTCTTTTCTTTTGGCAAAGAAAAATTATTCTTTTGTTGTTACAGTGATGGAGGCAAGATACTTAGATAATAATACACTGTGAACAAGAAACTTTGATCATATTATGTTTTAACCACGGTCACTCTACCGATGGATCAAATAATTAATTATAACCTCATGGACTAGACATTCCCATTAATGCTAATCAATTAGCCGAGAAGTTGACTTCTCCAAAAATATGGTAGAGCTTCATGCACCAAATACGACAAAGAAATTATTAATATACATCATTATATTTCATAGATGAAAATGTTTAATGGGTAAAAAAAATAAATTTATATTTTAAATTCAACTGTCGAATGAACATAAGGTAAAAATAATGAACTAGAATATCTTTTCTTAATAAAGTAATTTTAACTTTGCTAGATTTGTATTCTCTTGTAAACCATATTAGTTTTCTGTTGATGAAGACTTTTTTTCGCTCATAAAGTATCTCAAAAATATGAATATTAACATTGTGGACTTACATTATGCAGCCTATAACAAATTAGGTAAATTTGAGATTTCCGCACTTACTGAAATACGAGGAAGATATACAATATAACTAATATTCACTGAAAAAGAATCTCGAACCAGAACTAAGTAATATGATTCGAAAATATACTTGTCGCACAACAAGCGATACAAATAGGACTAGAGATTTCAAAATCCTGTTGTCATGTTACCTTCTTCTACTGTCACTCTATCGATTTTGAGTAAATTTAAGGTGTGTGGTGTGATCTGCATGGGTTTAGCAGAAATAGTTGCTACTGTTGAGGTTACTTTCCAGCTTTTCTACATTATGAGTTTTAATTTTTTGAATTTCATAAAATCTGCGACTAGCTCTACCTGGTAATGGTGTCATCATGAATATCTATTTCTCTCGCAACCATCTTTACAATGCTAGGTATAACAATTCTATCATCTCTTTAGTTGGTCAACCCTGTGTGTTGACAATTCTTTTTTTTTTTCTCTCTTCTGTGATAATCGTAAACTACATCGATATTAGTTTAAACAAAATACAATTAGCTAAATCATGTGCTTCAAAGATAAGTGACCTACTAACATATTCTATCGAATGATTCACTTGTAACATGTGTTAATATATTAGAAATGTTAATATGAAGGCAAAACTGTGTGTTAGAAGTTTCTTAAGCACACTAAACGTGTAAAACGTATTTCAAATACCTTTTCCTTTAACTATTAAAGAAGTATGAAATTTAATTCAACTACTTAACACAATGCATTCAAAAAATAATCTCTACATAATTACGTCAACTATGCAACATCAAATACATCTTCTAACTAAAATTCACCGTTGTAGATATTTTCAAACAAGAATACTATAAAATGATTAAAAAAAGAACTGGTCACGCAACGCGGAACATAAATAGCACTAGTTCATTAGTTAAAAAGATATCAAAAAAAAATCTAATAGGAAGATAATATTAGGTTTAACTTAATTTTTTTTTATGTTAGAGTTTGTTGTAAAATTAATTTTTATATTTAAAAATAATATAAATTTGAACAAAAAAATAATTTTTAATTAGTTAATTAAAAATTAAAATTTGAATTTGTAATATTAATTTTTTAAATTTATTTTATTAATATAATTATTTGAAAATTTTATATTCAATATAACCTTTTTTTTCGGGGAAAAAAAACTCCATTCTGAAAATGTTCATATTGACTTGATTTCAAATTCAATCTGGGTGCATTCGGCTACTTGTTTTTGGGATTCAATTGGCATTAGAATATTTTGGGATTCAATTGACATTCAAGATATTCTAATTGAATGCCAAATCAGTTGTTCGGCAAAATCATAGAATTAGCCACAAATTCAATTGAGATTCCAAATTCTCTGTTCGGATAGTCATGTAATTGGTTTGGTTTTGGCTTTTGCTTATTTTTTACAAAAATAAAGAAAAAAGAAAAATTGATCTGTTTTGAAATTACTTTAAAGCATGTTTAACTCCTTTGACTAATCTAAACGTATCTCATCTAGACATTTTCAGCTCACACATCCGTTGCCTACACACTGTTCTCAATAGTGCAACAAGAAAATTTGTCAAATTCCCCAGAAATGGGTTTAAGGAAAGGGGATCGTACGATGGACCGTCACAAATTTTTATCGCTAGTCGAAATTAGACATGACACTTTCAAGTCCTATATCTGGGTTGCATTTTAAATTTTTTTTTCCCGAATTACTACTACACTACATAGACCTATAAACTCCACATTAACATGTAAATAAAATTACTAATATTCGGCAAAATCTGACATATAAACTTCCATGAGAGGAGAAAAAGATGGCAACAAAAAACTACCCAATGCCTACAAAAATCTTCAGTCATGGAAAAACACAAGCTGTACACCAGAAGAGCATCTCTCTTCATGAGGTTTCCTCCAGTTTTATACCCCAAAACTCAGAACATGAACCTGGAATCCATTTCAGAAACTCTACTCCTCACTGGGAAGTTCAAAATTCAGACTTTTTTGATGATTTCTCTGCTGCATTACGTGCACAACTTCAAACTCCTCCTCTGCTGCATCAGAAGCCACCAAAACCTGATTATAATGCAGACAGTTCCAATGTAACAACTAGAAAAGGTGAAAGAATATTACCTGAACAATTAGTTTTCTTTATCAAGTTTGGCCATAAGCCATTTGTATTTCAACTCAACTGGCAATCCCACAAATGTATCAAACATTACTCGATTGAGCATCATCATATCCACAATCTTGATTTTCTGCATGTCATCCAAATCAATTTCCTTCAATTCTGACAAAATTTGTTGAGGGGTGATCTTTGTTTTTTGTGCTATCACAAGTTCAGTCTTTTTTCTTTCCCCCAACATGTAGTCACTACACTTAGCAGCCATTTGCGTCATATAATCAGGAGCTTGCGTTGATGTTGGTTTTTTTCTTGAGCCTTGAGAACAAGCATAAGATGTGCCTTCCTTTCGCTTTTGCCGGGCCAACAAAAGTCTCATAGCTTCGGATTGATTATGAATCTCTTCAGATGGATCTCCTATGTTGAAAGAGTTGACCTCATTCTCAGCATTATTCTCCTCAAAAGTTGCTGCCCCTTGGCCATCGGCACGGCCTTGCGAGAAAATTGCACAAATATCATCCCAATTTTCAATCACAATTTTGTTCTTATAAGGAGCAAGTTAGGGGTTGGCCTATATAACAAAAATTATACATCAATACAGAGAAGAAAATACTAGCACATCATTTTTCTTTTTCTTTCTGCTTGTTTCTCCAGCAATTTAGTATATAACTTAGGAATACGATGTAGGATGTATCTACTAGCACAAAAATCAAACCAAATCTATGTAAACCAAAAGCAAAAAGATGAGACCTCATTTTTAGAGTTTTTTTTTTTCTACACAAAATTCAAACCAAGTACTAAAATTGATAATTATCAGTGACAATGAGCAACAATAAATCACACAACACACACACACAGAAAGATTCAAATCCAGTCATAACCAAAAACAAGAGATTCACATTAAAGAAAAGTTGGAGACAGAGACAATCAACGGTTTTCAAACCATAAGTAGTTTCCTTGGAGTAATAAAAAAGATGCAATTTTGGTGATAAGTTGTGTGTTTCACAGTGATAAGCTTCCAGATGACTCATGAATAAGACAGTAAACTACATGGTACAAAGTTATTCCAGATCAGTTCCTCTTAAAGCGGCGGCACCAAGGAAATATAATGAATAATCAATGAAACCAATAATGAAGGCCAGAACATCAACATATGAAACACGAAACTTACGGGTAAAATACCTGAAACACATCATAAGAGAACAATAACTTAGTCAAACTAAACTCAAACCAACAAGACAGTACCCACAAAGTACAAAAAGGTCAACAGAGAACTTCCATTATGCTATATGCAATGTGTTTTCACAGAAGTGAAAGAAACATGATCTGCACATAGGAAAATTGTACTGAGATTCGACAATCTGCCTGTGCATCAAGACTTTTATAGTTAGAGATGTCACATCTGCTTACATAGCGGATAAAATTGACAATTTTTGCAGCATTTTGTAACCAAAAAACCAAGAATAGCACATACATTTACAGGACTATTACATGCAAGAAATTGTTTGCAGTTACAGTGGATGAAGGAATATTTGACATTCTCAGTTTCCAATCCATTAATTTAGAATTATTATGGAGAAAATTTGTGGTCAAAGTGCATATAACCACACCTGTGCATAAGGATGGGTGTCAGCAAAAATGAAATTGACATGATCATAGGTAAGGCCTCCAAACAAATCCACAAAACTTCTAATTAAATTAAAGAAACTTGATAATAATCAAACTTAAGCTTTATTATTTCCTAAGAATACAATGATTTGCTCAAGTACCTGCAGTCGATCATTCCAAACATTTTCATCGTGGATTGCAATTCTGCCCTTCACGTAGTCCTATGTGATTGGAGAGCCGGAATTGCTGAAGACCAATAACGGATACAAGATCTCATGGTGCTTCACCCATGTCTTCAAACGAGATTGGACTTTGCTCTTGTCTACATTAACTTTTAGATGAACATAAAGTGCATTTATAGCTGCTGTCCATGAGGAGGACTTCCAAGCCAATTTCCCGTCACATTTATTTCCTTGAGCCATTTGATCTATAAAACATGTCCCAAGAATCTTATCCATCTCGGGAGTCCAAGTAAAATAGTTTTCTTTTCCTTTTTCTTTCACTTGAGAGCTTGCTTGTGAATTAGAAGCCATCTATAAAGTCCTCCTAAACCTAAAAAAATAAGAACAATGAACAAGTACACTAAAAAACTGAATTTGCTTAACTAAATTTGTAACTGACAACTAGCAATTTAGATTCTAAACCGTTGATCATGATGTTATAGGTGTTGCTAACCTCAAACTGTAATCATCTAGCCTTTTCGGCTTTAAGCCCATTTTCTTGTATCCAAAAAAGAAAAAAATGAAAATGTGAGAGTTAGTGGAACACACCTAGCAGTAGGGAGAAAGTCGCCAAAAGCAAAAACAAGTCCAAAGATCAAGCAGCAACAACAACACCAATCTATCAAGGCAAAATTCCAAAAAAAAAATGTGTTAGTGTACAAGTGAGAATCAATCTCCACGTTGTCATCATATCAGACACTTTACACGCAAACAGAGTATTACCTTAGTACCAAGCAAAATACATAAGAAGAAGCTATCAATATAGATTGTGGAAAGACACGAAATAAGAGCAACATCAATGTGCGGATTTTAAAAAAGAGAAAGTATTCCCCTACTAAATTTATTAGGCATAAGAAGTCAGACTTTCAAAACTGTCCATGCACCAGATTTTTCTGAAATACAGTCTAAAACAAACGAATGATAATATTCAAATCTAATTTCTAAGAAAACCATGAATCCTTTTCAAAAACTGTAAAAACCATGGTAAACTATTTCATAGGTAGAAGGGATTCATAAAAAGAAATCCCACGAAATGTTTCCAAGACTGGGAGAACTAAGCTCTGTAAAACAGTCACTCATGCTGGACATTTTCTAAAATTTCTAAAATTAAGTCATCTATAAACAATCTTCCTTTTGAAACTACTGAACAACTAAAAGAAAGCACCATAACCCTTACTAAAAAAGGACTGAAATTAAGTGGTAAAGTTATAAAACAAAAGCAAAAAGGACAAATTTGATCAAGTGGTGAAAGGCATTTAATCAAGGAATCAAAGTCCCAAAGTTAGTTTTTTCTTATGTGAGTTCTGACAAAAAATTAGGTAGCGAAGGGTCATATTCGAAGGACTTTTTTGATCAAGCAACATATCAAATTTACGGGCCGTCAAAAACAATAAAAACTAGGTTGAACAAATAGGAGATCCAGTGAAAGAAATCAGGAAAACCACTTTCTTAATCATAAGAAATCATTGTTTTATCAAAACATAAAACCACCAATAAACTACAATAAACAGAGGATTTGCATTGAAAGAGTTCAAAAAAGAAGGTTTAGAACTCAGAAGAACCAAGTCTTCAAAATAGAAGCTCAAACCAGAATTTTCTGGGTGAAAAATCCAGATTTTTCAATGACAGACAAGTCCTGTTGGAATCAGATTTCCGAAAAAAGCCGTAAGTCCGTTTTATAATCCGTAAAAACAACATTAAAATACACTAAACGGGGAAGAGTTTTCAAAAAGAAATTCTGGTAAAGAGTTGAAGACCCTAGAGAAATAGGCATGTTAACAGAAGGAGTCTGATCTGATTTTTCTGCATTTTCAGTGATTGAACATGTCATGTTCAAGTCAGATTTCCGAGCAAACCAAGAGTCCGTTTCATTATCCAATTACTTAATAAACAACAACAAAACTATACAATGTGATGTTAATAATACCAAATAATAAGAAATACAAAAATACTGTATTTGAAAGCAAACGAGAAGAACAAAGCTAATTTTAGGTTTGATGAAAAGGAGATCCCCAAAATAAGCCAAAATTTCAGCTCAATTTTACAATCAAAGCCTAATGGAAGCCCAAAAAAAAAAGCATCATTACCCTAAATGGCTTATTCACTTAATGGATTCAACCCGTATGATATGCGAGGATCAAACGTAAAACCCAGAAGCAAATAGCAAAAAGATAGGAGCCCAAAACCCAGGAAGTAGGGGGCAACTGCCCCAATGGTGAGCTCCTTAACAAGACTTAATACTACTTAAGAATTGAGCTTCAATGATGACCCAGAGATTGATTCAATTTTCGGATTAAAGGGCTCAATTGAAGAATCTAGCTTAACAAAAATCAAATTACAACACCATAAGGGAGGAAAGACACTATTATTTTGATTCAAAATAGCCAGGAAAAACCCATAATTAAACACGAGAGGAACTAGAGATAAAATTACGAGCGAAAGCCATAAAAGAGGGGTTTCCGGGTCTTAGATGGATCTCACCTGGGAAAAGTTTCTTCAAGTCGAGTCCGGAGTCTCAGCAAGAAGAGATCGGGGATGAATCGTGACGAAGATGATAATAGGAGAACTGTTATGCCGTGGGGAGCCGGAAAAAATGGTTGCGCCGCCGATGGAGATGGAGAAGTCATTCGTCAGAGTCTCATGACTCTCGTCGATTTGGATTGATTTGCTTCCCAGGTGGAGATGGAGATGGAGATGAAAATGTGCTATGAATAAGATTGATTAGGCGGTAAAAATTTTTAAAAGGTGGAGATATCCGAATAGCTTATAACCCGCTATTGACCCGATAATAACCCGCGTACTGTTCAACTCTATGAGAGTTTGAATCCCAAATAATAGCTTCAAGCCCGGAATTGAAATCATGGCATTGGAAGTCTTTTGCATTGGGTCAATGCCAATGCCATCTTATTTTTGGACAGCCGAACACCGGATTTGGCATTTGGGGCCCAAATTCCAAATCCAACCCCCCAATGGCATGCAAATTCATAGAGTCTCAAAGTGTTTGAATAGTATCAAAGGACCGAAAAGATAGATTCTAAAATGTCGAGGACAATTTCAGCAAAATGGTAATACAAAGGACAAATTAATGCTTTTGGCTATAGTAGAGGTTTTAGTCTGATTAAAATGGAAATCAAAACCCTTTTCCTCTTTCCTCCTCTACAGCGGCACGGATACAAAGCCAAAAATGGCTGACTGGGGCGATATAGCTCAAACCAGTAGGGTAAATGATAATTCCCAGGGTAATGGCGGGAATTTTAACCCGCAGAACAAAGTATGTGACTTCTGCAAATATGTTGGTCATACCAGGGACCAGTGCTTCAAGCTTAACCGTCCAAGTCGAGGGGAACGTGCAAGATACAGAAAAAAGAAAAGACAAAAACGGACTGACGGCCAGAAGCTTCCGAAGAAAGATGCTTATCTTGAGATGTGCAAGATAATTTTGGCGCCTGAATCCTCACACGGTATTAAGCTTTACCTTCTACTTAGTTCTATTTAATAGTTGAATCAGATTCATAGTTCTTAAGGCCCAGAAGCTACAGGAAGCATTACTAATATGTCTAATGATATTATAATAATTATCTCCAAACCCATGAAAAAAAGCCACACCTGTATTTACCAGATGGCAGAGTTAAATACGTGAACTAACAAGGCTCAATAAGAAAATCTCAAGACAAATTCACATTAACCATTTCTCTTCACATTCTTGATTAGATCAGTAAGCAGTATGAAGGTTTCAAAAGTATTGGTAGTTTCAGGTTAGGAGGATTTAGGAAATAGCTAGAATCTGTTTAGAGCTATTAGAGTTTCTTTTATTTTAGAGTCCTGTTTTATTTATATTTTTGGGAATATAAGCAAGGCAGGTTCTGCAGTAGCTGTGACACACCTTTTATATCAATATGTTTTCAGCATTTTATAGCTTCCGAAGGGCAATGTCCTTTGATCCTACGGCTAGGTTTGTTCTTCTGGTTCTTATAGTTCGATTCTTTCAGGACAGATGGTATATGTCATAAATTCTGAGTCTTTCCTCCTGTGAAGATCATCAGTGTTGCTCTACAACATTTTCCCAAATTCCAATTTCAAGTTTTATAAAGCAGCTTTCAATTGACAACGATTCAGCTGTAATGTTTTTGAAAATAGTTGCAGTGTTTAGCATGCTAGGTTGGGACATTCTTCCATTCTTGTATAAAACAAAAATCTATGATTTACTGCTTTCTCCCAAGTATGTTCATAATGATAATCCTGATCGTGAAATTTGTCCCATGGCAAAACAACACAGATTATCTTTCCCTTTTAGTTCTATTAAAAAGATAAAAATCTTGTTTTGAGCTTCTTCATTTAGACATTTTGGGGCCTCATCAACAGGCAAGCATTTCTGGTTGGTACTACTTTTTTGCATTAGTATATGACTTCAGTAGATGCACCCGGATTTCCCTTGTGGGACACAAGTTGCAACTTGCAAATTGTATTCACTTGAACATTTTTTCACAGCTAGCACCCAATTTCAAACACCAGTCAAGAAGATGGACTAATAATGGAAGTGAACTAATGAGTAGTGAATGGAAAAACTTGAAAGGAATTCTCTACCAATTACATCGTGACACACCTGGTGTTATATAATGAGTGTGAAACACTTTTTTTTTTTTACTTGAAAGGAATTCTCTAATATATACATTGTGACTCGCCTGGTGTGGTATAATGAGTGCAAAACACTTTTGTTACTTGAAAGGAATTCTCTACCTAAGAACTACTGACCCACCTGGTTTTGTAGAACGAAAACATAAGAGGGGATGTTGAGTTTTTTAATATCCTTGTGTAGTTTCCCCCACTTTTGCACAGTTGGATACACATGACTTATTTTAATTGCATGTTTTTTTACCATAGTTGGAATAGTTGACCGCAGTTGACTTGGTTAGCTTTGTAGTTATACCAGCGTTAAGTGGCAGTTTTCATTAGCGTGATAATCAATGTAAGTTTGAATTCATTTTACGGAAACACTTTCTAAGTTGAGTTGACTCTTTTCCTAAATCAAGATTAGGCTTTTCGTGCTATATGTTCATCTCTAAATATTGTTGTATCCTACTGTCAAAAACTTTGAGCCTTTTTTAAGGGTCACATTCATCTTTGAGGTTACATATCAATTTAATTTGTGGATGCCATCTCATGTTTTCGTTTATTTCTAAATGTTTTGCTTTGAGGAAATTTGAGAATCTCTTTCTTTTTCTCATGTTTATTGATTTGATAAAATTTTGTTTCTCAATCTTGTAGAAGAATTACTGCACTATACACGTGATTCACCGCCTCATGTCAGAGAGGTTCACCAGGAAAACCTTGAGGAGGAGTTTAAAGTAATCAATGGCATATTGGGCCAATTTAACTTTGCATCCGTGGATACAGAGTTCCCTGGTTCTCCTTATAGTCCTGGTGTGAAAACCGAGAACAAGTTAGATGCTGCTTACTCTTCATTGAAGAAAAATGTGGATGCACTTCACTTGATTCAGCTAGGGGTCACATTTTCTGATAGACATGGTAATCTCCCTAAAATTGATGGTAAATTTTGTATTTGGCAGTTCAACTTTTGTGAGTTTAACCCTGATAATGATGATCATGATCCTAAAGCGATTCGTCTTTTGAAAGAAAGTGGGATAGACTTCAAAAAGAATAATGAGAAGGGTGTTAAAGTGGTTCAGTTCGCTAAGCTTATGGCATCATCTGGGCTTTTGTCCAATAATGGTGTGACATGGATTACTTTTCATGGCTCTGCAGATTGGGCTTATATTCTGAAGGCTTTGAAAAGCCCAGAACCCTTGCCTGATACCAAAGAAATTTTTTTTCAGTTGCTAAATCGATATTTCCCGAAAAATTATGATATTAAGTACTTGATGCGTCAGTTAATTAAGAATTATAATGGTGGGTTGAGCGGGCTTGCTGAGCGTCTCGAAGTTCCACGAATTGGTACCGCACATCAGGCTGGTTCCGACAGTGTAGCAACTTCAAGTGTATTTATCAAGATCGTGAATGTTGGTTCCAAACTATTTCCTAATGGTATCGAGAAGTTTTGTGGTCTGCTTTACTCTCTATCTGAAGAGAACTGATTGCTACACAAATTTGGTTCAGTCTGGTAGAGTGACCTAGGTTGCTTTTCGGGTTTAATTGTGGGTATGATTATGGTTGTGTAGCGAAGATTCGGAATTGTTTACATTTATCTAGGAATTCATATAGGAAATATGGATTAGAATTGAAACAAGTTTTGTCTACTTGTGGCTATATATATCATTCTTCTGATTTAGTTCATACTTACCAGGTGTATTTGGTTTAACTTTTAAATCAAGGAAGTAAGTGATGTATATTGCTGAAGAGTGTATCTTTATTACTTTTGTAGATTACTACTTTACAAGCATGGGTTGGAAATCAAAGACTTAGACCTATTTTTGTGCTGAATATTTTTTGGCATAACATAACATCTTTTCTTACTGCATTCTCTATTTTGGTCAGCGCTTTATTCTGCTATTAGTGTATATGTTCCAAAGGTTTGTGTGGCTGTGGAGGCTTTTCTTCCCTCAAGATTTTTATTATGCCAAAAGTTGGGAATGCAAACTGACTTTGTTCAGGTTATGAGATTCCAATATATTTGGAATATGAGGATGTGCATTATGGACTTTTTAAATTTATTTTATCTTTGCGGATTTTTCTTGTAATAGTGCATATAGCATACACCTTCATCTCTTTAATGGAGTTTTTTTTTTTTTTTATTTTTTATATAAACTTATGTTGTTCCCTTGACTTGAAGCATGTATTCTGGCCTCTCTCTAATCTTTCATGTAGGCTTATGAAATCCTGTCCCTAAAACAGGTGATGACTTCTTTAATCGTCTGGTGGAGTAATGGTGTTGATATGAATCATGTGAAATTGTGAATGGAGTCATTGCCCTTCTCCTCTTTTTTCTAATTCGATCCCCTCCCTCCCGATTTGTTATGTATGTGTGTTTGTTTCGATGTGGTTATACTCTATCGGAGCAATTAGATTCTTTTTTTTATGTTTTATGAGAAATTGGATTTTTCATTCCTGGTTGTTTTCAATCAATTTGGCATTATGGGTGGACTTGCTATGAATGATGAATGTCTTGAAAGTAGTGATCTTATGGGAATTCGTTACTACTTATTGTTCATCTTTGTTCTCCATTAATTTGTTGTGTCCTTGATGACTTAATGATTGGCTTCAGTAGCTTTTTTACTCTGCATTGGAAATGTTCACCTGTTGCTTGGATGTAGGAAAGAATGATCTTATCCAAAACTGGACCGTTATTTTATGTAGTTTTGTGTCTGTAATGAGGTATAAGTTATCTTTTCTGCTGTTAGAACATTAACATGATATCAAAGAATTATTCCCAGAAGGGAGGAGGATCATTCCTGTAAGAGAACTCTGCCCTTGAACAAACATAGGTGGAGACTACATTCAATACCATTTTGACTGAGATCTTCATTCTTCTATGTAGCAAAAATCTTGCTGCAGGTGAAGATCATGCCAATGGTAACCCTGCATCTTTAGGTGGCAAAAAGATGATTGTTCTTAGCCCTGCGCAAGTGATCCCAGAGAAGAAAGCATGACGCTGGTCCTAATAATTTTGTGGTACTTTTGGTTAAAACTCTCTTGGGGGCTCGACATTTAACATCTTCGCTCGGATTCTGGAGGGCATCTCTCAAAATCGAATTCGGCTAGCAAAATCTTTTCCTTATTGGTAGCTGTGAACTGATACGTTGTGATTCTTCTATAGATCTCTCAACAAAACTGGCGAGATCCATCTGGAGAAAAGATCTAGGAGGACTTCTTATTTTTTAGAATAATGAAGTGACGATGAATAAATGGGTTCCAACCCTAAATGACGTTGATCCATTTAGGGTGTGTTGTTAGTTTGGATCCCAACTATGAATAAAAAAATCTTAAAAATATTTTTTCACAGTTGTGATCTCTTGATTATTATAAAATATTTTTAAGATTTTCTTTTGTCAATTAAACATGCGTACTAGTTGAAACATAAGAAATATCAAAATAACTTATATTAAAGACCGGAGAAAGTATTATACGTATTACCAAAAACTCAAGGGGTATTTTGTAAGAGGACAAAATTCGGGGGAACCAAAAAGTTAAAAAATAAAAAATAAAAATAAAGGACAATTTCAGTCAATATGTCACGTAGAGAGGTTTTTTCTGAAACACGTATATATTAGCAATATACCCAAAGTACATGGTTTCGAAACAGCGACGTCTCCCTCTTTGCCCTCCTCCAGACGCTTCCCTTTCTCCTCTATACATTCTGAGACATTCTTCTTTCTGTTGTCTTCTGGCTTACGATTGATAAGCGCTTCTTCTCAAGGTAATTTGATTGTTCTCTGCCTAACCTCTATCTTCTTTCTATTTCTTGTTCTTTTGGAGTGGTTTGAATTTTTATTTTTTTATAAATTTTTTGGTAGACAGCTTAGTTACACGGATAAGGTAAAAAGGTTAAGCATTCATAGCAGAGGAGTTCTTAGAATCCTGTTCGATTAACATAGAATCCTGTTCTTAGAACCCTGGTCTTTTGGAGTGGTTTCAATTTGGGATTATTCGTTGTTGTTGATGATTTAATCGCGAAGTGGGCTTTTCTTTGGTGGAGTTTGGGAAGTCTGTGATGATTGTTTTGGGTTTTGTTGGTGGCTTTCCTTCGTTGCGTTGTTTTGTTTAGGCCTACCGTCTGACCCAAATAATGAATTCTTTACCTAATTCTCAGATTAGCGCCATGTCAGACTTTATTCCACGCGAGTTGCTTGCTGATGTTCTTGTGAGACTTCCAGTTATTTCTCTGTTTCGATGTAGACGTGTCTCAAAATCATGGCGTGATTTGATTGATAGTCCATGCTTCACCCAATTGTACCTAAAGAGATCCCCTCCCAACAGCAAAGTTATTGTAGCTTTACAGAGGGGAGGTGCCTTTTATGCATTTGATTGGGTTCATGAATGGGATGGCGGCAGCCATTACAGGGCCAGCAATCCCAAAAAACTCGAAAACCACCTTTCCGATTTTCTTGTGGGTCAAGTTCAAATTGTGGGATCTTCAAATGGGATCCTTTGTTTGTGGAATATAACCAAAGATGGTCATGTTTTGTGGAATCCATGGATTAATAAGTTCTCCATATTACCGCCTTTACCTGTTGATTGTAAAAATGGCGGAAGCTATTGTGTTGGTGCCGCATTCGGGTCTGACCACAGCAACGATGACTACAAAGTGGTGAAATGGTTTAAGTTAGCTAGTTACATGTCCTGGGAGTTGGATGATGCAAGTTTTGATGGATATGAAGATTCAAGTTTTGATGGATATGAATTCTGCGTTTATAGTTTGAAACTAAATTCATGGAGGAGAATAAAAGATGCCATGCCACATGAGATGCCACAGGCTCATGATTGTACTTTTGTCAACGGTGCATTATACTTTCTTGTGCAAGAAAAAATGAAATTTGGTTACCATGATAACTTCATTGTTGCATTTGATCTTGGAAGTGAAGAATTTCGAAGGATATCCACTGTACCACATTCGCCACGTTTTAAGGAAGTTTATGAATACCACCATTTGTGTTCTTTAAATGGTCGTCTTGCATGCATCTCTACTTATACAGAAAGGCTTTTCGGGGAATTATGGGTGATGGTGGATGATGGAGCTAAGAGGTCTTGGACTCTTTTTGCCTGCATTAATATTGGTTTGTCTGGATCAGACTGTAGGGTAATGGCAGTTTCAGAGCGAAGCAAAAAGATGCTCTTGCAAGTTGGGAAAAAGCTTGCACTTTATGATATTGAAAATAGGTCAATCAGAGATGTGATCATCAATGATAAGCCCAGTTGTATCACTTCATGCACTTGTGTTCGGGGCTTTGTTAGCCCTTGTTCTTCTTTGGGATAGGAATTACGATAATTACATCTTCAAGAGAATGGCAGATGACATCTTAGCAAAGAGGTTTCATTTTATTTTGAAAGATGGCGTTTTGGATGGGAATTGAGATGTTGCACTCATGGATTTTTAGAAATTCAACCGCTGCCACTGTCAACCACCATCTACCGCTGCCACTGTCAACCACCATCCACCGCTGCAGACCAGCTGCCGCCAAAAATGATATAAGGCAGGTCAACATATATTGGTGTTTTGGTGAGTTTTTTAACAGATTGGATGAATGAAAGGAAGGTCCAAGAATTATCGAAGAAGAATAAAGACACGAGCCTGAGGTTGGAGAGCAAAGATGAACTACATATTTTAAATTTTAATATTTGTCTGGAACATTTCACCAGTTTTATGCTGTTTTTTGTTTCATTGGATCGTAGTTGGAACTTCATGTGTATTTTCTTTCTATTGTCTTGCTTTGATACTTTTTTTGGTATAGTTGCTGTAGACATTCTCCAGTAGGTTAGATCCTCTGTATCATCCCAATGTTATCCCAGGGGACTAGTGGAGATCCCATCAGTAATAAAATTCTGAGGTGAGTTTGAAACTCTTGATAGAGCTGCAGTACCTACTACCTACATCTGTACTGTTTTCTATTTAGCATACTTATTTGTAAACTACCTCAAAGTTCTTAAATATGTTTGTAACCAAAAAGGTGTTCAAGAAGTTCCATTAATTTGAAGACCCCAATGACTTGAATATGTACAACAAAGGAAGTTGGGTTTTAAATGTTTATTTGAGAAGTACTTCCCCAGGAAGCGGTACTCCTGTTAGGTGTTTTTAGAACTATATAGAGTTATTTTCTTCTGTTGTCTAGAGGCTTTTCCGACGTTTGCAGCGCTGAGTTTTGTTTTGATCTCTTGATGTTTGTGATCCATATGAAATTAGAGGCTTTCTAGGAGTGGAGTTTTTTCTTCAGTTTATCAGTGTTCTTCCTTCTCTTTTGGACAATAGAGTTCATAAACTGTATTTATTAGGAATAAATTTCCTCATTTACTGCGAGAATAAAAAGTCAGATTCCTGTTGTTTCAGCTTAGGGGATTTAAATTTTCCATTAAATCCCGTCCACGGTAACCTTGATTTGGCACAAAATATGACCTGAAGTTATTTTTCTTTAGGGTAAAGAAGATTTGGAGAATGCTGTAAAGGTATAATCTGTACGGGTCAATCAAGCTTGTGGCTGACTCTGCAGCAAATTTGTGGGTTTTAAAAGTGTAAACAAGCACCTGAATGTCCATGGAAGTTATGTGCTACTACCCCGAAAGAAGGTTCTTTCTTTGAGATAAAGAAGTATACCGCACCTCATGCTTGCAAAAAGTCTAATAGTCCAGGTCATGCACAAATGGATTCTGCCTTTGTTGCTAGACATATTAAAGCTTTAGTTAAAGCCCAGCCTTCAATATCTTCATCTTCTATACAAGCCGGGATTTTGGAAAAGTTTAATTATAGTATTTCCACAAAAAAGGCATGGACAGCTAAGCAGAAAGCAACTGTCGAACTTTTGGAGATCGTGTAAAAAGATCCAAAAGGGGTCGTCCAAAATCAGCATTGAATAATGAGATGGATGCCAGAGCAGCGTCTGATAGTACAAGATGTAGTTCATTCAAGCAATCTGGACATAACAAACGCCGTGCAAAGGACATTGAGGTACCCTTGCTGCTGTCACCTATAAGCTAGAATATTGCTGATACTATTATGTTCAAAATAATTTCATTTCACATTGTGGTGTCATCAGCTATGATCTTTACTGTAAATTCTTATTCCGTTCATCTTTGAAGTTGGTGGATTCTGGGTGTTAAGTCAGTCAGAAGATGCAGCATGGCATTTCATGTTAGTTTGCGCATAGATATCGGTTTCTGGTAAGTCATTAGTTTGCTTTATAAGTTGATGCCTATTATTTGATGTTTGTTATTAGTTATCTTGTTATTGGAAGGCATCACGATAAGCATTTCGTTACATTCTAGAAGTCAAGAAAGTCAGTGAAACCTAAGTATTTGTTTGTTTTTAAAATCTATCTTTTCAGCAAGTCATGAAACTATCACGTTGTTGTGCAGACATGGATGCGATCTCCTCGATTCAAACAAATCTCTGAAGTTGGTTATTTCTTCCTCAGAACTTATTGAAGCTGCAGACTGCTATCTTTTATACTGGCTTCATATTCGAGCTTAGAAGCTCAGAAACGAATGCAAAGATACATGTGACAACTCATCGCCAGTGGCACATTCAAAGCTTAGAAGCTCATAGACATTGGGACACATTCAGCGCACGTGATATTCAACAATTGGAATATATGTGACAACTCATCGCCAGTGGCAGAAACGCTAGAGTTTTGGTTCAAAAGAGAGCATGGATTAATTCAACACTTCCATGGTTTGAGTGGCTCTTCCAACCGCAGTTTAGGGAGTCGTCCAGAAAGGATTGCAAATAAAATTGCTGAAGTTGATGGATTTATCCGGATGGAGGGAAGATAGACAACAGGACGTGAACTGGAAGATTTCTCCAGTGTGTCACCTGCGGGCTGCGGTACTGAATACTGATGCATTGATGTTTAAAACTTGCTTCATCATTCCTTAATTGATAGTGCCATCTCAATAGGAACGAAGTCTCAATCATGGCAATACTTAGCAGCAATCCCCGTTATACTCATGACAGTGCAAGTTTTTCTACTTAGTCAAGTCAAAAGCTGACAGTAAGCCAGCACAATAAGAATAATCAGTGTGAAAGTTTCCTCATGATAGTACTAGCTGGTCTACAAGTTTCTTGGTCAACTTCTGAAGTTGATATTTTGTGCTGTGTGATAAGACACAATGGTTTTTTATTTTTTTCCCTTCTAAAGTTGGCACTAATTTCATCTGGTTGCCACACATGCACTCTGGTGGCTTTTGTTGATTCACAGAAATCCAATTAGCCCTTGACAGTTGGGTTTGCGTTCAATCAGTTGACACTGTTTCAATACTTTATTATTACAATTACTTTACATTTGATGAAGGAACTCAAAGTTCAATCATGAAGTGATACCAACTGTTTTACGTGTTTATCCTTTAGTTGATGACTTCATAAAAATTAGGCTTTTGTCCATTTCTCAAGTCATCCATATCTGCAAGATTCTAAATGTCGAAATAGGCATCAGCTCCATGGAGATAGCTGTTAATGATAACGGTTCAGGCGAGAAAATGATGGTTGCAATCGATGAGAGTGAAACAAGTTACTACGCTCTGATATGGGTTCTTGAAAATCTCCAGGAATCCATCGCCAAATCTTCACATCCCTTGGTTCTTTTCATGGCTCAGCCATCTGCTAAAAGCGGCAATCTTTTTGGTTCCTCACCCGGTTCTGCTCGTATCTTCTTTAATGCTTCTCCAGGTTAAGTACCACCAATTGTGCTTGTGAATTTTCAGTTTAGTTTTGCTTGTGACAATGGGATTCCTTCTTGCTTATTTCTCTGGAGCTTGCTCTCCCTTGCCTTTGTATTTGTTTCTTGCAGGGAAAAAGTTGGGGCTTTGGTAGATGGCACACACACTGTTCAGGTGGAGAGAGTTGCAGGCCCTTGACAAACATTTTTCTTTGTTTTTGGGTACTAAAAGCCTGTTCACTATCACATGGTATATCAGGTTTTTCACCTTTTGTCTGGGCTGAGGTGGGGGGTCATGATGAATTATAATGGTTTGTGTAGGATTTAATCTCTAAGAAATGTAGAGCATGGTGAGCAATTTTCTGACTTGTTTGAAATTTCTTGTATCAGATCCAGAATTCAGTAATGCAGTCCAAGAGCGAGATCGAATGATCTCAGTTGGTATTTTGGAGAAAGCAAAGAGCACTGCAACAGCTATGGGCTATGTCTAATCCTCTCTCCAACTTGAGTTTGAAGTATGCTTTGAGTAATTTCCTTGTTTGCCATATTTTCACAATAACACAAAAGTAAACAGTTTGCACTATCAAAATGATCCATTTTTCCCTCTGCTACTACTATATGTTCTAAGTTGGTTTCATTGAATGTTTCCCTCTTTCTTCACTTCCAGATGACTGAGATAATGATTTTTCCATTTGCAGATAAATGCAGAAACAATCATGGTGATCGGGGATGCAAAACAGGCCATTTGTGATGCTGTGCAGAAGTTCGCCATTGATTTACTTGTTTTAGGTGATCATGGTGAAGGGAAAATCAAAAGGTAGATTATCTCATTAGAAAATCGTTCTGCTACTTTAAGCAATCAATTTTCCTACTATTTTGCCATTCCCTTATGATTAATTTATTTGAAAATTGTTCTTTTTTAAAGCCATAAACAGTACATATTCTCAAAAGCTTGCTACTAAGTAAAGTTCAGCATCACTGCAGGGTATTATTAGGCAGTGTGAGCAGCTATTGTGCTTTAAATGCCAAATGCTCTGTGCTAATCGTAAAGAAACCGGAATGGAGATAGCTCCAAAACCAGCTTGCATGTAAATATGGTTGGGGTGAAGTTCTCTGAATTCCTTCTACTCTATCGAATGGTGGTTAGTTGTAAGATTTAAGATGTGCAAGTCTACATAATTTGAGCGCTAAACAGTTCAAGCTGGACTTAGTTGTCATATATATTTTGGGTGGTATACAGAATCCTTCTCTAAGCTCTAGAGTCTAGACAATAGTTTCAGCATCATGAATTCTGTACTTTTTGGAAGTAAAACCTGCTTCACAATTTGTCATCATCCAAATATACTGTTCAGTGTAGCTGCAAGACGAACTCCACCTTGAGCTAGCCGCAAATAGACTATCGGTACACGAGTCAGAAAATAGGGATCTGCAAAATTTAATTTGAAAGTTTAGCTATGATTTCGATGAAACAAATAACATGGATTTGGGAGAGAAGGTGAGCAGAAAACACCTACCTTCCAGTACGGATTCCTCAGTGACACCTTTATAGGCAAAATTACATGCAGCTTTAATACTTTCAGTCGCATATCTGCAGAAAATGAACTGCTTTTAAGGTGGGGAGATAACATATTCATAATCATAGTTTATCATCTGGGCATGTGCTGAACTAATGAACGTTGGGAATGTGAAAAACGTACACATCTGGGCATGGAGGATTGCCAGTGGTGCAGCCTTCCCATGTCTTTACTCTATCTGCCCATACAGTCTTAACAAACAGGAAAGACAATTGTAGAATCAGAACTGTATACTTACAGTTGCCTTTCAGCTAAATCTGTGTTCATGCATAAAGCTGTAACCAGCTTACTGTTATGTTGGTTTGGATTGCATCAATTAGCTCGGTCACATCAGAGTCATCGTATCTTTCTTCAGCAGTATCGATGATGTTATTGTCCCAAACCTATAGATAATTAGAGCTCTAGAATGATGAGTTCAACCCTGAACACATAATGTTGGTCGAAAGAATTTAGCTGTGTGTTTGCGATAGCTTACATGATGAAGAACTGATTTTCTGGTGTACCAATGGACATCGATTGTATTCCCTCCCCTATCAGAAGTGAATCCTACATGCAGGGGCTGATGAATGTCACCCATAAAATGAGACAGAAACAGCAATGCCTCAGTAAGATTATATTGAGAAGCAGATTCTTGTCCGTAAGTCAGGAGCTGGGTGGTGTAATTGTTGATTGCCCCTACAACACATCTGTCTTTTATTCCATCTGCATCCTTGCAGTCCCCTGTTCACATTTTTTAAACTCTGTATTAGTGGGTTTTTTTTCGAAAGGATTTTTGAAGACATTTGTGAATGAGATTCAGCGGCTTCGAAAGAAATTGATGTACTGGTGTACTGATAAGTGCAGAGATCATCAGGGGTATCAATGTAGTGAAGTGGGGATGACCATGGCCTCCGAAACTTGACTCTATCAGCCCATGAACACAAACTCCCTAAATCATCTTCTGCATATGCTGGCAAAAGATCCTTCACAGCATTCGCAGCCGCCTCGCTCAATCGCGGCTGCCAAAACCAGTTAACCCAAGTTACCAAAGAAAAAAAAAACACACACACACACACACACACCAGAGAAGTTGGATTAACTAAAAGGGAAAATCCAAATTGGACAGTAAAGCCTGCTTGGAAAAAAAGGGAAAAGGAAAGAACCTGAGCAAGTCGACAAACTGTGAGATGCCCGTCATTTCCCCAACCATGAACTAACGCCACTGAACATAGAAACCAAAATCCCACAAGAAGTGGACTGATCTGGATTTTTGGGAACTCCATGCTTGCTGTGAAAAAGGGTCAGGCTATCAGCTCTTAAGGTTTCATCAATTTGTGGTCGTATGTGAATATGATTAGTGTGAAATGTTTGAAAACCCACGAGCAATATTGGGCTCTTTTTCCAATGTTGTCTCAAATAATTAATGATGTGATTCTTTCCCTGATATAGCAGATTGGATCGTTTATGTGTGCAATCAATTCTGAATCTTTTTGACATATATATTCCCGTTCACATTTTGACCTCAAACGAAGTAACGGTTCGGTTATGATGGAAAGCTCTTTTTTTATGGAAAAGTGGATACTGAATATATCGAGTATCGTGATGGAAATTGCGGGAAATAGACATCATATTTTTTGTTCTTTATTTCCATTCCAAACTGGTAAAGTGTCCGAGGTATATTGCCAAATTGGTAGGATACGTTATGGAGTGTTCTGCCTGAGAATATTCGAACAGACTATTCTTTCCTTTCTTAGCTTTTGATTTCAAATTGGATAGATTATGGTATAGTATTACTTTATAAGGCAGTAAATCAATGAGCCATGAGTTATAATTTTTTTCCTGAACTCTTTATGTATGTTTTTCACTTCTCTTCTAGAAAATTAGCATATTTTGCCCTACATCTATGATTTTACCGTTTCTTTTTTTTTTTTTACCAAACAATAATCATTTATATCTTACTATATTAGAAACAAAAATCACACTTAAGAGAAAGCATCATCATTTGCCATGTGTCATTTTCGCATCATATTTTTAAAATAAATTTTTATTTACACATCAGTTTCCTAGACTTAAAAGGCAAATGCAGTCCAAATCTACCTCCACCCTCTATTTTCGCCGAAACAAAAAAAAAACATGGCTTCATAAAAAACACAAATCCTCATCAACATCTTCATGACAATCGACTCCCTAATTAATCCCTTCTCCACAATAAAATAAAATAAAAAAATAAATTCCTCATCAATCATTAATTGAGAATATGTGGTGAAATATACTCCTTTCCTATTAGCATGTTCATCTTTCCTATTAGCATGTTCAATCTTTTCATTAGTGATGATCAACTAGATCCTAATCGGATAAAATTTCGACTTCAAAAAATATTCATCTCTCTATATAAACACAAAGGAAAAAAAAATTTCTCATTGATCTTGCTTCGCCCGTTGTGGTGGTGCCATTACAGATATTAAAATTTAAATAATTTTATATTCACAGATCATTGTACGACTTTTATTATTTTTTTAATTTTCCCGTTCAAGAATAGTGTTATTACTATTATTTTTATGCGTCACCCGTTACAGTTACCGTAGCCGTTGCCAGGTAATATGATGTGATTTCTTATATGGTTAGTTAGCCTGGAATTTTTGTATGATTTTAGTTCTGTTTGGATTGAATTGATTAATTGGGTTTTTGTTACAAAGGGTGGTTTTTTTAATTTCTTTTTTTATGTTTTATTCAATTAGAGTAGTTTTTTTTATTTAATTATCGAGTCTCAGTTTTTTTTCGTATATGGTCAGTTATGAACTCTGTTTTTTCTTTGTTTAATTGCTTTTAATTTTGTTTCATACTCCCAGTTGACCAATTATTATTATTATTAATTTTTTTGTTTTTTGCAATTGAAGTGTATTTTTTTTTGTTTTGTGTTCGGGCTTTCAAGAACATACTTTTTTGGATTTGGTTTTTATACTTTTTTGAGTTCCTTATCATATAAATAGTTCAGGTCGCTTCTTCTAACTAATTTATGGGGAAGCCTTTTATGAATTTGAGGTGGAGAGGGAAGGAATGATATTTCTACGTTTATTTGTGTTTTTACACATCATTTTTACCTACAGGAAAAAAAATAATTTTTCAATTTTTAATGGGCTCTTTTACTTACTTTTTTTTTTATTTGTCATGATGAGGTGAGTTCTTTTTTGCTATAACTTGCAACTTGTGCAAATTTACATTAATTTTCATTCTCATATTTGTGATAAACCAATTTCAATAATTAACCAGTTTCAAAATCATATTTTACTACCTATAAACCTTTGGAAGAAACAGTTCCAACAATTAAACGTATACCATTCGGAGGAAGCTTACTACAAAACTATTATAAATTCCAAAACTAAGTATTGATTTGACACGACAAACGGAGAATATCAATAAATAATCTTACTAATATTTAAACTTATTAGGATGCTTTTATATTTTGTCTAACATTTACTTCAAGACATATACTTGATCAAGTTTATTTATATTTAATAAGTAACACTCATAAAACATTTCTAAAATCTTCAAACATTTCTAAAACGTATCGGGCCAAATATAATTTCTTTTTTTGCCAAATACAAACATTTCTATGATCACACTTATAAAACATTTCTAAATTCTTTAAACATTTCTAAAATATATCGGGCCAAATAAATATATTTTTTTTAAATACAAACATTTCTAAGATCTACAAATATACTGTGCCAGAGTCCCACATTGCGCGACCAGACATCACTAGTATCAAAAGAGATAACCAAATAGTTATCCAAAAAAGTTACATCAACAAAGAGTGATAGCTAGTTAAAGTAAAAACCTGCCACATATATCATATCTACGAAGATTAAAATAACAACACATCTAACTGCAAAAGAGACAAACGAAAAAAGAAATTATATAAGAAGATCAAGTATTAATTAAACTTACAATTAGTTGGGAGACAAGACCAAAATAAGCAAACTAAACAAACTAGCTACACAATACAAGCTAGATTTAGTACAGCAGAAACAAATTCAAAGCCTCTCCAATTTGCAAGAATCTAATAAGAGAGAAAAATGCCAACTATATCAAGTGAAAGTAACCAAAGCAACAAGCAACAAGAAATAAAAATAACAAAAAACACAAAGAATTACGTGAAAAACTCCCTTCGATATAAAGGAGTAAAAACCACGAGACCCAAAGGTCTAAAATCCACTATACACCAAAACAAGAGTAGGAGTATAAAATTCAACAATATCCAAATAATCTCTAGCCCTTAACAAGCATACAAAGGCACTAGAATCATAATACAATATTAATAGATGCTAAATAATTCACAAAATCAGCTAGCAACTTCAAAAGTACAAAACTCATAATCTAGCCGATGAAAAGCAAAACTCTTTGGCGGATGTAGATCAATGAGTCTTGTAATTTTAGTCCAAATTAAAGGATCAACGACAAAGATTGCCCCTCCAAACGTGTGGCCAAAAACATGTGTCCTAAAGCAGCCAGACTCATCAGATTTTTGCTGCTTTTCACTACCCCTTTAGTGGACTCAAAAGTTGAGCTAAAGTCATAACAAAAAGTCGGGCCAAATTTATTTAATTACTTGGGCTTTTGACCCACATAGTTGGGAGCCCATCCCAACATAATTAGTACCGATCAGAAACCTCCCTCGCATTTTACCATTTCATATGGAGTAAAATTGTTTGTGCACTTGGTGTAGGTACGTGGAATATTTCACTCTTGCCTTGGGTATGTAAACTTCCTCCCGTTGTGTAAAATGAAATGAAAAATTGAAAGCTATGGTATGTATTTATTACTAGTAGTATCCCAAAATCACGTATATGAAGCTTTCAAGATCAACCCACAACTTACGGTCTGTTTGTTTCGTTTTTTTAGCGTGTGTTTTTAGGTGTTTTTTGTATTGGGAATATAAAAAAGTGTATTGGAAATATAAAAGGTATGCTGAGATAGACAGTTATTAATATTAAATTTTGAAAAAACTAACAAAAAAAGAAACAAACAAAGCCTTAGTATGTAGAGAGCTTGAGGTCTAATCCGGTTAATTACGAATATGAAATCTGTGATGTGGAGGTTTTTGTTGCAAGCAAAGAGATAAGCTCCAGTCTTCTTGGATCAGTTATATGGGGCGCTTACTTTTTCCCGTTTTGGATGACTAATGATTATTGAAATGCATCCTCTACGTCTCAATTAACTCCATAGATGATAAAGGTAAAAGATACGTCGTACTTTTTCCAACTCCATTAAGAGAGTTCACATCCAACACGCTTTACGAGGAAGAAACAATTGTGCTTTATATGCTTCGTTGCTTTCGCTTTGAAACCTCTATATACAGAACATCCAGTAATATCGAATATTTTGTTTTATTACGTGACTAGGGCAGAATAACTTGTAGCTTTCTGTTGATCTCCTTTTGGTTACATTTTCCTGTAGTCAAATTATCTTTGTTTTATGTATTTTTCTTTCCCCGTGAAGTGTCTACAAGTAGCGACTAACTCTTTTTGTAAGATCGTGAACAATTTTCGATGCTATTTTGGTTTTCAGGTTGAAACAATTATTGCAATTCTTCTAAATTGTATATGTGTGTGTGTTTTTTTTTTCTTTATATAAGTTGTAGTTATGTTATTCTTGCATATTTGCGAACTCTTTAATTTCTTTCTATTTTACTGATATAATTTTACGTATTATAATTTTCGTGGCTGAAGATTGAAAATATATTTTCTATCCGAAATACTCTATGGACAATCATCACATACAACAAAACCGATAGTAATTTGATTTTTGGACGATGGAATATTTTCTTGAACTAACATTGACAAGCAACACGAAAGATCCCTCTCATGGGAAGACGTAAATGACTTTGAATGAGTATTAACTGTAGCCTATCCTAGCAAGTTGAATCACCCCTCTTTATCATTCAATCAAATAATGGTAGTAGTAACGAACAAACGATGCAAATAATGGTAGTAAATGTTTCAGCTTTACCAAACAACACATGCAAATTGATTAGTTCAATTTGATACCTATAAAAATATGTACACACTTTCTAATAAAGCTCGTGATCATAAGACACTACTGTAGGAGTAGTATTATTATTAATTAGTCTTTCATGCACTTGCACGTCTTCCATGGCCATTAGTCAAACAATTCAATAATCAAAAGTATGCACTTGAACCTTCAATGAAACTCACAATTCATTTCAATACTGTATCCAATTACTATACAGGATGACCCAAAAACGTTTTTCATGCAGCCGTACCAGCTCAGATAACTTATTTTTAACAAATTTGAAAGCTTCTATTCCTCCCGTTTCGATTCATGATTTCACATGTTTTACACGTCTACAAATTAGTAGGTGGTGTGAATCAATTCGAGAGTTTAGGCAAATGATAATTCGTTAAATTGGTGCTTGCGTTTTTGGTCCTCTGAAAGAGACATTGATTCTATCAAACTATTGAAACCTGGCGATTTTGTCTCAGATTCCTCGTCTCAATTACTCGTGTCATTGATTACTCCCCTCAATAGCGAGTTTTTGGTTGTTTAGTGTAAAAGTATTTCAGTTTTAGTACATGGTGTTGAAAAAAAAAAGGAAGAAAGAAAGGAAAAAAAAAAAAAAAAAAGGTGCTAATACGCTTACGAGAATTGGGCTGGTCTTATCACTTGTGATAACATAATCTGTCCATGTACGTTTGATTATTGAGAGACAACTAAATGGGAAGGTTTAGCCCAGGAGTAAAATTAATATACAATTAAGGTTCTTAACATACTCCTAGGCAAGTTTATTGTTAAAACTTCCACTCATCTTTTCCATTTGCGCAACTCCATCAGAAAGGCGATTGATATATGTACATTCCAACGAAAATACTAAATCAATTTATTAGTATTTTGGAGTAATGAACATTGATGCACCTGAATTTAGTACAAAATATCAATTGCATCATCTTGATCCCTTATATTTTGAACCAATACATTTTATGTTTTGACTCGGCCAAAAGTTCGATACTTGGGTGTCGTGTCATACTTGGGATCTCATGAGACTTATTGAACTCTAATTCAGTATTATCTAGGCACTACTGGATTATTGTTAGACCCCTAAATCCTTAATCCGCATTTTACACACAGCTGACATGCATGTGATGCGGGAAATCAAGTGACGGGTGGTGCGGTCCCTTGTTCTGTCTGGTTGGCTCTTAAGTTGGGCTGGAACGGAACGGTGTTGCAGGATTTTGTGGTATCGGCTTCCTGGTTACCGAGTTTTGAGAAACCGGTTTGTGGAATCTCGAGAAAGGCTGGGACTTTGTGGGAATTCGGTCAGGTGATGCGGACTTTGCGGGAACGGGTGAAATCGGATAGTGAAATCTCGGTATACGGCTAACTGGACTGTTGTTGGGTGCAGTCCCGGGTTTTCAGCGTGGTTGGCAGGGAAAGTGACCGAGTTTTCTCGGTAAGGGTGACCCGGGCGGTATACCGCAGTTACCTTTTTGTATGATGGTTTTATATCTATATTTTCTGAATTCCTTAGGCAGTTATAACTGTCATCCCATGTATATATCTCGGATTTGCCTTAGCCAGCAACCCAAATGAGAGATTTGAAAATTGGGTTGTGCAAGTCTTGGTGTATTTCCTTGTATTGCGAGTTTATAATACGAGATTGGGTTTTTACCCGTAAATTCTGTTGCCTACTTGCCTCTTTACATTTATGTGCGATTTCTACTATTTACAAAATGAGTTATGAGTGTTGGATCAAGGTATTCATAGCCTTGTTCTTGCTGGGAATCCATGGACGGTTAACGGGGTGTAACAATTATCATGTTGAAACTTAATTTTGTTATTTTGTATTCTCAGCACAAACACATGTTAATTTTGAGACAAAGTATTCCCAAATTTAATCTTACAAGTTGCAATTAGCATCAAATACTCTTTACCTTGGCCGGAGGCAAAAGATCATCTTAAACATGTGTTTTTAAAATCGTTCTCAACATATATAAAATTTCGGAACTCATGAGTTCATAAATTCAACCATTCGTTTCCCTTGGCAAATGGTGAGCAATCACCTTCTGGAAATGACAAATGAAAGGGCCAAACATTATCACTGGAAACTCATGAAAGAATTTCCAGAATTATACTTTATTATATTTCAAGCATTTCCGTCCAACCGTCCAAGCAATAACAGCGAGAATATTAACATCACAAAGCTACTTACGTCAGTGTTAAAAAGTAAATTAATCAAAGGATATATGAGTTCTGGATGGACTGAGAAGAGCAAGGAAGAGTAATGACAAAAAGACGTGGAAAATCTTCCGCCGACCAGACTTTCACGTCCTCGTATCTGCGCAGCCTTCCGGTAAAGTGGTACCAGAAAACATTATTCAACAAGTTCCACGGCCTCCAATATATGCAGCACCACAAGCATCTCTTATTTGGATTATTTAAGTGTAATCTTTTTAATTTTTTTCAGTTTTTTTTTTATTTTTTATTTTTACATTTTCGATACCACATTATTTAGTTTCAATTTTGTTTTGGTCATTTTAGATTAAAAACGACACACAATCTTTTTAAAAAACACTACTCCAAATTTTGTCGGTATAAATGGTTGATTACGAAGAAACATAAGGTCTTAAAAAATGAATTACAAAAAGAAAAAGAAAAAAAAAAAAGAAACGCAAATTCTGCTACGGTCTTTCTAATATACTTGGCGATATAACATTTATATATAATAACCATTGAGAGAAGGTTCATATCTTCCCCCAATATCAAGAGCTTGGTTGTGTCTTGAAAGTATTATTTTTTTACGTTTTAGAAACATAGTTTAATATTGAATTTTTAAATTGATATTAAAAATTACAAAAATTTTAAAAATTCAATGTAGATTAAATTTTAAGTACAGAGGTTGTATTATTTTTTAAAATAGATGGATATTGAGGTGTTTACCTTCTAAAGTGCTATTTTATTGAGGTTAATTTTAAGAAGCCGAAAGAGTAACAATTGGAAGGTGGTACAATCAACAATGAAGCACAAATCGAATACCAAAACTTTGAAAGCTTAAAAAAAGCCTGTAAACACGTGTCAAAATCTAGATGGTCCGATGCGATTATTGAATTGGAGCTTCAACTACCACAAAAAAGGAGATTGTCTTCACCAGGTGACAAATTGCTGAGTCACATCTCTCTGGTCCGGAAATTTATGATTAAAGTATATTTTTATAGATAAAAAATCCGGTCCGTCTGACTAGACAGTCACCACCACATCACCACCACAAACCTCAGCCTCAACTCAATCCTAATATTTTTCTGTAATAGTTCTGCTCCAAAAAGTTTGTCTTCTCCTCCCCCACAAGGCCACAGCTACTGCCCTTTTCTGACTTTGTTGTCCCTGCCATTTTTGCCTTTTTGCTATAAATCCTGTGTTATTATCCCTCCACCTCATTATCTACACTTCAAACTCCTACTTATTTTCTGGAACTAATCCTCATATTAATCGCTTATTCTAGTGCTTTTCTTAAGGGAAAAAATATTGATTCACATAGTCCTATGTCTGACTTGCCAAATATAATAACAAACCATTGCGCAGAGATACTGTGGTTTAGGAGAATCAAAATTATTGTTGATTATTGTCATTAGTAGTACTTGTTGCTTCCTCCTAATCTCATAACAACTACCATTGAAGTGAATTAAGCAAAAAATAAGAGGTTTGCGCAAAAACTTCAATTCCTACCCAACTTTAGATTGGGTGATACTCTCTAACTTACTTATACCCTTCAAATAGCAACCCTTTATCATCGAATCAATTTTAAATCCTCAACGAGATATCGGAATAATTATCTCGAATTAGGATGCTCACCAAATGAGTTACACTCCCTTTGTCCCTAAATAATTGTCATATTTGAATTTTCAATCTTACTATAATTTGTTCTAAAAGTAAAAAATCCAAATTATTAAATAATAATTTTGAGACGGAGAAGTAATAGTTCTTTCGTAGTGAGATTTAAAAGGCAAAGGTTTACCAATTTCGACGAGGTTAGCGATGCTACAAATTAAATAGAGATCATTACTCGCCCTTAAGTTTTTAAATTTGTACGAAAAACAATATAAAACTCAAAACTCAATGTGAACTATGTTTTTTGGATGTAAAGAGTATAAAATAACACTTTCGTGAAGTCATAGACACACATAACCAAAGAAATGAGAAAAATAAAGTAGAAGTTCACCAAAAAGGAAAAAAAAAAAGAAGAAGAAAGAATTAGTCTGTATCGCCATACATATTTGTTAAGTATACTTTTTTTTTTTTATAACTAAAATGTACAATGATCATAAACATAATCATTTAAAAATATGAAAATATAAAAAAGTTTGAGTTCTTTTTTTGGTTTAGACAACTAGGCCCCCAGATGAACACAAGGGTTAAAAGTGTCATTAGCTATATAAATGAAATTATCCACGTTCTTTTATCTTCCCCAGCTGGCCTTCAATCAGCAACGCCATTATAAAGCCAAATTCTCATCCCCTTTCTAAACCCTCTTTCCACTTTCACGTTTCCTCTCAAAAATCTCTCCACCGGTCTTTTTCGCCGTTACCCTCTCAACTCCCTCACTTCCTTTTCCTTCACGCCTCTTTCTGTTCCTTCTACTTTTATTTCTTCTTTATTTATCCGGCCGCCGTTTCTACCTATATATGTTCATTTGATGTTGTTCAATATGGAATTGGAAATCCCTCAGATCAGCATGATTACCGATTTTGAAGCTGGGGTCAACTGCATCCAGAACCCATCTTTGATTTCTCGTTTTTTTTCTCTGTCCAGCGTCACCATTGTTTGCAGTTTCTGGCAATGGGGTGCCATCATTCTGGCAATCTTAGCCACATTCAGCAGTATTCTGAAGAGAATTAAAGTCATCCACATTCGTAGACTTAAATCTTCCTCGGAATCGCTGCTCCATCATCTCGACATTGATTTGGACTTGACTGACGATGATTCCGATGATTCGTCGGGGGTCTCATCGGACAATGATGACGATGAGCCCACCAGCACGGCGTCGTTTAGCGATGAATGTGACGATTTTGTTGTAAAGGGTTCCAGTTTCATCTACAATAGCCTAGTTCAGAATGGTAATTTAAGACTCCGGTGTAACCGCCGGGGCGAATTCGGTGAAGGTTTCGGCTGGCCGGACTTTTCCTCCGGGAAAAATGTTGTAAAGTTGTGGGATAGTTTAGGTTTAAGCATAGGTTTCGATTCATTCGACGATTCTTCGGATTCCGAAAGTGTTGTCTCGTTGTGGGATTTGGATCAGGAGAAGAAAATCAATGACATTTTTGGCTGCTCGACCCATTTGCCGGCGGTTTCTGCGGCGACGCCGTCGAGATCGGTGGTGATGTCAGCTGAGATGAACCACGGGCGCAACGGTGTCGTTTTGGGAGGTTATGATACCAGGATTGGCGGTAAGAAACCGGCGATTTACGCCGAGTGGGGCAGCCCGGCTTCAGCGGCGGCGAGGAAGGTCGTCGGCGTAAAGCAAGGCGGCGTCGAGAAGGTTTACGTGAGGGATGACGCCAGCGGGATCGTAACGGTTGGTGACGTGCGGCGAGTTAAGACGCCGCTAGAAACAGTGTCCGAGACTGACGGCGATATGTGGTGTGACGCTGACGCCGTTATCGCCGATGATGAGTTCGTTGACTGTTCAAAGTAAAGAAAACCAACGGAGATGGACTGAGTTTGACGATCCTCGGAAACGAACACGGTTGAATTTTTGCTGGGTTCTGTCTGGGAGTCGTCGACCCGACTCCGAATCAAAATCGGGGCATTGAAGAAGCCCAGAGGCTTCCGAGCTGTGAATAATCAACACACGGCAAAATGGTCAACCGTGAAAGCTAGATTCATGGAAATTACTAGATTGCCATGCAACGTTGGGACCCAGTCATGCTGTAATTATGAAGTATAATCAATCGTAATCCCTATATTTAAAGTATGTTTAAATTTGGATTTTATGCAGCGGAAGTTCAGCGGAAAGGACACAGAAAATATGTGTACATAATTCTTGTTTATCATAAACTACTCCCTATTTCTTGTTTTGCTTCTTTGTTTTTTTTTTAATGCGTACTAGTACTTGATAAGATTATCTTAATCTCTTATTGTTGTTATATTTTTTTTAAAAAAATAAACAACAACAAATCTTATCTGTGGGCCATTTTGCATTTTCTTGTACTCAAGCATATCTGATCTAATTAACTGTAAATTAAACGCAAATAAGCCTCATTTGCAATAACTAAGTTTATATTTCAATCTTTCTTTTGGAAAATATTAATATGGATTATCGACACCATAAATTTCCACTATTCTAGGTCCAGAAATTTGTTCACATAACAATGAATCAGTTTCAAGTTTATATTAGTTTTATAATGAAATGTAAGTTTGTCACTTCTCCATTTATCTCCCTATTGTGAAGTACAGTATAGGTTATCTTAATTAAGTGTTCTTCTATTATTGGCTTCATTTGTTGGGACGCGTTTAAAAACAGAAACTCCACTCCAATTTGAGGATCAATTGATGATGACATTTAACCTGAAATTTTATTTTCATCGAATAAAATATTTAATATGGAACAGGAGTTGTAATATTGAAATATTCATAAATACATCTTCCACTTAAAATAATTATATATGCTTATACTATTATAATAAATACTACTACTAGTAAATAGGTAAGACAATCATTTTGAAAAAAAAATAAAAATAACTATAATTCTTGTTTAATTGTGTTTTCTTCCTCTTTTTTAATTATTAATCCCTCTAATGATGTGTCGTCCCCAACCACCAAAAACACCCATTCAGAACTCCAGTGGCCACTGTCCAGTGCAACACCTAACCACTTCCACCCCCGGCCACCACCACCGCATCCACATAAATTAGAGAGTTCCCAACCTCAACCCTCGGGCATCACTACCCTACCTGACACCTCGGCCACCACCACCACCACCACCGCCATCCACCCACCTTAATCACTCTACATTTATTTAAATTTCCAACCCAAATCATGATTTCCCATAATTTTTAATACAATTTAGTTACTTGATTTTTATATGGAGCGATTTCAAGCTACTTAAAGGGTGCTAATTAAGGAGCCACACAATTAATATCTATAGATATGTGAAAGCTTATTCATCTTGTATGAAGTGAAAAATTATAATTTCAGTGAAAGCTTGTACTCCCTTCATTCACAAATAGATGTCGTTGGAGGACAAATTAAATATTTTAAAATATATGTTCTCACAAATCGAGACATGTTTTATCAATTTTTATTTTTTTTCAATACTATCCTTACATTGGAAATTGTAATGATGTATAATGTAGAATTGTATTAGAACTAAATATTATTAAGACTACAATTGTATTAAGAGTAAATAAGGGTATTATAGTATTTTAACAAGATAATTATTGTCTTTTTAAATTTTTTGAAATCTCTCTAACGATATCTATTTGTGAATGGATAGAGTATTCATTTTGTATAGTTACTACCCCCGATGGATATTTATTCACAACTTAATTTTGGTAATCCCTTTTACTCTATTAAAGCAGAATATAGGATGTTGGTGTGGCAACTTCTTATTAAAAATTTTTGGCTCCAAATGCACCATATTGCATTGATCATTCTGCCACGTGTCATCCCCTTTTTAAAAGAAAAAAAAATCTTATCCCGAGAAATAAAGCTACTTTACAAAAATAACTACACAATTTTAACTCCTAACATTTATCATTTATCAATCAAATTAAAATAGCATTTAAATTTGTCCATAAACTTATCCCCTTTATTATTCCACATTCTTTTGTATGATTTCTACATTGTTGTACTTTTTAATATATTTTTACTTTGGCAGATGATTTTTATTTTTATTTTTATTTTCGACTAAAAAAAAGAAAAAAAACAAATGTGTAGTTATTTTATTTTTTCCAAATCAAGAATTTATTTATCTATTAACACAAATTTAAAGTAGAGGGGCGCCCGGATATCTGCCTGGGCCAAGCATCTAGTTATTATTACAACATTAAATAAACTACAAATAAATATCTGAATGTTTTCTTTAGAGACTAGATACTTAATGTAATTTGTTTGGCCTTCATTTATGTCTCTCTTAAGTACTACTGCCTAAAACATCCTAAACCAAATTCTCCACCTAGAAATTAAATTATCCCCATGTCATTGTGAAACGCCCTTTCGTTTCTCAATACATACGTAAGAAATTAACTACGTTTTTGTTGCAAACTAGTAAAACGATCAACTCGCTGAATATGATGTCCGAATTTCATTATCTCTCTGTAAGGTAAAAAAAAAAGAAAGAAAAGAAATTAGGTGTCATAAAAGGATCCACGATTTTACTATAAAAATAGAGAGAGGTTATTAGAGGTACGTCGTACGTACGTATTGAACTATCGATACCATATTGTTTAAAATGATGAGGTCAAAAATAACAACAAAAAGATGCATTTATACGAAATGTCAACAATTGCCCAACTTTACAAATACAAACTAGACTCCATTCCCCTTTCTTCCATTATAATATCGTAAGAGATTTTACTTAAAAAAAAAAAAAAACAAAAACAAAAAGAGGGAGAGAACAAACAAGTTGTACATATAGTGAATATCACACGGTTGCACTAAACTGTCTAAAATAATAAAATGGCCATGCCTTATACTACTGTCTTGAATGCAGCATTTTATTATTATATTGTTATTATTTTGTATTCCCTCTTTAATTTATTTTATTTCTCAATAAATACATGATCATAGGAGCTGAAATGTCAATACATGATCATAGGAGCTGAAATGTCAATGAAGGACTACAAACATTGATATCATAGGAGCCAATTAATGGAATTTGGAATATGGAGTGCATCTAACTTTTTCTGTGATGTTATTCCAGTAATTAAAACAATTTGGCCTGCAAAGACTGATATGTCTAAGTCATGTCTAACGCTCGATTTGGACCTTAATATTTATTGTTAAATTCCACTTAGCAGCCACTGAACAGTACTCATCCGTTCTAGTTTTTAATATCCTATTTTATTGAATTATAAAAACCTTATAATATAAAGCGAACTATCGAAATGAGAAAAAGTTATATCTAGAGAAAAAAGAAGAGTTATAAGTTATAACTTGTTAGGATGATTACGGGACACTAATTATGTGGGAGGAAATTAATTAAGCATTGTGGCTGTTAGGAAAATGGTTAATCCGAAAGTTTGATAACAATTTGATCATAAGTTTATTCTTAGGTACGGAAATATTTACCATATTATTGTAACAAAATTGCTGCTCTACCATAATTATATATTCTACGTACTGTAAAATCACTTTTCGCCTCTGCCGCTGCTTGATTGCTTAGAAGTTAATGAATGACGAGAAGAGAGTGCGGTGAGAAATTAGTAACCTACGTTACGTACTGAAAGGTGAATAAGGGAGGAGAAGATGTCGTACGAAACCTTAGGTTGTTTTTTTGGCTTGATTACGTTAGCTTTAACTTAGGAGCACATATAATCAAGGAGGTTAATTAAAATCACAAAACCAAATCTTCACAGCTAAGGAACAAATCCAGATGGAGTATGTTATATGGGTTGTCACAAGCACAAGTTTACGGCGAAATGGAGCCTCCAAATGGCTGACGACCTTTGCCCCCATTTGATTGCAAAACCTTTAATCATGGTGTCTAAATTAATTAATTCTCTTGCATCTCATTTGAACTATTACAATGGGACGGAGAAAGTAGTATTGTCTAATTGTAATCAATTTGACTTAACTTAAACAGAAGGAAAAAAAAATGTTCAGATTCTATAAATTTTTGGGTTGATTTTGGACTATTTAATATGAAACAAAACACATGTACTTTCCTAGCAATATCGTTTAAACTATTTATTAGCTAGTAAAACCCAATAATCAAAGTAAATGATTTTCTTCAAGTTTTACTTCACTTTGTCTACCGTGTATTTTTTTTTTTCTTGTTCAAACGTTCATATATATAAGAGTTCTTGATTACGAAGATTTGTGGGGAGTCAACTGGTACAAATCAATAAAAGAGGTGTCGGAAGAGACGACATTTAAGCACTTAGGAGAAATGTGCTGGCATGGATGACAATGGGGAAACAGGTCGGATTGTGAAGAGCGTGGAAATGTCCTTCTGCTTTAAAATAATCCCACACTTTAATCATGATGTGTTTTGTTATTCAAATTAGGAACAAAGACACTGGTGACTGGACTACAAAAACTATCTATGATTTTATTGCTTAGTTTGTAGTAGTTAATTTGTACTCTTTGCGTGTGGTGTTAATTTCCTAACCATTCATTACTTCCAAAAGATTGATACAAATGTTTGAGATTAGTATACATTTTCACCCGTACCAAAATTATTATTCGAATTGAAAATATATTTTAATATAAAATTTTAGTAAAAATAAAAATTTCAACTAGCAAATCATTTATTGTCCATTTCATTATGTGAAGGAAAAGTTGACCTACACTTTCCATAAATATATAAATATATATATATATATATATATATATATATATATACTTAGTCAACTTTATTTCATCTTTTTAAGACAAAGAAAAAATGAAAAAATTCTTATTCAAAATAGAAATGTAAAATTTACGTAATAATTGAGAAAATTTGAGATTTTGGTCGAAAAAATTGACATAGATAAAATATCAAACATTTTATCTATAAAAAATCTTTTATCTATAATATTAAAACATTTTTTTACGTTCATTAACTTTTTTTTTGGCTTTGTTAAATGGACCAAAAAGTCTATATATACAGTTTTGGCTCGATTGTATAATAGTTGATAGATAAAATAATGCTGAAAATTTTTAGCATTTTTAAATGTTGGATTTTAGTAGGGTTATAAAAGTCGTCAATTAAGTTGAATATGGACCATAACATCTTTTAAATAACGTCGAGTTTCAAACCAATCATAAGAAGTTAACGCTACAAAATACCATATTCCGTGTTATATTTACTATTTAGTCTGATGGAATTTTTCACCATTTATAAACTATAAACGAATACAGTTATGGGAAAAAATAATCCTTATTGTAAGTTAAAAAACTTATAACACATAAAAAATTAGGACAATTTAGATTTTTTATGGCTTACTAAAATCGATAAATTACCAAACAATACCATTGTAAAACATTATGAGTAACTGAAAGTAATATTCATAGTTTTTTACTATCGTTGATATAATCGTCGGCTTTCTCATGTCAATGACAAAGCCGACGCTCGCAATTTCCCAACCAAAATGAAAAAAAAAAAAT